ACTACTCATTCATTCTGCTCAGAATTTCTCAGATGATTGAATCTATGACACTCAATGTGTTGAATAAACCTCAAAAGTATTGATGTTCTGACATTTGGAAAACACCACATCATTATTATAAATCCAGCCATATTGCTCAAGGTTGTATTCCCATTGTTCATTATTGTCATCAGCACTTAGAAAGAGTGAGAGTAAAGATGAAGGAGACATCGATGAATATCCGTTCATTTTTGCCCACATAACTATATAATGATTAATTGTGCATCGCCCTTTCGGATACTCGGAGTAAAATGATCAATTATGGTGTATATTAGACATCATGATTACACATCAATATGTGATCTCATCAATAATGTGATATGAAATCCTATCTCATAAATCAGGTTATTCTTTGCCTTGTAAAGTTAAAAGCTTATTTATTTTCTCCATTCTATGAAGTTGACTTCATAGAATGTTAAGTAATCTTGGATCGGAACATAAAAAGTTGAAGAGCAAATGAGAAAAAAGTGAAGATGATTACATCTCATGCTACTTAGAAAATGTTCTACTCTATCTTACTTATTTGATGAAAGTTGATTGAACTTAACTCCTGAAGTATTCATATGAAATAGTATGAAATTGGTTAATTTCATACTATTTTACAATAAATCATTGGCACCTCACTCTTTTAAAAAATACTTCAAAGTACTTTTAAGTAGATGATAGATTGATGAATATGAGTTGAGTGGGTACAAAGTATGGACAAGGTGCTTTGGGTGGATACAGTTGACCCACGCGCAATTGTGAGTCGAGTATGGATACAGTTGTCAATCCCAATGCAGGAGGTAAGAATTGAATGTGTCAGCTAGGTAGCAACACTTTAGCAATCCGTGTGCTCATTAGATATATACGCAATGTCAATAATACATTGAAATGGAATTGAATCATGAGAAGAATACTTTATCTTCGTGTATTTGTTTGAAGTATCTATATTAAAAAAAGTTTTATCATTCAAAGTATCTCATTTTCATAATTTATATTTTATCTTCGAGTGAAATTTTCACTAAAAACTAGTGTTATACAAAGTCATTGTTTAATGTTTAGCCCACAACAAAGAATTGTTTAACTTTTGATTGTTAAGTTAATGCTCACTATATGTGCATCTTGCAACTTTGACGTAGACAATCTTGATGCATTCACTCATGTTAGCTGCAGCGATTGGTCGACTTCCTACATTGACATCACATGCTTCATCAAAGATCTTGGTCATGTTGCTTTGATGACAATCAACAATCTCATCGAATCAACTCGAATATTACTTCTTCATAACTTTGCGTTACTTGTTTTTGACATCGTTGTCGTATTTAATGATTGCGTAGCAATGCGAGATGAACTTGGCTCCAATAGCGACCTTGACTATACATCAATGTATCATTTTGAACTAGTGAAATTTAAAGTTAGTGATATAAGCCGCTTTATCATCCAGAAATATCATGTAGTTGGTATCCCTCCAATATTGACAAAATGTGCTTCCAATTTGTAGAGCTTTGCACCATGTACAAGAATGTCTTAGCTTGTCAAAAAACCATCGATTTTTGCAATCACCACGGTTAGTTTGACGATGTGTGTGCACTACCTTTTATGTCGAGACGTTTCAATATTATGGTTGACTTTGTTGGCGGCCCCAGTTCGCCATTTCCCAAGAAGTAGTTTTTCTACTGAAAAATACTTCTAGATGTTGAAATTCCAGATTTTTCTTTGGAAACATTTTTCCAATGCAAACATTATGAAATTTTGAGCACCACGAAGCAATAAAACATTTCTATATTACTGGCTTTAAGCTTTTGTTGGTGACGATGTTTAATCAGATTCGGAATTTGCGCCTAATTTACTTCAAATGAGTCACTTTAAGCATGTGACTAATCTAGAGAATCCTGATCATGTTTCATTTATGACGCCATATATCGTGATGGTTTCACGCAGCAATAGCATCAATTAATGAGGTCGGGGATGTCATACCGCCCTCATCGATCCTGAAACAGCTGCAGAGTTCTTCGATACGTATCCCGAGGTAGACAAAGTATTGTGGCTAGGTGTCATTTGTAAAGATCTGGATTTTGAGAAGAGATTTCAATTTGAGTACAACACCAATGCAAATGCTCGGTTGACACCTGCACGAAGAAGCTCTTCTGTTGGAAATCTGGAGTTTCACCGTACTTTGACTGCATTCAGTAGTATGTGTATGTGAAGCCAGTGGATAGTCTGAAGACGATGACCTGGTACTCTGGCTGAGCTACTAGATACTTGGGACAAAATGCATTCATACAAGGAGAAGGAAAGAAGAGTCTCCAAAGTTGTATGACTTGATTGGATGAGATTGGTTCGAGTTGCAGAGACAGTGAGAGAACCCATTACTTTAATAAACAGGAGTCTCGTCCTCCTGGCAATCAACTTAACAAGCTGCGGATTGGTTCCCCCATCTTGCTCTCCTCGTGTCAAAAAGAGATGACACCAGTTCGAAAGCTCAAGTACGCGTTTATCACACAAGGAACACGCAATAAGTGCTTGAATATGGCTGCTTCGATGTCCAGCTTCATGAGGGAAAATGTCATTTGTAGTTTGCTTGGTGCCTGTCCCAAGTTTCTGTGAGTGATCACGATCATAAAGTTTGAGGTAGATCGGATGCATGAAAGTTGTGTGAAAGGTGGGAATTCACGAGACCAGTAAAACTCGTGGAACAAACCTCGAAGGCAACCCAATCCCAGAAGCCGTAGTTACCTTTCATTCATTGTGTTACCGCAGTTCCTGTCTCTTGTGCTGATGCCGCAGAATCTGAAGTCCTCCTGTACAAGAACTCTCAAGCTAACAGCTGAGGGTGTATTCTTAGAAAGTCAAGGGCGTTACTCTAACCAGCATCAAATCAAATGGAAGTTCGGGAGATTCTACGATCCAGCAAATTTTTGTTCCCAGCATTTGCTATGGCCACTGGCTCGGGTTCATTCTTGACCACGCTCAAAATTCTCGACAGGATTCGTTGAACTTCGCAACGAATCATCAATTGCTGATGTAATCTATCGAATTTATCACCTACCATTCACGAGCCTATACATAAGGTCCAGATCTATGGGGAGTAGCTAAATTATTCACCAAAAAAATCACTGAAATGGGAAGTCTGTATGAAGGCAGGAGCAGAGAGGCTAAAATTCAGAACATGTTTGCCAACCCAAGTATCATAATTGCTAGATCTCACTGCACGAGCATTAACTTGGCAATACAGGCTTTTCAATCGAGATCTACAATCTACACAATTGAACCCTCATCTGACTTGAATTCAAATCGATGGAAACAGGTAAGATGAGGGTTCAAATGTGCAGATTGTAAAAGCGCTTTTGTCATCTTAGAAGCCGACGCCTGCCCCTTTACGACGAAGGCCTCCACATGCCGAACATACGTTGTCCCCTCCGGAAGGTGTTCTCTCCTGTCTCCGGATCTCGTGTCCTACTTCAGAGCATGACCCTTCCCAGCCGACGCTGGCCTATCGTAAAATCCACACTCATCACAATCTAGTCCCATTCTTGTCTGCGGTGCTTTCTGCAATCGACGATTCTGTCATAGGAAGTGAACGCAGGTGCGTGGATCTTATAGGCATGCGCTCTCATGGGCAAGTCAGACAGTGTCTATGAGCGACTCCAAGTCTGGAAGTTTGACTGAAGATTCACTTCGAGAGTTCGAGTCAATCCCTTTCGGATTCAGGTGCCACTTGGATGCAGTGGTCGTTGGAAAGATTCTACAACAGGTCCCCAATAATGGATGTTGAAAGCGGAGGCCAGCCTGATTGCTCGGCACTCGCATCTACGCTCGTAGAATATCTGGAACTTAAAGCTGAAAGTGACGATCAGTGATGAGCATTTGATACCCGAATGGACCTTGCAAACCTGAAAAGCCAGCTGAAAGCCTGCTGTAACGGCACCGCTCATTGGGCTGTCGTAGTAAGTTATTCGAACGAAAGCGCAAACCGTGACCTGTCAGCCGCTAATGGCGACCATCTTCTGTAGCGTGATGAGCATTTCAGCGTTTTCTAATCAAGGAAATGAACTGTAAGTTGTTCAGTTCCATGACACCTCTTGTTTCCTGTCCACGAAGCGAAGTGCTCTCGTCCCGGCACACGTTCTCTACATTCGCTTCGACCTCTCTCAGTGAACCACTGTTTGCCAGCTTTTCCTTTGACTGTCCCTATTCACATGGATATGAAATGAAATCGTTGCTACAGTTCCAGCATTGTCTATTTCATGCTCGAGTCGAGAACGTGACAAGCAAAACGACATATATCATATTTTCAAGGCTATAGAAAATGCTTCGCGAATTGAGGATCCTGTGAATCAGATGAAATGTGGAACACGAAGGAGTTACAGCTTTACTTACACATAAAGGGCTCTTTCTCCAAACGCAAGGATGTCATATTTAGTAGCCGAAGGCACAAGGATTGCCACCCGGCCATTTTAAAAAGAATTTGCATATCTGCTGATAGTTTGAATTATGCCGCAGTTCCTGTGAAAACGACTTTTGAAGATCCTGCCTCCTTTATTCTCCCGCAAAACCTGCCGAATCCAAGTTCCGGGTCTGTTGATTACAGCTGTTGACTTCACTCGTTCCGACGAACACTCGGTCGAGGCCCGAGTTTGCCGGTCGAGGAAGAGTATGATGCACGTGGAGAGAAAGTTTTGCGTATCAGTGCGCATTTTTTCTCGAAACCATGAGAGTATTCCGAACTCCAATCTCAGAGCTCTTGTCTTCGCTGTGTCTCCGTCGCGAGATTGATTTGTCTTCGAACTGGGTCTCCCGTTCCGACTAAAGCGAATTAGGCTGGCTAGCTCAATCTTTCACTCTGGGAACTTCTTCCTCCTCAGCTCGACTGACATCGTGCATCTGCATTCGCTTGAGCACCTTCGATCCTTCAAGTATCAAAACTGGCGTCCTCCTCCAGCATTCAGCATTTTTCGGTTCCAGCTTCGGTTGGAAACATGACGGGGTCTGCGAAACCGGTGAACGATGTGTCGGAAATCTTGAAGAAGCTCGAAGCGCCTTCGACCATGGCCACGGCGAAGTCGCAGGAGAGGAATCGGATTCGGCTGGTCAAGGAGCTGGAGAGCCAGACGTCGATCGTCATTTCGGGCATCGGCGATGCGGGAATGATAGCGCTGACGAAAGCGTTCCAGCTGCGGGCATTCCCGCGGCTCGAGAAGCTGAGCATTCTCTACAACCGACTGACGCAGAAATCAATGTGGGACTTGGCCAGGGCGATCGGGACAGGCAACCTGTCGAACTTGCAAATGCTGAACATCAAGATGAACCACGGGTTTGGAGACGCGGGCGCCAAGGCGCTCGCGAAGGCCATGGAGTCCCGAAAGCTCAAAAAGCTGCAACACCTGTACCTCATGAACGACAACATCGGCGAGCACGGGCTGCTGGCGATCGCGGACGCACTGGAAACGGGGCACGTCTCGTCGCTCAAGGTCCTGCACATCGGCAACAACAACGACGACTCTCTCGTCTTCCACAACCAGGGCGCCAGAGCGCTGGCGGCCGCAGTCCGATCCAACCACTTGCCCAACCTCGAGGACCTGACGCTGCGAGGCGTGGCGGGCGAGGAGGGAGTGATCCAGCTGCTCAAGGCCATGGAGACGAGCAAGCTCGGCGCATTCAAGCAGCTGGACCTGCGCGTCTGCGAGATCGGGCTCCGCGGCGCCCGAGCGCTGGCCAACATGCTGCGCTCGCCGCAATTCGCCACGCTCAAGATGCTCGACCTGCAGAGCAATGTCTCGATCGGCGACGAGGGAGTCATCGAGCTGGCTGCCGCCTTTCGATCCGGCAACCTCAATAGCCTCGAGATCCTCTACCTGGACAACATCTCCATGGGCGAGAAGGGCCTCCTGGAGCTGGCCTCGCTCCTCGAGGCCGGCCACCTGCCCAGCCTCCAGGAGCTCTACGCCGGCGCATCCGAGTACACCGAGACCAGCGCCAAAGCGCTCGTCCGCGCGTACCAGGAGAACACCTCGCTCGTGGCGCACATCATGGTCGACTGGCCCAGCACCTCGTGGGGCAATCAAGTCGAGAGCTTCCGCGAGCGCAACGTGACGCTGGTCGAGAGCTTGCGCTTGCGCCAACGCGCTGGCGCCAACACCAACGCCAGCGCCAACGACGTCAAGCAACGCGAAGCCCAACGAGAAGAACGAGAAGCAGCAGCAGAAGGAGAAGAAGCACTGCAGTAGAAATCAGACCTACCACGTAGCCCGGACGGACGGAGTACAGTCGAGGGGTACACGGTCCGAGGTGCAACATTTAGCTCAGCTTTCTCAACCACGACGTGGCAACCACGTCCGAAGGAAGTTTACAAACTAGTTAGACGAGCTCTCACGTTATGATTTAATTCGAGTCGAGGGGTACACGGTCCGAGGTGCAACTTTTAGTTCAGCTTTCTCAACCACGACGTGGCAACCACGTACGCAGGAAGTTTACAAACTAGTTAGACGAGCTCTCACGATATGATTTAATTCGTTGCATGTCACATTCTTTGAAGGGATATCACCCTGTATACAGGAGGCCGAGTTTTAGCTTTAGATCCTTTGCTCCAGACCGAGAGGTAGAAGAGCACGAACGTGTTCCTTCGCTTGGCTTTGCAAGAGAAGTGAAGACCGTGCTTCTGTTATAGTAGACGACTGACTACCTCATCTATTATCGAGTAGTAGTAGTCCACGGTAGGTAGGTGTTGTTGCAAGAGTTCAAGAAGTAGATCTCATGCTCACTGGGTCGCTCATGCTTCTTCTATGGGATGTCACCCTTATGTCGCCCTTTAAGGTTCCAACACTGGATCTTTCTCTCCGTGCTTAATTAGATCGTGTAAATAAAATGCTACTGTCCAGACCAAGGTTTGTTTCTTTTGCAAATCTGCTGACATGGTTGAGATGACGGACATCCGGTTGCTCTTCTAACTGAGGATGCTGGTAGAAACCTTCACATCCTCACCAGTCACCACGTTTGGTAGGTCTCTACGTTCACAAGCATGCATCATTGTTGGTTGTGCCCATTCAAATTTTTCCCCCCACATCTACCCTTCCCGTTTCAAAGGAAAGAATAATACGATGTAGCGGCATCTCTTGAGTTGAGAGTAGAGGCATATTTTGCAGTCTGTGCATAAAACCTAAGTACGGTCTTGACCGGAATTAGAATGGGCAGCACCATTGGGATGTTGGGAAGGCCAAAGTCTGAACCCCAACCACTCTATAGCAATCTCTAGGATGAAACCCAAATTGGGTCTAATATTGCACAAGTTAGGACTGGTTCCCAACTAGTGTGGACACGCTAACAAATAAAGTACAGTATGGGAATCATAAAAAGAGGATTGTCTAGTAGCCCACATTTGTTTTTGCGAGCCAATTTGGCACTTTTGTGATTTTTGAACTCCTGTACATCTTTTATAATTATTCGTCATCCATAGACCACTGAGTTCTTTACTCAATCTTAATCTTTGAAATAGTGTGGCTGTGCCTCGTTAGTAACCAACCATGTTGTAGCGCACACATTGTGTATCTAAGCGTTGAGCTCAAAATCTTGGAAATCGCATTGCTACATAGCCAGCGAAGAAAAAGATTGCAAGATAACAGCACATGAAACCATGGCTTATATCATGTTGCTACACAAAAGATATTAAATATCAATGAGTCCATTGATCCAATGAATCATTTGGGGGCTTGTAGAGTATAAAATATATTCTTGGTCAAAATATGGAGATACACACATCGTGTTTTGTGTCATTTGAGACTCTTGTGAAAGGTTCCTGGATTTGTGGTGATAAACATGATATCACATAGACCATCATGTTAAATTTCACACAAGAACATTAAGATTGCTCATACACTTGTTTTGGTCTAAAATATTTGAAAAAATTTAACCTTTGATATAAGAACTTTAAAGATAGATCTCAAGTCAAGAAGCCAAGAACGAGAATACAGTATGCCACAAAATATGGAGTGAATCTAATTCGATTATCTCAACAACAAAAACGCAATTGCACTCCATCGCCTTAGAAACAAAGAAATATTTATTTCAAGCTTAAGTTACTTCTCTTCGTCGAACAATGTAGGTTGTTGCATAAGTGAATGTTTCTACATAGTTGAACTCTCTAAGTTTATTTTCTACAAATTGTCATTCAAACAACACTTAATCAAATTCTACTTCTTTAACCCTATGACTTATTCCTCGACGAGCTGTGACAACGCCTCCAGTGCAAACGTCCGATCCGCAGTAATTCATATCCAAGCTTTTACACATGTGCATCTATCTAATGGAAATATGATTATCGTATGCACTTAAGGATTCCATTCCACAAGTAATTACTGTGAAATGATCAATATAGAATTTGATCATGACTCATATTAATACTCGTTTATTCAATACTAAAACACCATGAACCTTTCTTTGAAAATCTCGATCTCGACCCCAACACTCGAAAACTCCAACTCGAAACTTGAGAAATCCGTGAACTTCGGCGTCCCAACTCCAAAATGCGTGAAATTTTGCAGGCTGGAGCGCGCTACCCAACTCCACGCCCCTGCAAATTTTCAGCTTCCGTGGACACTCAGACGCGAAGATAATAACTCTAAATATGATTATCATATGCACTTAAGGATTCCATTCCACAAGTAATTACTGTGAAATGATCAATATAGAATTTGATCATGACTCATATTAATACTCGTTTATTCAATCCTAAAACACCATGAATCTTTCTTTGAAAATCTGAAGTATATTTGTCTACGATATTTTCAAGTATGATTTTTTTTTCTATAGAGATATTTTTCTGTGACAATAAGTATTTTCCAAATTTGAAACAAAATTTCTCTTTTAGATTTGGTTTTTTTCCTACTGACTAGAGTGGAGTTGTCGCAATAGACACAATAACCAGGCTCCAGAAGCAATTTCCAGCTGGACTTATCTCTGAACGCTGTTGAACTTTCGATGCGCTCTAATTTTGAATATATTGTCTTGACATCAAATCCGTATGAAGAGCTTGTACAGAACTCATCCTCACAGACTCAGACATGAGAACGACATCGTTGGAGAAGGATAATATATCTTCCACAATTGATCAGGGTATGGGAACACTCAGGCCTCTACTGAACACTATGTACGTTGGTGCACAAGATCATAAAAACATTCTTTTCTTGATCTCTTACAGAACAAAAGAGAATAACTTTTGGTACGATCATTCGTTACATATTCGTAATTCATGATAATATCCAAGCTGAATATAATCAGTATGGTGCAGCAAAACATCCAGCAGTGTCATTCGTAATTCTTGCGATAGCTGGTATGTGAGTAGAGTTAACTCTCTTTCAAAGCTGGAGATATTATTACACTTTTTCCTTCACTTTGTATTGCTTGGTTCCATGACCTTGTGGAGTATCAGGGGACCGAAAGAATTGCATCTGAGATATTTTAGCCATTCCACTCGACTCGTTGAATATAAAAGTTACTCTGGAAGCTTCTTATACCGATATCATATAATTCAACTCTCACTGAACCCTCGGAAGTAGCGTCCATTCCGTACATTTAGTTCCCATTGTCCACGTAAGTAAGTACCATCTCTGCCGCTATTTATCTAGCAGTTGGACCAGTTCAAATAAAAAATAACTTATTAAACACATTTGATAATTTGTGAACTAATAGGTGTAATGCGTACGAACATATTGCAACTGTAAGAGTGCTTAGGTGGAATGAGAATTGACTTGACGTCAATGATATGTGAATAGTATACAGGTCACCTGCACGATGAAGATGCATTCGAGATATATGATCAGGTAGAGCTGTTATATCGACTAGACGCAAATCGAGAGGGTAAATTAGTCCTGGTTTTGGCTAGTTGCGTGGACCAACAGTAAGGTTCCTATACTCGCAAGGCCTAATGAACAGGTACACAAAAGATCCGGTGTATATGCTCGAAGGTGGGTACCAAGTAATACAGCAAAAAGGATGGGAATACCCCTGAAAGTCCTAGAATGATTGAACCTGAGGGCACCGCACCAAATAATATAGCAAAAGAAGAAGTGCCTAGCCCCAATGGCACCGAAATCGAAGATAAGTATTATATATACTATAATCAGATTTATTGACTATTTTTCTCAAAAGATCTGAAGAGATATCAATAAACTTGAAATTTCTTTATGAAGAAATTGATGTATATTGAGTTATAAGATATGAGAAAGAAAAAGATATCAAAATTACGTAGTGTTCTAGTCTCTCACAATCTTGTTGAAGTCGGCATCTATGACTAATATAAGTACGAGTAGCTATGTTATGCAAAATGACAACTAGTCATTTAGACCCTGTTGCATATAACTTAGTACTGGCTTTACATTTATTTTGTTTTCTTGTCTTGTGTTGGTTTGCTATATGATCCTAAGATGACGGCCAGAATCAAGCTTTTGCAGATTCAACCCTACTCTCCTCGAACCAACCATCAATTTTTTAGACTGTTTAAATGTTCACAAAGGTCTTAAACTACTTTGTGGAGCCCGCTCATTGATCATCTCTTTGCTCTAATCGGCTCTCTGATCTCCGACACTCCCTCGTGGTTTCTAGCTGCAGATATCGAAAATGCCAACGTTTTCTCAAGTAACGGACCCCTAACGCACCTGCTCTGAGTTCCTCTAGAGTCCAGACCACGTTTTGCATGAAACTTGGTCTCAGCATGCTTTGAAAACAACTGTCGCACTATGTCAATGGTGGATCGATCAGTCAGCAAGATACGTTCTCGTGCAGCGATGCGAGTTGAAATCAGAACTTTATACAATATGGAATGGATCTGGATCAATCACCACACATGCTAGTTGTTTCGAGTCTCATCTTCAGCCATACATTCGAGGTTGGAGTTGATTAGTACACTGTGCACATCCTCTTCACACATTATTAACAGACGAGGATTACACTGTGATCACGAGGTATTCACACATCAGCCGAAACTGTGTCGATCGATCATGGTCTTGGACATCTCCCTGTTCGTACCTTGTGATGGTATCGGAGCAGGTTAAGAAACTACTCATCAGATAATCTGAAGTCAACAAGAGCTCTATGGAGAGCACTGGGTATAGATTCTCTGAAGGAAAAAATAAGATCTCATTCTTTGTTGTGAGATGAACTACTCTATGGAAAGTCTCGGGTACGTGTGAGGAGATTTGTACTGCATCTTCATGAGAGTTTTAGGACACACAACAACATTTGAGATATTTCACGTGGCTGGAGATTTCATTGTACCAGTGTTGGTGATAAGACAAGGTTGAACGGTGCAGAGAACTACGTCATGGAGAACTGGATAGTTCAATGCATATTAGTTAGAGAAGATTTGAGAGATTTACGTGGAAGAGGAGGATCAATCGCATGTAGCTCCGACAGAGTGAGTAGGACGTTATGGATTCTGTCTCAGGCGTCACATTCTTGGCGTATAGAGTAAACAGATGTGCATGCAGACTTACCCATCCTGACCAAAGTTGTGTTATAGGGTACATTTTTATTCAAATTGACCTGGTCTCCCCGTTGGTTTTGTTAATAAAACATTTGTATATATATAACATATAAATAAAACATGACGTCATGTTTTATATCCATTACGAATTATTAACCTTCTAGATCTATGACTCATTTCTGGACTACTCACTTTACGAGAAACTGTAGCGACTCCGGTCTCTTCTGAAGGAGACTTCAGGTGGTAATATTGTGACCATTGAATGTAATTTCACTGAACACTCTCATTATTGCTGCAAACGAGCTCGCAGTATAGTTGAGATTTGCCTTTTACTTTTGTTTAATTTTGACATTTACACGGATCGAAAGCCAAGAGTTAGCTTCGCGAGCGTAGCTTACATATTGAATATGATTCTACTGGTGATGGCATGGTTAGTCTTGGATCAGGATTGAGAAAGGCAACAATATGGAACTCACGACAATTTTCTTCGATCTGTCAAAACAAGAGAATGCACGATAAAAATATACAATCGTATGAATGGAACAGACTCAACTACTATTGAGCATAGAAAATCTTAGAAGTCCTCAAGTTCAGCTTAAAGTTAGGGAGAATAATTAGCGATGTGGAATATACAACGGAAGAGAAGCTCTAACGGCAGAGCAAAATATATGAGCTTTTGTTAGTAATCTTAACCAAGTATTCTACATTATTTGTTTGTTTTATTCAAATTCCAACTGACACAGAAAAAACCTTGGTCACTTGCTTACTATCCACTCTTCTATTCTTCAGCTATAGATGAGGTCCAACCAAATTCCAAGCAGAAACTACAGAAAATAAAAACACACTCGTTACAGAGCTTCAAATCATGCATCTGTTTTCAAGATTGCGAGCACTGCTATCAGTCCACTGTTTGCTTTGCTTCCTATTGAAAACATGTCTGTCATATTCCTGTCACTCTCACCACGGAAACATTCAGCAACTGCCGCCAGCTGTTATTCCAGCTGAGTGCGGACCACCAAAGATCATAGAAGGTCTCATCTTAGGGCAAGTGACGAAAAATATAACTGAAATTTGTATTATGTAATATAGACATGGAATTTGAATGATTATCGTGCTCGATTTGCATTTTGAGATTGCTATGAAGAATGCTGCTGTTGGTGACACTTGTTTTGGACCCTCCGTTATCACTCCTGATTGTGAGTTCCTCGCTTAAGATGCACTAGAAGATAATCATGAAGTGATTTATCGCTAGAAAACTTGGCTCTTTCTAGTTCCTCTGACCCTATTGATTGATTTCCTTTGTTTCACTCTATATCGTATATTCTATTTTTATCATACACAGCCCCTTATGATATTTAGATTCTAAACGTAAAACATAAAATTGTTGAAACATGATCTTTTGTTCCACATACAAACCCATGACCTGATTATCAAGATTCTCTTATTACTGCAATACGTATAAAACAAGCTATATGATAATTGAAAAATTTTTATCTACTATGAAGTTTGAACGATTACGCATAATTTCTGTAAATAGTATACCAATCATGTATCTAGAAGCAATTGTCTAACTGAATAATCTAATTTGAATCTAAAAAATAAAATTAGCCATGTCAAGTTGTTATTCTTCTTAATTTGACATTATACACATTGTGTTTTATGTATATCAAATTGAACATGCATTTGAATACTTCATTCTCAAACTTCATCACTCATGCTTGAAATCAATGTGTCAAAATATATATTAGAAATTTTGACACATTATCTAATAAATTATGGTCTCAAGAGACATTGATTCTATGTTCAAACTTCATAGGGATATGCCAATAGTATTCAAGTGTTTTGTCTCACACTACATAAACACAACCATTATGAAGTAGTCACTACATGTAAATGATCATGCTTTACGCCTTTTGACCTTTTTCCCATTTTGGCGACTTTTTACAACCTTCAATTGAAGTATCATGGACATTTTTGATGGCATCAATTTCACATATGTGATTTGATTAATTTTCAGGGCGAAGAAAAGATAATTAAATTTATGTGGAAAGATATATTCATTACCAATGAAAGATTTTTTTCTCCACAAAGTCACCGCATGAACTCACGCTTTGCTTGTTGTAAGACCATTTGAACTATAATTTCTCTAGAATGGATAACATGATGATGATTGAGAAAGAAAGGGCTGAATAATGAACTGGAACATGCTAGAAGATTAATATGTCAGATTGAATGAAAGCTTAAACATTTATAATTTGATCATTTTCTCTCATCTTCGTTTTCGGATTAATCAAGACTAATAATACTACTACACCAAGTTCTTGCTTCGACAAAGATGCATTAGACTCGATCATGCATCAGGTTTTGCAATTTGAGATACTTATATCAATGAGGCTTGATCTATGCTTTTGCATCTAAAGAATCACATATAATTGTGTTATTACCTTAGATAAGCTAATAACAATGGTGTGATGGATTTTATAAGATTACTTACCCAATAAGAGGAAACACAATACCTGCCCAAGACATAACTGATAAGGATGTGATGTTTGCTATGTCTCTAGAATACGGGTATCTCACTTGGAGTGAAAGTTAAGACAAACTTATATATTCAAATGTATTGTTTTATAAATTACACATGATATAGTTTGATCATACTCTTAAAACCTAGAAGGTTATGTCAAGTATAGAAAATGTAATCAAGAACACTCTGTATGTAATTGCACAAAGGTCTCATCCTATATATTGTAGCAACCATGCAACACGATATCACATATCTTTGTCATATCGTGCATATAATGTAATTCATAATCAGTATTCTCGATAGATTATCTTAGAAATTTTAGATCATTTCTTAGGATATTGTACAGATTTCTTTCTTTCTTTCTTATTATATACCAGTCGGATAGGGTTCAGTAATTTTGAAATATGGAATGATTCTGTGGCTTTTTGGGGACAAAGGGAAGGAGGAGGAAGAGGAAGAGGATGAGGAGGTCCAACCCTGGTTAGACTTGACCACGGGTCCGGGTAACTAAGAGCAATTGGGCAGAGGACAATTTAGCGGAGGAGGAGGAGGAGGAGGCGCGAACGAATGGATAAGGGGATATAAGGTGCTGGGAGACGCTGGGAAAGCAAGGGCCAGAGGCGACCGTTGCCCGCCACTCTTGTTCCGGTTATCTGCCCAATATTGTGCCGGCAGATTCTGGCCCGTCTGCCCCCCGTCCTCGATGATCGATCGATCGCCCGAAAGCCAGGCCCACCACCGATCTGCCCGAGCGAGCATCCTCTCGAGACAAGTGGGGCCGAAGCGCGCGACGATCAGCCTCTGCCGCTGGGAATGCTTGCGGTCGAATTTCTTCGACCAGCGCCCGGTGGAGTCGGAGCTTCTTCCATCGATTCGGTGACTGCAGGCAGCGCCGGGAATTTGGTCAGAAATTGAGAATTTGGAATTTGAGTGAGGGACGGAAGGAGGGAGAGACGAAGCGATGGCTATGGCGCTGGTCAGGAGCCCGGGATTGAGAGCCGCACTGACTCGGGCTGAGCTGCCGCCGCTGGCTTCCACCTGCGGCGACGAGTTATGGACCTCACAGGTCAGAAGCAGGTCCGGGGCGAGCAGCGCTGGAGTCAGTGGAAGGCTCTTGAGGAGCAGGGGAATGAATTTGAGCAAGAGGGTCGAGAAGCGGCCCGTGGCAGCAGCGGCGATTCTGGATCCCCACTCGTTCGCATTTCTTGCAGATTTGCTCACCCCGGAGCTGGACCCGACCAAGTTCGGCGTGAGCCTCGACATCACCAGGGATATCGTCGACGACAGGTCGACCTGGTCGCTGGGCGAGGACGCCATCAAGCACTTCTACATGGCATGCGCCTTCGTCTTCTGCTGGGGCTGCTGCGTGTTCGGATCGATGAACGACAAATTCTACGAGAGTGACACCTACCGCGGTGCCGGCGGGAACGGAACGGGGCACTGGATTTACGATCTGGAAGAGAGGGAGGAAGCTGCTGCCCGAGACGAGATGTGGAGCGAAGATTTGATGAAGGAGATCGAGGAGAAATCAGAGGAGGTCAGGTTAGCCGAAGAGGCCGAGAGAGAGAGGGAGAAAGAGCTCGTGTAATGGCAGAACAATCTCTTGTCGAGGACTCGGTTTTCCCAGGCACTAGCTGTCTACGCATTTCTCAGATTCCCTGGGATTTGAGCCAGAATTCTGCCGATCGTTCTATTCTACCTCCGACGTCGATTGAAATGTCGTTATATTCTGTAATTGTATGGAGGCGGATTAATAGCTCATGTGCACCGAGTGCCAGAACCCCAGAAGCGCAGGCGCATGTTTCCAGGCAGTAGACGGGCAGTAGAACCTTGTCATTCACAGTAGGTAGGTACAGTAGAGGGAGCAGGAGTAGTGTGGTTGAGTGCGCAAGAACTGCAACTCACTTGTAAGATTATCGCTGGCATTGTGATTTATGTTCAGAAATTTATATTAAATCCTGAGGCGGGCCGAATTTGTACATACTTTGTATCGAGGATAAATACCGAAGCTCCACTTGACCACTTGAGTAGTTGGATTAGATATTTTGGTTCAAAATCTGTCGCGTTGAATTTGGACCTTTGTGTTCCGAGGGTGATCACTACTCCTCGATGTCAGTCGGATTAGATACTCCGGATTGAATTCCTTATATGTAGAACTCGTACACACTTTGTGCCGAGGATGATCACAGCAACAGAGGATTGAATAAGTTAGATATTTAAAATGATGTTCTCTACACTATCGGTTGGGCAGTCTAGTGGTAAGGCATTGCAATAGCATCGGACCGGCCTTTGGGTGGACAGCTCCGTTGTTCTGTCATCCGATCGTCTTGTGCCTCTCGAGCTTCTTGGATTTCGAGCCCGCTCAAGTTCCAAAGTCTAGTCGTGTCAAGCTTTGTTAAGGGTTTATTGTCAATTTAATCTGGAGTTTCCAGATTAAATTAAGTCAATCGTGACCGACGATGATCAATTTCTTTTCATTGCTCAGTGGCTCCAATCTGTATTATGGCCATGATGGTCATTGATTATCTACACAAAAGACTTGATATATCCTTACGTGGCTTCAGGGTTCCACGTCGGCCGTTTCAGATATGCGTCTGCAACATGTGCAGACCCCGAGGAAAAGTGAGTGGTACAGTGGCCGTTCGCCTCCGTTACCTTTTAGGATTGTAAACCTCTAAAAGACACTATGACCTACTTGAAAAGTGTTAGTGCACGGGTACTGGACTGCTTGAAGTCCTCTGAATTCCAGCTGGGGTTTAGATATACGGGTTGACTCTTGCCTTGACAACATCAGGCTTCGGTGTTTTGGGATGTATTCCTATTACTTTCACGAGCTATTGGAAGAGAAGTTCAATATTCTCAAAAAGATTACAGGACACAACACGTCCTGATAAGATCGTTAGTCCCCAACACAGGTCGAGTGTCATGACTGGCTTGAAAAAACTCATGTCAGGTGTGAAGAGCACCGATGCTTCGCTCCCCAGAGGTAAAAGCACAGCACTTCAAGGTGTGGACCACTTCTCAAAGAAAAAGACGAGAGTCGAAAGAATATTAACGTTTTAATCCTTCCGTCCTGGTCCAAGATGAGGATTGAGGACTAAATCTGAAGCAAAAATAATGCAATCAACACAGAGGTATTCACAGCTGAACAGAGTTACTGTAAACCATGGCCAAAAATATAAATAGTTATGCACTTGTAGTAACGACATGACTAGAACGACTCTTGAAGAAAACATAAACGAAACAAGAGGAAAGGCAAGAGCATTCCTTACCGCGATCTTCAGTAAGAACAAGGCTCGTTTCATGTCAAAATAATCACCGGCCTAAACCCCTTTGGTTTAAACACAGAAACAAGTTCTTCCGTTCATTATACACACGGTTATCATGATATAACTACCTCGTAAACCATGGAAGACAAAAAGCACTTAGCCCCTACGCCATGCGTACAAACCACAACCATGGTCACTGAGTACACGACTATAACCAACTATTCGCCACCAATGTGCTGCTACCAAATCGGGACGTTCAAGAGTCGGAGTACGATAGTCCCCAGAAAAAATCTGCGAAGGTATTTATTCAGGGGAGTTCATGTATGCATCAGGAAGAGGGAACGGAGCTTCAATTATCGCTTTCGACTGAGGAATAAACTCAAGTAACTACTGCTCTTACATAAGCGATATTGAGCCTGTGCTTGTTGATCAAGTTGGATCAGTCTCGTAATTCTCCCTCTTGCAAACCACCAAGAGTTTCTGCTCTAGCTAAATACCTATCATCCAACCACTGGGGCTTCACTGGAGCTAAGAAGCCTGAGGTTTTAACATGTTGCCACCAGGCAGCCGCTCCAATTCACATGTACAGTGCCCGTGATAAAACTCTAGACCTTTGAATAGGGATTCCGAAGCCAAGGAACGAGAGAATCATGCGTCTGTCTGGCTTATTGGATATGGACACACAGGGAATCGACCGCTGGCAGGATTTCCAGAGGCCACAGAGAGAGTACGGAAGGAGAAGGGAGGGGGCGGCGGTGGGGTGGTTGGGTGGGTGTGTTTGTGCGGAGTGTGAGATATAAAATTGCTGCCTACTGTGAAAGGAGACCCTCATTGACCGGAAAAAGAATGCAAGTCATCACAAATTAGATTAGAATCTAACCAGTACTGTAGCCCGTTAACACATGACCGGCACTGTGCTTCTCGCACAATGCCATAACATAAGGACAGGTTCCGGAACCCGGCTGGACAATGATGTTTCCCAGAAGAGGGCTTTGAGTATGCACACTGACGCCCTCTGGGTCTTGCGTGAAGCTGCTACGCAAAGAGCATAGCGCCACCAGGAAAAGGTTGAAATGATTTGGAACGCAGACCAAATCTGGCTTGTAATCTGGTGACAAGATTTACCTGTGTTTTACCAGCGTGGTAAACAAAAAGGTTGTATACATCTATCCCGGAAGCTGAATTCTATATTTGTATTGCGGCATATCGTTCTCCAACCTCGTCGGTCTTAAGCTTCTGATATTGTATATATCGTATAGTACTTGCGAAGAAAGCATCCACTCCTGGATCTTGTGCCGTGTTTTCACTTTGCATCTCTGTTTGAATCAGCTCTAAGAGTCCCTGAATCACATTGCTGGTCACTTGAGGGTTACCCTTTTCATAGTAATAAAGATACCTGACATCGAAACAAAAGAAAGGTCAGAATGAAAACAAGAGTCACCTACCTCAACACTGCTTTTCAGTCCTCACATGGCAGTTCACCTCAATGACAAGTTCCTAGGGTGCTTACTTGTTCAGGATCTCGACAAACAATGTCATTGGCCCATTACTTCCCCTCGTGGCACTGGACATTTGCTGCGCCGCATTAGCGATCCTCAATGCTCTCTTTAAGCAAAGTAACACCCTGTTGACACACAAAGCAGAAACCCCGAGTGATCCATCTTCAGTACAAGCACAAGGCAAGTGATGGCGAATAGTTCTCCAGAGTTCCAAATGAGGAGACAAAGGTTGCCATCGATGAGCAGCATACTGTTTAGTAAGATGATAATTCCCAGTAAAATCCAGGTAAAGCTCCTCGCTCACTTGTTCCGAACTTTCTCTCAACATGTCAGATCGTACTAGAAGCGTCTACCTCAGTTTTTGAAACCCGTACTGGCTTCTTCGTCTATACGGCATTCATATGACCACAACTTTGCCATAGAGTCTACCAACACACAGAAATACGACTGCTCTACTGCAATAAGTCGACAGAAAGGTCGATCTCGATCGGGTTTACGCTTGGTGTAGATACTAATATATATTATACCTTTCTCCATCTTCAATTCCATGCTCGGCTTCGACCCAAAATAAGTGTGAGCATGCAAATACAGCTCGGCACTGATCAGGTTTTTTCAAGAGCTTTGCTGAGTACTGCGATGTATAAAAAGAAACGCACACTTGATGTCAGAAGGGGGGCACAGCTCGCAAATCTCAAAATTTAAAGAACCAGACTTATTTGATGACCAGAATCAGCCAGAACCACTTCGTATTTCATAGATATCTGTGCATGATTCAGAGTTAGACGACTAAACTGTCAACACAGTAACAGATAGTTTTTCTTGTTGACATTGCAGTAGACTAAGCTTAGTGACAATCGGAAACTTACTCCTGTGGACTTGTGCGTGAGAGTATCTCTGTTCTCAACTCCAAAAACTTGAGTCCTTTGCAATGTTCCAATAATAAGGTGAATTGCCGTAACTTGTGCCTTTGAATCCTGCAAAAAACTTGAGACGTTAGCACGTAACTGCAGAGCGAAGGTATCCTAGTGGCCATACGGGGATTTTGGAATACCAAGTATCCACACGAGTGGAAAGATTTATCAGCCATGCATGCTTCAAAACATGACCCGGCAAAAATATTTCAAGAACTAATATCCGTCTTTTGACTTTTCCAAACGGGAGCTGAGAGGGTGAAGTTGATCATACAAGAGTTCTTGGACGAAGGTCCACATGAAACAAGGAGCCACAAACAATCTAACACATACCCCCGCAATAACTGCATCCCACGCTAATGACTAAAACGCAGATTTGCATTCATCAAATGTTTGTTACAGTTGGCTTCGGCTGACTCCGTTCTTAAGTACTGACGCATTAAAGACGTACAGACCTTACTCGAAGATAGAGGCGACATTTCAATGACTTATTGTCTGGAAACATCATGTGTAAAATTGAGTACGAACGCATTTGAAACATTCAGACGGTGGTCGAAGCTAGTTTCAACTTCCGATTCTACTTTCCAATTTTCGCGATTGGCAGTTAAATATGACTTACAGCGATTTCTTCTTCGTAGATCATGAAAGCCTGGGTGAAGAATTCGTATGCCACTGGCTCCAACGCACAATCACTGGCTGCCTGCTCGAGTCAATCATGGCTTCTAAGCAACCAGCTTTTGACTTGAAACTTTGCAAATCCATATGGCCTAAATGGATATCGTCAGATATACCTCAAGCTACTCCACACATATATAATGGCCTAGCCTTAACCAGCATTACGATTTCCGTGAAAAGGTAGACTTTGGATACCAACAACGGAACCACGTGGGACTAAAACCAACAAACTAAAGGTATCAATAACCATTAGATACTGAACGCAGACCATTGCCGAGGAGCACTCGCTTTCTCATACAGTATATGCAGTAGTATACAAAATGAAAATACCTCCGCACATTGTAGATACAATCGTAGAGACAACTCCGGAGCTGGGACCATTGATAGGGCCTCAACGGTCTACATCCGCAACTCAAGTTCAGTATGATAAATGCAACTTTTAACAAACACAAAAACAAATAACAAAACAAAACAAGATTGGCAGATTGGCAGACTTTATAGTTCTTTCAAAGAAATTGAAATTCACGAGCCAGAAGATGCTCTAGTGATCCCACCTGATGCAAAAATTGGAAAACCTTCTTCAATGAGACAGGACTGTCATCGTCGGCAGCTTGGCCCTGCAACGATCGTACAAGCTGCAGCACATATTACAGTATATATGATTAGGTAGCCTTTGATATTTGCATGAACGTTAGAGACCATTTCCTTCAACATATAAGATAGCAGATCGCCGATCTTGAATCGTCAGGTGTATCAGTCACAAATTCATTATCACATAAAGCAGTTCTTAATTCTATTTTGCCTGTCATAGCCTGCAAAATATACCTTCAAGGCAGAGAAAATCAGGGGAGCTAATGTAAATTCCAACCGCTTTGGACCTCCCTGGCCGAAGTGTTTTCTGGCAGTCGTCAAAATCTGCAAAAGGGAAAGTGACATAGGCACTAGATGAATCACTTCTTCATGGAACGATGTGACTGAGTAATCCTTATATTCACATCGCAGCTGCAATCCTCCATAGCAGCCCAAGATTGTGACAACCACGAAAACTATGTAGCAGCATATGCTTCCACCTGGCATAAGTAAGGCATCTATAATGTTCACCTTGAACATCTCCTCGGGATCCGGATTCACCAGCATGTGTACCAGGCGAGCAACTAGATTTTGCTCCTCCTTGAAGTCCTCCTCGTCCAACTGATTGTCAGATCGAACTCTTTACTCAAAAGGGCAACTCCTAGCGTACCTTCGATGTACGATGTGAAAAGAGGCGAAATAACAAGAAATCGCAAACGAAAAGCGACGAAGGGGTATAAAAAGACTACCTACTAAAGCGAAACCTCACAGACAACATCTGAGTTACAATCATTTTCACAAGAAACAGTGGGCTCCTGTTGCTTTAATCAGAACATCCAGCTGATTCGCAACGATCGCATGTTATTCTCTGAAGTCTACGCAAGGATACGCATATGCACAAGCAGAGTGCTTCTCACAACCTTATCGAAACGGATCAGTATGAATTTCGTACCTCGTCCATTGAAGGGGCTCCCTCACCATCTTTGATTAACTCCTTCAAGAGCTCAAATAAGGCATCTACCTGGAGCCACGCCATTCATATCACAGTACTTAGACATTTCGTTTCCCAAACAAGCGGGCAAGTTTCTTCATCCTCCTTGCACCAATCCTCTCTTTGATGAGAAAAAGTAACTGTACCTTGTCTGCAGTTGTGATGTACGTGCCGTTCTTCATTATGCTCTGTATGATCACCGTGGCCATCACTTTGTTGGTCTCATAATCCAGGTGCTGCATGACTTTCGGGTAGTTAACTAGTTTCAACATGGTCACAACATCGTTGTACTTCTCCAAAGGAGCACTTAGTAACGCTACTATCTGCTTTGTAGCTTTGCTGTCTTTCACCTTCCCCTTCCCTTCAAGTTTCTTCACACATGCTCCCTGCAGGAGAGCAACGAGAGTTGGAGAAAGCTCTGATAGCACACAGATAAAATACAAAGACAACCTAAAACTTGATTTGAAACACAAAGACATGGACAGCAGAGAGGAGCTCTCCTTCCCACTGCAAACTCAAAAGCCTGAGGAAAATGCTGCGCTGTAACCATAAAAATAAAGATTGCCGATTTCGGCAGTGCAAGGTTCAATTCTTGAGTTTTTACTCTTGACGTACCAGCACTTGGTCCACATAATCCAAGCGGTCAATATGCACGCGCAAGATAAATGTGAGGAGTGCGACATGAAGACTAACTGCTCCAACAAGAGACATTTCGGGCTGGGCTTCAATGACCTGCAAACATGTCATGTGAAGCAAATGTTGTGAAAATATGTAAAAGTCAATGTGTTCGCTTCTCTCTCATACGCGGAATTCGTAACTACAATTTCCTATTCAACTCTCATGCCGAATCCAAACTATACGGAACATAGCAGCGTGAACCAAGGTCGAATGGGGTTACCTTCACTACTGAATTGCTCAATTTTGTGAACGCTTCTACCTGCAAAAACTCTGGGAGCACCTGCAATCACAAGAGTCTAATTCCATGAGAATTTAACATCCACACCATGAGCAAAACAAAACAACAGATTGCAACGTTTCTCTCTGTTCTCTTTTATCCTTCCTTTTGCTTCCCCATATTTTCTCTTTTCTGCAGCATGATCAAAATTTCTTGTGACATACCTCAGGAGAAGATGCTGCGTAGTTAGAAAGCCTTTCCATTAGCTGTGACATGACAGTTTTGATATCTACATTGGGCTGCATTCCCGGAGTACAAAATCAGTTGAACTGAGTGTGCAGAATTAGACAAACTGTTGGATGCATCTGAAATATAAAATCTGAAACTGAAGTATAGTCGGGTCGGGAACCTTTATATTTTCTGTTATGAGTTGAAATCCAACAGAAACTGACTGATCGCATGATTAGATCTACGCATCAATCTAACCCACCTGAAGTTGGGGACAAGCGCCAAGGAGTGTTTCCAGCGTTTGAAGGTGGAAATCATCAGGAAAAACTTGAATTATGCAATCCATCAAATAGTACTGGGCTAAATCATCCTTGCAGTTCACCACCTTGCAAGAGGGAAACACAACAACAGAAGAATCAAATTATGTTGAGATGTTGGGATGGAAATAGATGTCTGCCTTACTAGAAAACGGTTCTGAGCTTCCCATGGTGAACTGAAGGCTAAATTGAGAATTCTTCTTCAAAGTGAGGTGACTCATGTGAGTACAACAGCTAGAGACCGGAAGGGTATCGAGGCCCCAAGAGGTCAAAGGCCAAAAACTGAGATAAGATCTAGCTCAAGTACGAGGTCATCGATAAAATGAAGATGCAAGGCGTATTGAACATATCAGTAAACACCAGAACCTTGATGCTTCTCTGACGACAAGATTCATTTAAAACATATGAGCTTTGAATATTCACTGGATTCAGTTTCTTCCCACAGTTTTCCAATGATCTTGAATCTTGCACAAAGATGTACCTGTTCAAGTACCCGAGGTAGAACCACCTCTTTGTACATCTCAAGGTCGACTCCCTCCAGTTGACTTAACACATGAAGATTCTTACCCACCTGGAATAACATATTACATATATTTACTAAAGGCCGTGTTGTCACTACCCCGCCGGTTCACGTATGCGCATCCTCAAAAGGTCAATTTATTTTTAGACATCAGACATAAAATTCAGGTTGTCTATGAAATATCGGCCAAACCACTTCGTACTTGCGCGTGCTGAGCTACTATGAGCAGAACTGCGTAAAGTAGAGTGAAGGTCTTTCAATACACGGAGTTTCAACAATTACCAAGTCTCGAAGTTCGCTCCGCTCTTTCTCCCTTTTCTCTTTCTCCCTAGCAGGACCCTGCAGCCAACAAAATCATGAGCAAAGTTGGATTTTTTTCTGGAGACTGTCTACTTGAAACAGGGAGATAAATGTAATCACCTCCCAACTACATTGTTCGTCAACTGCAATGCCAACTGGGTTGCAGGACTACATCACGCTGTGTAGACTTATACAGGACAGCATCAGCTCTTCTCACTTCAAAATGAAGAGAAAACCAGACACCTAAGCTTGAAAAAACACATCAAAAAATCGTTACCTGGTGTTGCATTCGAACCCATAGCTTGTTCATCTCCGTGAAGTTTTGCAAAACGAACTCAACTGCATCCATAACGTTGCCTCCCTCCCTAATTTCCATCAGGAAACTTTATATGATCAGGTAATGTGATCGAGACTCCAAATCGGTAGGGCGTTGACTACTTGCTTTACGTCACCAACTACAATTGCAATGGGAACTGATGATGTCATATCCGGGCAAGTACAGGCTTTGGATGGAAATCTTGCCAGAAAAGATCCCAGCTACTATAATGGGTCACTGCAGGAATATCAACACATACCCTTCGTACTCAGAACCAACGTCTGGAAGTTTGTCTCGGCTGATTTGAGAAAGATAGCTTCGCAAGAACAGCCCTCGAATGGGATGTTGAACACCACGACTCATTTCAACCAAGTCCTTCAACACATCCTTCGCTGGTGCCTCCTTTGACTTGATATAGACGGAGCCAACTGTACAAAGTAGATATCTGAACAAACAGGTCTCCATTAATAAGCTCTAAAGTAAGAGTGCTTTTTTTAACTGGTTCGAAACATATTGACTCTCTATCTCAACCACTGCTGGTTGCAACTACTGTACACAAAGTTATGCCATCGAAATTTCCACACAGCTACCAGAACCGAAATGTCTGTCTAGCAGTAAAAGCTCGAGAAACTTACAATCTCGGCAAAATGTTGCCTGCGTGTTGCACCAATTCATACAGATCGGCATTGGTCCGACCCCGCTTACTTTCCTCTTTAAAAAAAACCTCCAACATTCGCAGTTCATCGAAGGTTCTCATATCTTTATTTGATCAAGGCATATCTTTTGTACAAAAGAAGTTGCACGATATTTGCAGTTCCTCAGTCTAGTAAAGAAAAAAAAATCAAACTGGAATGCTCAAGTTTAACATGCGCTAAGCACACCCAAGCTAGTCAAAAGACCAGCTAGTCAAAACCCGGCCGATGGACGGGAACATGTACTTACACAGTTGCCACTACTACATATAAAATTCACATGGCACAAACTTGAATTGTAAATGGATACAGAGCTCATAGTATTTTTGAGGAGACAACTTGGAAGTTCTAAGCTCTGAGAGCATTTGGGCAGAAAACTTCAACGCATCTCGCAGGTTATTCGCATCCTACATAAACGTAAGATAGTAACCACTGGCAACAGTTACTATTGCTGTGTATGCGCATGTTTTCTCGATATCAAATGTGAACCAACCCAGATTTTTTCATGAGCTCCAAATGTTTGACTTCAATAAACATGGAATTGCACGTTCACATTTGACCTAGACCTCAAAATGGAGCAGATAGCATACAATCCATCGAACAGGTCAATCATACAGCACAAACTAAAGTTTGAAATGGTTCATATATATGTGATATTAATTGCACCATTTAAATTTATGCCGACTTATCAACAAGAAAATATGTAGCGAAGCGACGTTTCTCAATTACCCATCATTAGCACAAAGTAATGACAGCATTCATAATCGCTTCTACACAAACAAGATCTCGTCGACTTCCGACGGACCCTTCCCTCCGAGGATTGAACAAAAGTGCAAGGGATCTGGACGATCGCAAAACCAGGGCATGGGCAAACGAAGAGAAAGGACGTGCCAGAGCTCGATGCATGAAGAACGCGTGATGCTGGACGAGAGCCATTGCATCCGCGAGCCATTTCTCCTGCTCCTCTGTGCTACTCATCACCTCGCCTTGAGGCTGCATGGCTGCTGACTGTCACTCCACCCAAAATCCAGCACCGAATCAATCCCGCAATCAGCCGATGGATCACTCGGCTCCAGCCGACGAAACCTCCTACCCTTTCCCTGTCTCCTCGTCTTCGCCTCTTCTGTGGGCCACCGAAATCACGAGTCCCTCATCTCACACCCGGACGACATCGAGAGCTTCATCGGGAGCGGGCAGCTGGCTTCTACCACTGCCGCTGCGCTGCCACACCAGAGGACGAGAAAGAGGGAAGCACTTGCAAAAGCACATACACACATACACTCACACACAGAGACACACACACACACACTCAGAGGGCGGGCAGAGCAGAGCAGAGCCGAGCCGAAAGCTGTTCTCTGCACCAGGCCGAGCTTATTGGAGGATGCTCGAAAAGATGTCCCAGCACACACGACACGTTTCGCTCGTCCTACTCTTTGCCCACATCCCTCGTTTCCCCCATTTTCCTCCCTTCGTGTCCTCGTCGGCCTCTTTTCACATTCCCTCCCCTTCCCTCTCCTGCCCGTCCCGCTCCCCTCGCTCTCCGACTCTCCCACTCTCTCGCGCTCGCTCTCGCGTTTCTCGTCGCCTCCTCGTCCTCGTCCTCGTACTACCCTTCGATTTGCTCACTTTCTTCGTCTTTTTCCTCTCCTTTCTGCGCAGCCCCTCCGACTCTGCGCACTGTGCTGCCAAATTTGGTGCTGGCGCTAAACTGAGGATGCCGCTAATTTGGGTCCCGGGCATGTTCCCGTCCATCGCGCTGGGCTGGGCTGGGCAGGGCTCCTCTTGATTTACAATTTGGCGTTTACCCCTTCCCCCTTCGTTTTTGGACTCTTGTTTAAGAGTTGTCGACGGCAGAGGTGATTTGCCTTGCCATCCCGACCTGTCAGAACTGGATCATTCCTGCTTATCGTTATATTCTCTTGCTTATCTCGTTGATTGGAGCTTGATGCACTATATTCTCTGCAGAAGAAAAATAAAATTTGCCCACAGAAATTACTGTCGCTCGCTCTGTGGCATATCCCTCTCCGCATTATCCTCTATTCATTAGTTCTAACTTATGACATATCTTTGCCTTCACGAAGTGATTCTCTTACTTCGGCAGTTTGGAATGCGCGAGCAACTTTGGTACAATTTACTAATATTTACTACCATCTAGGAGACTGCATTAAAGTTTCGAAATTGATTATTCCTTGTGGAATTTTAGTGCTTCATATCCGAATCCTGAATTCGTGTGTCCGATCCGTGGTTTAGAATTAAACAATGCCTACAGTGACTTTGGACCTTGCTTACAGTTTTGATAATCAACAATCTCATCAAGGTGATAAAATTCCAAGATCATTGAAAACAAAAGTTGAAGAAGAACGACATGATAGGATTACAATTGTACATGTTGTGGTAACTATATATGGCGATCTACAATTTGATGGAAATATGTAGATTAAATTTGCTGTTGCAAAGGTTCCAAACACTGAGTTAGCTACTTATATCCGAACTGTATAATTGGGATGCTCAAAGGTGTGATTTTAAGTTCAACGATTTTTTCAATTCTATAAATGTTAATTTAAATTTAAATGTTAACTATGAAAACATTAGACTTCTGCATCAATCTGAGTATTCATATTTATATCCAATAAATTTTAAGTTGCAGATATGAATAATAAATAAATGTATGGTTTAAAATTTAGAAAATATTGCTTATCTTCAAATTATTATATTGTGTTGATTTTGATATATTCAACATAATTTTTGGTACATTTTATTGATATGTTGGTCATACCAAAATAACCTACCAAAACAACCAAAATAGTTGGTGTAATAATAATAATAAATAATAATAGTAATAATAGTTAGTGTTGGTCTAACCAAAATAACCACTACAAATATTGAAGCAAGTACTATCATGATAACATATAACTTACTCATCATGTGTATTATCCGGTCAAAAAAAATTAACCTTCATCATACTTTAGGTTGTCATCCAAATATATATTGTTATACAATTAACATCTTTGGCATACCATACTCCCACCTAGGTCTCGGCAAGGTAAAGTAAAAGGTTACTGGGTAATGCATGGGTCTTCACGTTACCCGCACCACTACTATCTAACTTTTATTCTTTATCTAACTTTTACCTTTATCTATACCTTACATATTCTCTACGTGTATCACAACTATGGATTATCGATACATTAAGGTTAGAGGGGCAGCCTTGACTCCGAACTCAGGGTTGATACTGTGGTCATCGTAGTATTTTAGCTGTGTGTTTGAAGAATAAACTTATCAAACCTTCAAGTTGAGCTTCTAGTTGTTGGTCTTCAATTTGAAGCCTAGCAAATGGATAAACCCGCCTGCAGCAAACCTACGAAAAGAACTATCTTCTCGCCCAAAGATGTTTTGATCTTTGAGAATTCACTATAAGTGTGTAAAGTGTAAACAGTCAACTAAACATTACTCACAGAGTAAATCTCTTATGTTGCTCAACACTGGGAGCATATTGGCTTCACGCTTTGACTTGTTTCATTTCACTTCGACAATTTGCTTCACGCTTCGACCTGTTGTGCCATGAACTCTGTGGTAATTTCTGTAATGGTAAAGGGTTACCCAATAATTTTTGAATAATCCATTCAGCTTTATCTTTACTGTACTTGTTACCTTAGTTATAGCTCATCATTTACCTTTTACCTCTAACTTTTACCAATTTTCCGAGTAACCCTAAAAGGTTACCTTACATAGTGGATGCCAACTCGCACCCACACACACATAGGGAATGAGAACCTACACACACAAAGGTATCACAACAAAATCATCGCGTAAATTCCACTAGTTTAAATCACGAACATCACACAAAGTCAAGCGCAATCCATTCACTCATTACATAATCTAGATCAAAATTTACAAGTACACCACAGCCAGTCTACTACAAGCTACCCCAACGCGCAAAGTCCCAACTCAAAGAACCAAAAGTTCTTTGAGTTTTTCCAACTATATACTCTTAGACGAAAGTGAGACTTAACCCTTGTACAACACTAAATATATACAACATGTGTGAAGTTGACAAGGTAGTAACTCATTTTAGAGAGTCATAATAAGATAAAATCTTAATATATTAACTATCATGATTAGTATCATATATTAACACATCATGATATGATGTGTGTTGTCTCTAGATGTGATGCATAACTCATAATAAGAACATGCATTTTGTGACGTGAGTATTACATGCAAAGAAAGAAGAAATTTTTTTAATAAATTGATTCAACAATTCAACCTATTAACAACAAATAATATAATTTAGATCAAATGTGTGCACAATTCTACGTAAGACAAGAAAAACAGAAATTGATAAATAATTAAAATCAATAAGGATGAAACACTTGTTAAGTACGCTAAACAATATAACTTTATCATATTATGTAAAATATAATTATCAATCATGTTCATTTTATCAAAAATAAATTTCAACGGGTATGTAATGCAATGACATATAAGAAATCAAATGCAAAAAAATGAATAATTTCAATACTCATATTAATAAAGTATAAATCCCAAGCCAACTATATATGATTATGCAACCAAACTTTTAACCTATGTTTATTTCTTTGTCAATGTGTTGAATACTTTCTTGAATATTATAGCTGTAAACTTTTAATATGAACAATTTTTATAGCTAAATTCCAGTTTTAATAATAATTAGTGACAATGCAATAAAAAATAACCAAGAATGAAAAAAATAAATTTAAGAGCAATGCTCCAAATTCAAGAGTACAAATTTTCAACCTTCAATTAAAAACTATAAATAGAATGTTTAAATATATCTCATAAATTCTACAAAAAAGTTAGAAATGTATGATAACAGAATTCAATAATATGATTCATGCATTCAAACTATCATATAAAAGTTTTTTTAATAGGTTTTGTAAACTCATTGAGTGATTTTTTATTAAAAATTTTGAAAATTTTTAATTATCTAATTTAAAACAGAATTCATTCAAATGAATTTTTTATTTTTTCACAAAATATATTTTATCTAACCAAAAAATTTAAAAATATTTCTTAAATTTTTTAGCTATAAGATTATGGATTAAAAATAATACATAAAAAATACAAAATCAAAACATAATATAGATTTAATATCAATAATTTTTTTAGAAATAATCTAAAACTTTGAAAATTAATTTCTAAATTTTTTCTAGCTGATATGATCTTAAATTATTATATTTTGATAGAAATAGGTTTTTATGCAATGTATTGCAGAATATTAGTTATATTGTACACTGTATAAAAATGATAAGAAAAGGGGGTGGCTAGGTGAGGGAGAACAAGCCGCACCCTTTTCTTATCATCCTCACTTGGGGCTAATTAGTACTCAACCTTCAAAACGGAGTTCACTTGGATTATATGGTCAGTGTGGGAAAAATAATCAGAAAGATAAAATGCTTGTTACATCTCGGCTCCAGCCGTTAGTTCCAACTCCCCATGATCCGGCCAACTTCGAGCGTTTCGTGAAACCCTTATCATCAGGTATATGAAACATGCGCAACAGAACGAGGAGATCATGAACGGCATATAGTCATTGCCATGCAGGCCAGGCCGTTGGTCCGAGGTCGTGAAAAATGTGCATTTGTCAACGGCATTCGCCATGAAATTTGTGACCTTGATACTAAATCAATGGCAAATTTTGTCCATGTAGTCGTACCAAGTGATACCACCGATCGTACTTCCTCCTCAGACCTCGTCTTGCCTTACATAGACAGAAATTCCAATTTCGGTGCCAAGAATTTCCAGCCGCGATGGTGATCAAGCGAAGCGATGCGGTGCGGTGCCGACCCGACGCGTTGGATTATTGAAATTGGTCTTGCGTCATCTTTTGCACCTTACAAATTTGCTTTCATGTTGTGAGTGCAGAGCTTTCCAAACAGAACGCAGTAATCGAAGAGACTGTAAATGTGCAATCCACAACGTTGCAAACGAGTACGCATAGTTGTAGTTCTCGTGTATGGATCCGACTAGAAGGTCTAGATCTGCATGAGTCGAATGAAAGGGAAGAATCCGCTTGCTCGCACCCAAGAGATGGAGCTCGTTGTTTGGATTTGAAGTCAAGCACATCTCTTCGGCCCACGTGAACGCAAGATGTGATGGATTTAAATCACGTCGAATAGAAAAACGGAAAACTTTTGAAGTTTATTTTTCTCACATTCACCATATAACCCAAGTGAACTAATGAGTGACCTTTGTATAGTATGCTGAGGGCTAATTAGCCATATGTGAGGTATAATTATTTGTCCCATAAGAAAATATGATGGTGAAATACAAATTTATGAAAAGAATATGTTTTTTCATTGTGTTGTTGGTTTGATGATCTACAAGAGCAAACAATATTGACAAATCGTTAAAAATATGTGTTTGAAGACACAACCACAAAAACGTAAGAATTGTTGAATAATTTTGGAAAAATTTCATATACAAATAATTGTACATATATGTAAAATAACGATTGAAATTATGGATTTAAAAATAAGAGATGTATACTAAACAGAAAAATCTCGATGAATTTATATTTTCTTAATCAAGTTAACTATGAATTTGAATAAATATTTGAAGTCTAGGATTTGTTTCAATTGAACCAAATGTGTTAGGATAATTTTGAAGCATAAGAATTTTCAAAAATTATGCTAAAATAAAATTTAAATATAGTTCAAAATTTTTGCATATTTGAATAATCATTGAGCATAAGATGTTAATATCAAACTTGTGTATTTACTTTATGCGTAATATGAACCTTGGTGTATTTATCATGAAGTCAATATAATGATTTTTAATTTATTTTCTAACTTTTCTGGTTAATCATACGTTGTACGTAAAACTTGAAGATTGTAGATTTATTGACATAACTCATTGCAAATTAATTTATTGGCATACTAAGGGAATAAATATATACATTTTTTTCATTTTATTATGTTATGTGATTTGTATTTAATTATACTTATATAAGTAAGTTTCGAGTGTAATTTGATAATGTCAAGTTTGGAGATATGTGCATAATTCGAAGATAAAAATAACTATCATGAGATCAATACAATTATTCTATCGTCAAAATATTTATTGAATCATATTCTTTATGTAAAGCTAAAATAATTAAAATATAATGAAAAAAAATTAAAAAATTTGGCACTTAATGTGAAAATCCAAATACTAGAAATTTTCATTATTTTATATAATATAATTTAGGTGGAAACATTCATGAATAAGTTTTTTAAAAGTACAAAAACATTAAAAAAATTATTTAAAACTTAGTCACACCAAAACTGATTAGTGTAATAGCAATTCTTCTTTGAACATTTGATTTTTTTCCCATGAGGAGTAAGGGAGAAATAATTAGCTTACTTAAAGATTGAAAAATATAAAGAGTCCAAGGATTTACTCTCTCTAAAAGTGAATCAAACTTCATGAAATACTATTTCAGAGTTATACATCAAGAAAGTGAAGATCCACCATCATTTGACAATGTTACATGTAGATCTATTTAATATCACTTTTAAATATCCTAATTACTCCTAAACCAATTACAAATGTGAAGTCATTGTGTAGTGAAAAGTTTGATTGATCAAACTCTTAAAAATTTTATCACAAGTAGAATTGTAGATTTATAACAAATGTAATACTTCCAAGTCAACTAGATAGATAACCCCATAACAAATGAAGATATGCTCTAAAATTCAATGCACTTAATTATCTTCACATGATAACATCACACTCCTTGCCATAACAAAAAAGGTTTTTGTATTATAAATGATAGTTAGACAATGAATCATATGAACTTTTTTCCATATGAAAGTATTATCATACTCACATGATAAAAAATGAAGATGTCCCAATCAAGACATGCAACCTTGTTATATTGATAAAGTGGCGCTTGGGATTTGAGAAAAGCACAAAGACAAGAGTAGCATGGAAATTGAATGATTGCAAGAAAAATATTAGTATGAAGAATGAAATATTTATAAAAGATCAATTGAATAGTATCTTTATTTTTTTGATGAACAAAAGTTTAAATTTGCTGAAAGTGTCATGATTTACTGAAATTCATGGACTTGAACAATAAAGTATAATTGACACATATAGTGTTTTTGATGTATGAACTATGTCAACCTTGGTATCATCTTTTGTCTTACAAGAATAATATATACGATATATTTTGATCACAAGTTTACTTATTGTACATGTAAGCATCAATTGCAACTTATTATTGGTGATGTAAAGATGTCCATATGACTTGTCAAGTGGAGATTGAATATCATGATCGTGCCTCTTCAAATATGGCATTGAGTGGCGTTTGTGCCAAATTTTTCATAAATAATATTTGCGATATGTCATAAATAAATGTGAAAGTCTGAATCGGCGGTTTTGTATGTTGGCAATTGCTCTTGATTGTTGCTATTGAACAAACAATAGCAACTATTGAGAGGTAGAAGAGAGGTACGGTTCCTCTGATTGTTGTAGTTGAATCAACAACAATAATTTTTTAGTGGTGAAAAAGAACGACGACTGCTGAAGAATTATTGCTAATCTTTTTTTTCCGCCATAGGGAAGATGAAAAATTTTAGACGTGTTTACTGTTGTCTGCTGTTAAATACTTCCACGCGTTCATTTTTTTCTACTCAAGAGTTTCCGTTATTGAAAAATTACTCTCAGTGAAATGTTGTCAAAGAAGCGCAAAATTCCATTCAGTTCTGCTCACAAACTTGAATATTGATTGAAGATGTTGACGCGGAAATTCTTGTTGATGTCGTTACATCAATTTGGTGTCGCTTTTGCCAAATATAGAGCCGTGAAAAAAAGATCGGACAGAAGCGTGAGTCGGCTATGACCACAAATTACTTAAAGTTTCATATTGACAAGGATCGTACTTAGAGCATTTCAAAAGCCAACACTTGGTAAAGTGGAGTGAATATCGTATTATGTCAATATATTTTAAGTTAATTCTCTTCAATGCTAATGTTTTAGTAAAAACTATGCATGCTCATTTTGTTGGATCAAATTATCAATTATACATTGATATAAAACTAAACATCATCCATTCAATTTTACGCACGCTTGTATTAGATCCCATAGTTGAGAATAATTCTATTAATCGAGCGTTGAGATTCTTTGACTCGATCAAATCTAACAATGTGACTGTTTGTTATCAAGTTCATATAAAAATCATCAAGCTTTTCAAGCTTGTTCTTGGGATGTTTGATCTTGGCTCATTGTTCAAGTTAACAGCGTGTCAAGTGGAGTGTGCACGCAAAAAATGGTAATCGGTTATCTTGGCAGATGCAATGAGGCAAAAATATTATTGTTTGTTTGGATTGCTCTTGCCGTTTGACATAAAATTTTTACAAATTACTCGTTGATTGTTGGACATTTTCTATTTGCATTCAATTCATCAACTGTTGAGAGCATCTCGTATTTGAGATTTATTGTAAGAACGAAATTGTATTGCTTTCATTTATGTTTTTTATTCTCTTTATGAATGACACACAAGAGGTAATTTGTTCAAGACGTTCCATAAGTCTATGGATGCAATTTGTCCATCTTGGTCATATATTTTCCTATCAACCTGCTCTAATTGTGCCAAGAATATGATAGACTAAAAACATGGAACAGTGATTTGTGTTCTACTTGAGTGTGACAAGAAGATTGCTACTTTATTAGATTTTGCTGTGATGTACATCAATTTGATCTTGTTGTTCAAGGTGTTATTTTTGTATATCTCAACAAAAAATTTTATTTGATGTTAAATACCATCATCAAATACATACTTTGATAGCTGAACTTGATCAACAAAATTAAATATAAATGTTCAAAGGTTGCTACGACTCGTTGGTTATCGTTGGCTAAAGTATTGCTTTGGTTTTTCAACTCATTGTTGTTGTATTGTTATATACATAAATCAAAAGAAATTTGATTTAAATCGTTTGTCATATGGTGTATTGCTTTATTTTCATTGATTCCAATAGTTACAAAGATTGCCATTTTGTTCAAAATTTTGCAACATTATACTTTACTAATAATAGCAGGAAATCGTCTTCCCTAGATTCATCTCTCGACTCCGAGATGTGACAAGAATGCAAGGTCCAATTTCCAAATTGCTATTCCAGGAACAAGATCAAGACATCTAGTGTTGTAACAGCTTTTATAGGATTGCTTAGAACGTTGTTGTGCATTTTGTTCGAGGGTGTGATTCATTTATTGCGAGTCATTTGATAGCTTGTCTCAAGTTGAAAAGAATGTTGTGATTTGTTATGTTGTAAACCTAATCGTTAATCTTGCAATACTTGAGATCGAGCGAGAAAGTATGGTAACAATGCACTTGCATCGTCTTTAATCCCATGTATTCCTCGCAAATTCGTGAACATGCTTGCATCAAGCTTTGTAAACCTGATAAAGAGATTTCGATCTCGACTTAAAAAGAATTTCACCAAGTAGTGCATTGACCGCTTGACCGGTTGGAACGAGAACACAAAAAACAGCGGACTGCTTATCAAAGAGAAAATTTAATTTGTGAAATGCTGGAATATGTAGAGTTGCATGAAGAATAGAACTCTTTAAACCTCTATTTCCCAAATTGTGCAAGTTTTTTGGAGTATTTGCTACTCTGTATCCTGGTACTAAGAATAGATAGGGAGTGATTTTTCCATTGTTAGTTGGGAGAAAGACAAGTTCATATGGTAATTAATGGATTGTTGGAGTACATCATGCAGTGTAAGCAATTAAAAAATTAAGCAATTTAATACTGTAGTCATATTTATCATAAATAAAATTTTGGTGATACCATAATAGACTTATGATAGATTTGGCAAATGACTGATCATGATGCATACACGATACTAGGAGTAGCGGAGATGATGAGCTTTAGAGTGTGGTCAACGACGTGAGGGTATCACCAGGTAAGGCTGACTCACAACGACGTAAGTCCAGTGCTCCATAATTTTAGAAACTCCGCAAGGCCACCGCGTCGGGAGCTGCCTTCCTGGAGATCGGGGACGATGACAAGTCGGCAAGCGAACCCCAGTATTCACTCACTGAATTTCAAGAACCTTCGGCACATTGACTGAACGAGAGAGGCAGCCGGATCCAATCCACGAGGAAGACGAAGGAAGAAGAAGAAGAAGAAGACGTAGGAGCTACACCACAGCGTCTCGTAGAGGCAAGAACAGGGCAGGAGAATAATAGCTTGCGCGCAGAGTCTGCTGGATCTGAGTTCTGTCGTAGAGTCACGCTGGATTCACGCAATTCTCATCGATCTGCTGAGGGGAATCGAGAGTGGGATACGAATCTATTAAGAATTTTACGGTAGAAGGGTGTGGAGAAGAGCATACCGGATTTTCACAGTGAAAGATCCGAGCAGCAGAAGAAGGGGCAGGAGCAAGTAGAGGGAGGGACTGATTGGCTTTCGCGAAGAAGTTGCAGAGGGAAAGTTGCGAAGCGGTCATGGTTCTGTGGGAAATCACGTTGGCTACCGCTTATGTTTTAGGCCTGAGGAGAACTTACCGATTGGCTCTTCGTGGACAGAGGCGGTTGCTCGGTACTAAGTATCCAAAGATCAGGGAGTTCACCGAAAGGTCAGTTCCCTTGTTATACGAATCACTTCTCATTCCTCTGCTCATTGCATTTGACTTTCTTATAATCTGGACGTTTGTGAACATGAAACACTTGATGACAGATCATGGATCATAATTGCTAGGTTTGATCCAAGGCAGCTCACAATGGTTGCGTGTAATCAATCAATTTCATCAATTCCAGAAGTCTCTTCTTCGAGGGTTTAGAAGTTTCTTCCTTCAGGGTTTAGGGTTTCTCGGTCTTTATGTGTGAGGTTTCCTTTGACGATGTGCTGGCCTGGTCGATTGAACATCTGATGATGTTTGAGGCCTCTAATGGTACGTGGTACACCGGCTTGCTAGAAGGACGCTGGAAGATGTCAGATGATTACCATGCATATACCAGTGGGCGATTTGTCTATCATAGGGTGCCTTTGCTTATTGACAGTTTCAGGACTTGTCTCTTTTACATCTGTCTAGTCACTTCAAATTCACCTTTTCTATTTGTGTTGTAGTTACAGAACTCCTTTTGTTATGTTTTGTGCAAGATGCGTTAGTCGGTGATTCTAGAAGGAGATTACGTTTTGTTAATATTTGAAGCACGAAGAGTGTATTTCCAGTCGATCTTGATTAATAATTTCCTTTTTCGTACATGTTTGGCAGACGGACACGGGCTGTATTTACTATGGCATTGCACATGTACCAAGAAATACAACGCCGAGATATTACAGTCGGACGTAATGTTGGCAATTGGTTGCTGCGTTGGCTTGACCGGGCGCGGCCACAAGCTAACATCCGGGGTGATTCTGGTCCAACCTGTCATCCCGGAACTGGAAGACCATCTGCACCTCCGGTGCAGAATAAAAGCACGAAAGCAAGCGAGACAAAGCGCTTACAGATTGGAGCTCGAGAGTCTGCTGGATCGAAAAGCCCTGTCAATTCTGGATTGTCCAACTACAAATCACACGTTAGAGGACGTATTGGAAATACAATCAGAAGTCGCTTGACGGACAATTTCACGCCGAAGATGAGATCTCTGCCCGCACTAGTGTCTGGGCTGTGGTGGCAACCTGTGAGGCGACATTCTGCAGACCTGGCATCGCTTCCCAATGCTTCGAATGCCTTGAGCTTGTCACCTATACCAAGACTGCCGGTTGTTCACGTTTTGCAAAATAGACCTTGTCAACGTCAACGAAGTGTCTTTCGTGAAGACATTGCTCGATTGATGCGCGTTCCAGCCACCCCGTAAATGGTTCAGTGCATGAAACTCAGGTGAAACTTTCACCGAATCACAGTGAGACTCCTCTTAAGTGTATGAATTGCTCAATTCTCATGACAGAGCTTAAAAACAAAACCAGAGTTGCTGCCTTTTATATTTTTTCTCAGGCTATGAAAGTTTGCTGCATTCTCCTTATTTGTTTGATGGCACGGGTATAGCGACAGCTGAAGATGTGCACTAGTACGAATAGTTTCAGCCAAAAAATACAATCGGTTATCATTGGAGTTTAATGTAGGAAGCTATTCATCCCCACAATTCGTATGTTTGTTAGTTGGTGTTTGTTTGTATATTTTTTTGGGAACTAACCAGACTTGCGTGTGAAAACAGAACAGTCAAGGGGACTTGAGACGAAGGACTGTTGGAAAGGAGCTGTGAAGAGCCATTTGAATACTCTGTATATATCCGCTTTGATCTCAGGAACTGAACTTTTTGTAGTAGCAGTCGTCTAATAAGTTAAGGAGACCAAACAAAGAATGGTATGCGGGGTAGAGGCATAATGCATTGTGTACAGTGGAGTGTAAAGTGATTGTAGTGCAGTGAAGTTAATGTTTCTAAGTACTGATAGAAAGGAGACAGCGCCATGGTGATAGGCTGGTTAGTGTCATATGGGGAGGGGAGTCACAATATTAGTTATCTGATCACGACTCCTTCACAATTTAGTAGAGGTTGTAACCCCAATTTTAGTTAGAAAGCATTAAGAGAATCAGTGATGTGTACTCCGCTACCTTTCACATGTCTACGGTGATGGCTCTAGCATTGTGAACTGTCACAATGTGGAAGTGATCTGTTCTTTAAGGTGTTGGCAAAAATATTCACAATTGCTGTGGGAGGACTATCAAGTTGATTAACTCGAAGACAGCTGATCGAATCGCTATTATGTCATTATGGTAAAGTCGATTGGGGCCATGCAGTGAAACGTTGGGTGAAGTTGCTAGAGATGAAGGCGAATATATGCTTTTACTGATTGTACTTCATCAGCATTTCGAAGTAAGATGAGGATCATGTTGAGCAATGTTCAGTTATTGTGCTAAGCTAGATATGTATACAGGGACATTGGTCTCTTAAAAAACACGAAGGGCTTAAGTACGTTGTGGGCTTTTCCAGTATATTGTGAGGTGTGTTCGAGAATTACCACGGAGTTCCGGAACCGCGATCTAATTTGCTCGGTTGAGAGTAATTGGACCATGTGATGCTGCACACATAGGTCGCCACTATCATTTGTCATTTCGTTCAATCAAAGTTTTTTGTCGTCCTCAGCTGTGAATGTTCTGCACTTCGACTGATAACCTTGTTTTCGGACTATCAAGTATCATTAGAAGTGTCTCGAGCAACCACCAAAGCAAATCATACATACATCCTCATTTGCATCCAATTTCATCGTCTTATAAAGGTCAATTCCTTCTTCGAGCTCTGTTTGTAATTCATGTCTTCTTAATGACACTCTGTTCTTAAATCTATCTAGTTACTGATTCTTAAAGATAATGCATCTTGTTTCTCACCTGACGTTAGGTATACTTTCAATTCATAAACCTCATGTTGGGGGAAGGGGAAAGTTTCGAGAGAAAAATAGTACGTCAGACATACATATTAAGACGAATGAAAGGTCCAATCCTGGATACATTCTACAACCTATGTCCTATCCCGCCCATAAATTATGTATTTACAAACATTACTTACTAGTGGTAAGAATGTTTGGATTCCAATGTCCCAAGATTTTGGCTCTACTTTTATAACTTGAATTCCATATCTTCAAAGAAATGTAACACGAATTTCTACCGAAATCTAACTGACTTAACAGGTGGCTAATGTGGCGAATCTAGACACGATCGACTTAATTCGTAGTATGGAGAACTACACGAATTGTATATGCATGTTTTGATTCCAATATGTCTGTTATGTGTTTGACTGATATCAGAATTTGGTCTGCATTTACAAAGTTATCACCATGACTGTTTTGCTTCAGCAAAGCAAGCAAGTTTCAGCAGCATTGAAATGCAAAGCAGATAAAATAACGATTGCAACACGCAACGATATCTTGATCTAGAAAGTGTGTTTTGTCATCTTTGGCTGAAGAGGAACACCCATCTCTCTGGAGTCTTGCAGCTATTGGTGCATTGGGAAGCAAAGGGATTTTAGAAGTTGTGCAACGCGCACGCGACTCCTAACACCCATTTCTGTAGAATCCAGAAGCAAATTACACGTGTCACTCATCAAACACACCATGAAACCACAGTATTATACGTTACTGCTTTCTCTTGTTATGACATCTGGAGCATAATCTTGCTCCAATATGGATCTCACTCATGGAGCAAACTATGAATCCACGTTATCATGTATTATGCATAACTACTTTCTCATTGCGACAGCTGGAGTTTAGTGGTTGCTTCAACATGGATGGAGGTTTACGATGTCAGACGTAATTAGAATTATTATTCATCGATCTAGACACACTACTATCACATGTGGGCTAATTAGGATTGTTGCTGAAATATGCAAGTAGCAAGAATAATGTGAGAACATAATTTCATTTTCACACTTAACTTGAAGATGCATGAAGTGTTTTAGTGATATGGACAACGTTGTTTAGGAGTTTGGTTGACATTTATTTACGTACATGTGCATATTTCTAGTTGCATGTAATAATCTAGATAACGCCATGTATATCCGTAATCTTTTTGGCATTTTCTATTGAAAAAAAAAAAACCTCTTTAAGTGGAATATGTTGTATATCCCCTGTTATCACTCGTGCTGAACTTCATATCTTCAGTTCGAGTGATAGAGAAACTACATATAATGACAGACATTTATAATGACAGAGATTAGCTCTCTACTTTTCTTTCGGCCTTCACTTGAGTTTCTCTTTCCTACTTCTACTTGGCCTCTGCTTCGGAAGTTAGTTGATGTGGTTGCATCAGGCCTTTTATTCCTCGAGTCTCGTGAAAAGAATAAACCCAACAACATTTCCTCATCAATGATTTTAGCAAGAAATTAATTTGGAAAAGTTCTTGGAGGCTTGACTAATTCTTCGGTTTTTTTACCGCACTACATTTAAGTCAGCCATTTTTGGTGAACGTAACGAACGCATGCTGTGCAGCGCTCCCCCGAGTGGAAGTTTAGAAGAAGACCTACTTCCAAAGCTACCTGCATTTAGGGTTTCGGTTCGAGGAATCCATGGAAGATTCTAAGAACCTCATGGCTCCGCAAGTCACCCTCACTTCTCTGGTCCAGTACTAAAGCTCCGGCTTCTTCCTATCACAAACACAGCTCTGAGACCTCTAAGCTGGTCTGTGACTGATGTGATTATTCCTCACCGATGGATTAGCTTGCGCCACACTGCTTCTCCGTGCCGGCTCTCTTGCATGGCCTCCGCAGTGTTATCTCAAAGATTTTCACTTTAGCACTCATCTCCCGATTTGTCTCTCGCTAACGTTACGATTTGGATGCTTCGGAAAGTCACTGGATCGCCTTCTTGAACGATGGTGTAGACAATTCTGAAGGTGTAATTATTTGGATGTGCGTTGTAGATCGCGGTCTGTTGAATCGTGCTCCTAGCGTTCTGTCAGTCATACTGATGAAGGGACCACATGATTGACTACTGGAGGCACGAACGAGCGGAGAATCATGCTTGAAAGCGGTGGAACTTACAGTTCGCTGCTTTCACATATTTCCTCCGTAGGTTCTTGATCTCTCGAGTATGAACAATGGGTCATTTACATATGTACGCGTTGAGAACACTGCTGCAGTCGTGAGAAGACACTGCGACCCAAACGCCCGATGAGTCGGTGTAAGTATCTTATAAAAGAGTTCGTTTGTATTGGACATCAATATTTCATTATAGCAGGTGAGGATCATTAGTATAGCCATTTGTTCAGTTTCATAGAGTTATTTGTTAGGGATCCTTCAGCTTTTGGAATTGGCCTAGTCTGTACGTGGATGCGTTTTTTACAGCGACATCTTACTGAATGCAGTGATTAGCATATAGCGTTGTCTACACTTAAATATCATGTCAGACTGTGATGTAGCAAAAGAAGACAAGCATATAACTGAGCGAAAGCTTTGCTGAAAACTTCTACACTATCTGAGTCTCATCGAGAGCCCTCGTGCTATCGGCCACGTACTCCGCTCCTTTGGAAAGCGGAACATAGGTTAGTGCTGTGGAAAGGGCTGTGATGAATCAAAAGAAGACAAGCATAAAACTGAGCGAAAGCTTTGCTGAAAACTTCTTTAGATATCTGAGTCTTCTTCACCTTCCGGAATGGTACCAACCCTACTTGGTACATTTCTTTGATCCATTTGACGCAAGGTTGAACACAACTATACTCTTGTCCACTTGGAATCGAAACGATCTAAAAGTAAAGCATGAGCAAGAGACTTGACCTAAACTTGAAGTCAGTCAAGCCCTGTTACCAGAGAATATTTTTTCTGTCGAGCAACATATCATTTCCTTTACACCCCGGTGCAACACATTGCACTGTGCCAGTGCTTCGTGGTCTCGAAGACCCCGAGTAACTGATTGTTCGACATGCCTTAGGTTTGATGCCATTCGAATGTGACTGACAGTACATATGTCGACGCGGGGGTATGTTGCGGGGGTTATGTCGCGGGGGATATTCATACTGGTATATTAAAGGACAGACAGATGTCAAGTTGGGTGAGACAGTGCTTCGGAATGTCTTGAGAGGAAGCTGTCTGGCGCAGGAAATTACGATTGCTAAAATTTTCTCCAGTACTGGTTCAGGCTTATGGCACCTGACAAGGCGGTTTTTTAGAGTCACTTGTATGTCCAAACAATGGCATCAACAAGTGCTAAAAATCGCCAAGATCAAATTGGGTAATACCAAATGGTGACTCAGCTCAAATATGTGTCTTCCTGTAGGCTCATGGTGAGTTAAATCTGACAATTAAGCAAACTGTCAACCTTCGGATTTTTAAAGATGCGTATCCTTGTGAATGATCTAACCTGGAATACGTGAGCATATTAGCTCGAACGTTCTGCCCGCATTCATTTTGGCCTTCCTCCCCGAATAAACCACCATAGCGCAGGGAATTGTGGAGAGAAACGGCCGTAATCGATATTGTGAATGAAACAATTGAATCCAACCTAAACAGTTTATGAATGAATATCCGCACACAGTTCTGCAAGCTGCATTCTTGTGAGTACAGTGAACAAAAGCGAAGGTAAACTCTTTTTTGAAAAAATGAGAGCCGATCGAAATATCGAAGATTGCATTCTTGTGAATACAGTGAACAATGACGAAGATAAACTCAATTCTGAAAAAATGAGGTAAAAGTGCAACCTATCGAAAATTGTATAGCTGCAATGACGTAACACTAATGTATCACTCAATCAGATAAATCTTGGCCTGAAAATTATGAATTATGCCCTATGAAGGTAAAAGTCCGATGTATCTCCCATGAAAATTTAGAGCAAATGAAATATTCAGTCACCCTTATAAAGCTAACTTCGTTTCTCGGAAAAGAAAATTTGATGAAATGAAACTGAGATGATGGAAAATATATATCGTATGGTAAAATGATAACTAACATCATATACGCAGTCGCATCCACGACGAAAATATGTGAATCTCGAAACTGTATTCTACGCTGAATTTAGAACAGGAACATACATACGTAAACATAGGGCACCTCTCTGCACACCAACCGAATACTCCTATCTACACTATACACATATCGAAGAAGTAAATATAAGTATCACTCTTCACAAGCATTCTCTTATACTCTTCACGAAAACTATACGATATGTGATGAATTCTCAAAACAACGTGTTCTCTATCGGGCCCTTGAAATAAACTCTCAAGACAAAAGTAAATCTCGAGTAGCACTGCTCAATGGGTTCTATATAACTGAGCTCTCTGAAAAAACATTTACAAAACAGAGTTAAAACTATGAAAGCAACGAAAATCTCGAGCATGTGAAAACCATAGCATTCAACTAATGCTAATATTTGAACGTAAGTAAAACAATCATACATTCAGAAGTCTAAAAAGATTAAACAACATTTATTTTAGTACCATTTGACCAAACTTCTCCTCAACACATTAATCCTTATTTGAAGACTTAAAAATATGCATGAGATTCGTACAGAACATGAGTTTTTTTAATGATAATTTAATCATGTACTCTTTACATACATTCATGAAACTTTAATAGAAAATTGATAATTTTATTTTATTTTATTTAAAAGTTTATGAACAACATTTAGGCAAATTCTTGTTCACTATATTTCTACAATCCATCTAGTTCATTCAAACATTTGATTTTAATACCCTAAAACATAATTGATAATTTAATGGATTGCTGTATCACACAAAATTAATTACACTTATACATAAAAGTTAGGGGCCGACTAGTTATCACTCAGTTTAGGCTAATTTTCACTCACCATACTATACAAGTCATCCAAGTTCTCTGTTGGCCTCTTCCGGACCGAACCTAGTCTGTACTTGGGCCCATTCTTCGGTGCCACCCCATCATACTTGATCGGTGAGTTTCCCGTGACTAGAGATTCTAGCAAATGGTAGCCGCGTTGCACCTGCACGAAAATATTCATCATGTGAATCTGCAAAATTGCACTTGCTGACAAAGCTCCACTTCAAGAGCTCGTCTTGCACATTAACACCTGCATATTAAGTCTTTACTTTCTTCATTCCACTGCATTTCGCCAAATGTTCATGAAAATGATCCAACAGATTTGAAGAAAACTGCGCCGAATTGTCCAAGAGGTTTGGTCGTGGTTAGACCAATCTTCAGAGTTCGTAAACATAGCTTCTCGTTTTTCTCAAAAAAAAATTCCTTGCTATTCATGGCATGAAACAACACCACGATTCAAAAAACCATAAATCCTATCAAACCCAAAGCCCTGAGCTCATTATAGATCCATGCAATGTCGAAAAACGTAGTGTTGCAGCCAACCAACTCGTACACAAATTGGATGGATGACTTGGCTAATTATCCCTCATCATAGTATAGTAGGGTGAGGGATAATTAACCTAAACTGAGTGATAACTAGTAGCTCCCAAAAGTTATTATATTATGTTATAAAACAGGTCTATGATACGTGAAGAATACACTAGTATAGTAGGGTGAGTGATAATTAACATAAACTGAGTGATAACTAGTAGCTCCCAAAAGTTATTATATTATGTTATAAAACAGGTCTATGATACGTGAAGAATACACTATTTATATCAGTTTCACCAACTAAATAGTCTCATCAGCTTTGTTATTTTTGTAGAATTTAAATGTCAAACCTTCACAAGTCAAACATTAAGTGTACAAATTCTTTGAAATACGTTACAAAAAATAAGTGGTTAATTTTGTTGAGCATCATTTACAAGATCACAACATTGTATTTCAAAAATGACTTATTTTATTCGCAGAAGCTAGAATCAATTTTTTCATATAAAAATTGGTTACTAGAATAAATAATTATGATAAAGGTAATTCAATATATAGATGAGAAACACCGAAAATATATTAGTTACAATTTGCTTCAACACATACAAAAGTATAAGATTTCTTCATCATCGATTTCATTCTTAATTCATCTATGGAATATTTTATATATATATATATATATCATACACACGGATTTCTGAATTGAAATTAGAAATGAAATTTATTATTCTGAAATAATTTTATTTTCGTGATTTTTAACTAAAAATAATTATATATATGATTTTTCTACAAAAATATGTAAAAAACCTAGCCCATATTACTTTTAAAATTAGAGTTAATTGGAGTGAAGCCGTAAGTTGAACATGAGAAAATAAAATCATATACATAGATTATGTGATAATTAATCTATTCTATTTTTAGCCGTTTGCAAATTCTACAATCTGCCACATCTTAAATAACTTTTAAAAAGGATTTTGATAAAAAAAAAATATTGATTTTACTTTCAAAATTTCTTAAGTCAATTATATTTTAAGATAAAATCTATTAAAATAAGTGATACATGATATGTATAGGATTTATTACCATTAATTTTTATCATCTCAATTCACAACTAGCTGGATGTAATAGTATTTGATTGTAACAGTGAAATTTCATAAAATAATTAATAAATATAATCTTAGTGACAAACTTGTTCAATTAGATGAAATTTTATGATGTAAGTATATATTTAATCTTTTTAATAAACTTTAATTTTGTTCATCATCAACATGTATTCAATCAACGATTTAACATTGTACAAATATGCATTAAACATAAATCCAACATTTTAATGAGATTTGTAGTCTTCAACATTGTTGAAATAACCTCTCTAACTTTGAAAAGAAAATCTTCAAAATGTTAAAAATCACATCAAGCATGATCTTAAATGCACACAAAGAGATGTTGTGCAATTACATATCGCATCAAACATTAAAAAAATAAATTTACACGAACACAATTTTATTATGATGTAGCTACAACGTTATCATGAGATATACATACAAGTACGTCACATATCAATGCCAACATTTTGTACTTGTGAGTCATACTCATATTGTGACATAGTATTACTCTCCTACTACATTAAACTCTAAATGAGAAATGTCAACACATGTCGCATTTAAGTTATAACACGTTGCCTACAGGGGAGACTTATTGTTGAACTAGAAGGTTGTATTCTTGCTGTGAAAGAGCAAATCATGCAAGACGTCGAAATTGCATGAGCATGAAGATAGGTAGGGTAGAGTAAGAGTGGACGTAAATCATATAGAATTTGTGAGCTAGACTCTACTCGCTATCTAGTTTCTAGCTATCAACGTACTCAGTGTGATCTTTCGAGGTTGGAAAGATTGCTGAGCACAATGCTTGCTTGTTCATGGAGTCAAACCAAAAGCAACTCCGACACAAGTACACAGAAATCCACAGCCCGAAAACATGGGTCCATAAGAAGGCAAATCTAGATTGAGTGTCCGACTGGGCTCAACATGGTATGACTTTTTGATGTTGTAGACATCGTCGAAGACATAGGCCGTGTGCTAAAAGGTAAAGGCCCGAAACAAGGATGGGGAGTAGTCACCACAAGGAAGACACGGACAATGTCGTGGGACTCAAGATGTCTACATTGTGGTCAGGTGGCCAAGATCCTATACAGCTTCATCCTCATAAGGGAAATTTGAAGGCATGCAATGCGATTGCTTGCGACAAGGATCTTCAGTTAACTGTCTATGCAGAACGACTCATCGGTTACATAAAGGTCATGAAAGGTTCGCAGACAAAATGTCTACTTTTGTGAACCCGGCTCCAGAAGAAGAGGAGAGCTAAGAGAAAACACGGAGCTTTGTCGTAAGGATGTGAGCCTCTGTAAGACCCTGAACGAATATTGAGATTTCAAGATGATAAATATGATTGAGATAGAATGTCAGATAAACACGAACAGTATTCCGGAACATCGGGAGGATCAATTGGATTTTGTAAATTCAGCACGCTTGACAATCCCTGGAGACGACGACCCCAAAATTGTGGAGTTGATTTCAGAAACTCTGAGTCTAAGATCATCTGAATATCTGATCTATAGTCGAAGTGTAGATCGTCACAAAGAATTGAATCTCAGAGAATCCGGACTAGATTCTCAACTGTATGTCACGGAGGATCTATAAGAATGGACTACATTTTTATGAGCAAGAAAATCTAAACCTGGAACAGGAGAACAAGCCTCCGTTCATCGAAGGAAGTAAAACGATCTCCTATGTTTTCACTGTGAACTCTGTCAAGTGCAGGAGTGCGCCGAGACAAAGAAAAATAGGACGAGAAGAATCAGAATGACTACGAGTTCTGTTTGAAGACACTGATCTTTCGTTCAATGAATTGCTGCTGGTCTAACCTACTCATAACGTCGTTCGATGTCAGTTATACTGTTCTTCTTATTCTTCCTTTCTCTTGGAGCAGTCAACATGCACAGCAGCTGGAACGTATATTTTAGAGATGTGTGTATGCTGCCCGAATACCGATCTCTACGCAATCATAGTAATTGACCTGGGAATGATATCTCGTCAGGCCGGGGAGAGAATTTTCTGCTTCCGCAGAGTCTGCGTTTGAGAAATGTCCAAGAGCGAAGGATTGAGTCTTTCATCGCTGGATCTTACAGATGTCACGTCTTTCAAATCTGTCTCTTCTACTTTTTTTTGAGCCCGACTCTCTGAGATTTCTAGCTGCGATTTCCCCACATCTCATAATTCGCACGTTTCAATTAAGAACACACATCTGCTAAATATCAATACACATCGGGTCTTTCCGAAGACTGAAGGAACAGGTCCGGAGGAGTCGCAATGTCCAAGACATTAGGAACACGGAGGCAAATATTCTAGCTAAGGAGCAGATCTCTCTGAAGATTATCAGGAAACATGGAGGAGAGTTTGGAGAGCTGAAATGTGTACTGTGCTTGCGGGAATAATCAGAATAGTACAGTTGGAGCAGATGTTGGAGATCGTGAGTTGGGTCAAGTGCATTCCTCTTGAGAAGGCAATCATCGCTCCATGTTGTGGCATAATGAGGTCACGATTCACTTCTGTGTGTGGCACGAAAAATTATATGATATGTTTGCGCTTAGGCTGTGTTCCTGGCACATGCCAAGACCGTGGGAATTGATCTCTGCCAGATGTGGTCAGCTTGTTCGTGCAGGACGGCAAACTTCGAGGGGCATTAGAAAATTCCAGAAGTGTATGGCAAAATCTGATGCTCTCGGGCACTAGCACGACCAGCATATGTGCATTATGATTGTCATTAAACTTCTCTCGACCTAGATTTACTGATGGACTGTGACGGGCAGTAAAAGCCATTAAAACAGAATGTGAATGTGGGAGGGCACAATCAAGACAGGCTCTTTGCACTATGCACTAAAAGTCAAAATAGGAAACATCTTCTCCTGTTCCAACTACAGAGGGATGTGGAAAGTGCGTCGCATGTGCACATGCACCTCAAGGTTTATATCGTTTCTCGCATGCATCGATTTGAGCCATGTCTGCAGGTAATTCAGCACCTTGAGTTGTGCCAAGGAGATGGGAGAACATACTTTGCCCCAGCGCAAAGATTTCTTCACTCCGGCGGGGCGTGCCCAGGAAATGGGAGACTTGAGGCAAGACCGCAAGGAGGATCTCAGCGTCCATTTTTGGTGGGTACATACATTTTTTAGCATAATGGCCGACTAAACTACAAGAACTCAAAAACAATCCTGCTGGGCCGAAGACAACTGTCATAAAGTTCGCAGTCCGATGTGCTTCAATGTTCCGAGCTGTATTATGCTCTACGCGATTCCTTGTTCTAGTTTCGCTGTTGAATTCCTCTCCTTGTTCGTACAAGTTATTGCAGCTCCAGCCTACTCCAAAAGTTTGCTTCTCTTTGCTAAATGCTGACAATGGACACTCGGAGATGTCATTATATATGGTAGACAAGACTCTACTCCGAACAAAATTTTATGCTTTTTCTATTTTTTAAAGCTTCATCGCGCGCTGGAGAGCAGCTGACGAGGGGCACCAGAGAATCACCATTAACCCATTTAACCCGTTTGGTTTCCCCCTTGTACGACTTGATGTGGTCTTTTTGACTGTGTCGTCTCACCCGGGCCAAACAGGCCAGCGGAAACATGAAGAGAAGAAGAGGGAGGGCCATGCCCTGATGGACAGCTTGTGGGCTAGCAGACAATGCGTCCTCTCACTCGCGGGACCAAGCAGGCCAGGCGGAAACACGAATAGAAGAAGAGGGAGGGCCATGCCCTGATGTACAGCTTGTGGGCTAGCAGACAACCCGAGTGTCAATTGAACAAGAAAACTCCAGCTAAGCAGTGGGTGCAAGGGTGGTCGGTCTGACTAGCAGCCGACCAGCCCCGGGTAGGATTGCTATACCTGAAAATGAATTAATTTTTTTCAGATTTGTTGAGGTTTCTAAGTCGATCCAGTCCACGTACGTCATTGAGCAGATTCGCTCGCAATCCTCACTTTGAATGGAAAATATAGAAAATCACATACACAAGAAAAATAAAACTTGCTGAATCTCAGAACGATGCTCTGTGCTACACACAAACATCTGCTCGATTTTTGTACCTGCACCTCTTGCCCTTTAGCTCTTGCAATAGTAAGAATAGCAAAGCCTCAATTTCTTCTTCGTTTCGTTATGTTAGAAGATTGACGATGGAGTAGCAAAGAATATTGCAATGCGCAACACGAGCCAATCAGAACGCAGAGTCCTTCTAGAACCCGAAGTGTTTGACTGTAAGAACAACCTGAAAGAACAGAGAGTTAGAATCAAGTTCGATGCGCCTGACAGACCGTAAACTCCAGGAAGACCTAGGCAGAATGAGACGCTTCTGGGTTGCAAGGCTTTTCATGCAGTTTTTTAATGGGTAATGCAGCGTCATGGCCACGGCCTCTTTGGAGAAAAAGCAGCAGAGACTGCAGAGTGGCCACTACTGGTCTTCGGTGACACTGCACTGATGGGGCTGGAAGGCGGGAGCTCGAGAGGAGAGTGGGGCTATGATGACGTAGTGTTCGAGCAGCGCGAAACAGGGCGAATGCTGGCCTCGTGGACGTCGGTCCACGTGGCGTTCGGGTATTGCCAGGTTGATTCTGGAGGATCTTTTGCGGTCTGCCACCGAGCAGAAGGAATCTCCTGAAGACGGAAAACGTGGTTATCCAGCAGATAAAAAAGCCAGGAGATCGGTTCGTCAAATCCGTTATGAATCGAGCACAGGGCACCTGCCACCACAGAGACCGACTTGTATGTTCTTGTAATAGACGGTCCGCCTGGCAACCTTGGCCCGGCCCCGGATCCGTAGACAAGAAGGAATTCAAGATTCCGGAGCGACTGCACTCTATCCGGAGGTTCTTATGTCCAAGACATTTCCACTGCCTCGCTGACGCTAACTCTAACGTCTGTGCGGCTGTTGTTTTCCCTTGCTGTGTCTTGGATGACTCAACAGATTGGATTCGAGCTACCATCTAGTCACTCGAGACCACAAATCATACGGTGCGAACAATCTAATATTGTAACTCGGTCGAACAGATGTGAAAGAATTTATTCCAACTTGCATGTGATATTTAAGAAATGGATGTCATAAATTATATTTAATAGTTCCGTGTATATACATATCACAACATAAATCTCTAGTGCATTTTAAGTTATATTTTTTTGAAGATATCAATCATATTTAGTTCATAATCATAATTTAGAATAAAACATAGATTCCATCTAGTATATTCCATGCAAGTGAAGGAATCAATAAATTGACCTGTGATAAAACGTCACATATACTATAAATTGTGTTAGCAACATTACCATCAATAGTGGTTTGTGCATAACCAAAGTACTGTTATTCGCATTTTTTGCAATCATGTCACATGTCGAAATTAACATGAAACTTAAGCATATAATGCAGTAGGAAAATATTTGATATTACAACGCAACACAACTGTCAACATATTTTTAATTCATCCTAACAAAAGTCTATAATAGTTGAATGTAACAACTTTTTTTTTGGGTGTGGAGAAATAATGTTGACACAACACATGATATAAAACTTTACTCCTCACACATTGTTCTTATGTCTTATGGCCAAAAATATTCTAAAAAATATTTCAGTACACATATCTTTCCACACACATATCTTCAACCATAAATGAAAACATAATGAAGTGAAATTAAATATACATAGAGTCAAAACCCTTTCGACTTCCAGGTAAAAAGACCTCATTCAGTTGACATGTTCATATTCACCATTTCACATCCACATCACACATTACAATATTGAGTCACAGGCGTAGGGGTTAAAGGGGGAATCTAGAACTCAATGGTTACCCGATGCAGGAGTCACCGCAATATCGCAGAGCATGAGACCAAGTGGCAACGTACAGATGGGCGAGAGGGTGCGCTAGAGGTCGAAGACGCCGGTAGCGGGAATCGCTTCCACGAAAGGGACAAAGAGGGAGCATTGGGGCAGTATAAATGTGATATGCTGTCTGAAAAAACTCGACGCCGAAACGCTAAAGACTCGAACAAACTGGCCTCACTCACAGTGCCCAGATCTGCTGACATGGGAAGACGATGGAATGGCTTGCGCTGTGCTCCCCTGCAACGATACGTGCTGACCATCGGCTGGTGATCGAGCTCCCCCAGCCCCCTTGCCAGCTGTCGGTGCGATCGAATGTATAAGTGCATGGATTGCTGGGGTGTCCAGCAGCATTGCGGATTCGGTCGAGTGCTCGTTTGACAGAGAGTCAACCGCTGCCGCAGCGGTGGTCTTTCCTGGCTTTGTGTTGTTTTTTCTTTGAGTGTGTTTTGTCACCCGGTAGACAACCTCGCCTTATTGTCACCTTATGTCGACGATTTAAAACACAATTGGCACCCCCACGTCTCATGGCTGACGGACTCATTTGAATCTCCTCAACTCGTTGATCTTCCCGTCGCCTACTTGGTAAATCACTTCATTACCAGTGCATTCTAAACCTCCATATGAAGACTTCTCAGCTGTAGTCCGTCTGAATGTCAAGGCGAGTCCAATGCCTCGACGTGGCTGAATTGACTGCATGGTGGGAAATAGTCACGTAGCCTTCGAATCCACACAATTGAATGCTTGAACTCGTGTTACGTCGACGACGAAAGCCATGACGACGGTGCATCTGTGATTTGTGGCTTCGAGTGTGGTGTTGGATGTCGTGATTACCAACGATCATATGATCGTGCCAGGAAGGGGACATCTGCTGCTCCTCGGATGGGTGAAATGTCGTTCAGTCTAGGACTATCATGCTCATACTTCTGGGGTCTATATTGTGAATGGATTGATGTTCCTTGACTTGCTATGTCGGAGATCATTATCAGGCACAAAGTGATTAACAGTCATGGTTTGTCACCACTGCACACAGGCGAACAGGAGTCGATTGACAACAGCTTGAAAAAATGGCGAAAGATTCATCCCAATTCGGCCCCGGTACCGCCGTCATGTGAGTAATCAGATCTCTGCCGTATCGTCACTCTTTCCTGCAATGCAATTCACATTCAAACTGCGGAGGATTCCGTGTGAGGCCCCACCGAAGGACCCACCGAAGCAGGAGGGTCCAGGTACAATAGGTGCTTTACGAAGAGATAAGGGCTCCGGATGAAGTAGATAGTGGCACTGTGGCACCATATAGGTAGATAGATAGAGAATTGATGCTCGCTCTCTACGGGTCCTGGCTGCACTCCAATGCCACTGCCGCACCAGAAAGAGAGAGTATAAATGCGCGTTCTCGACAAATTACCTGGCTGCACCCCCAACGTCATCTACCACTCGACAAGTCACGTTCCCATGCCAAGACGGCTAGTCAGATATCTTGATACCAATTTACGATAGAGCTACCGTTTGGAACTGTCATCTTACGTGGTTAAGAGCTCTCCTTGAGAAATTTTGGCTCAGCCGAGGTTAAATCTCTCGTTTACATGTTTTAAACATCAATCTTGGTGGACGTATTGAACAAAATGTTCAGACTTGAACTCGGGTGTGAGTTTATTTGGAGCTATTTATCGGTGCATCCTGACTGTGGTATTCGTCTTGCTTTTGCAGCTACCTTTTCAATCTGGTGGTTGGTACGGGTGTCCTTGCACTTCCGTCAGTGCTCATTTCGGGAGGATGGGTCAGTCATCTGCACTATTTCTCTAAATTTTGTATCCTGTCGTCACAATTCTGAAGCCACGAAGACAGATCAAATAGATGAATAGACTGCGTTCCATATATCCTTGTATGAATGTCATCGCCTGTTCAACTTGTATTATTGTGGGGAATCTGCTTATAAGTATCCTATATATTTCCAGATACAATCATATTCAGAAAGTTTCTTCCGTACAACCAAGGATGATTTTTTTGCCTGTTTGCACCCTTTCTTGACTAAAATCTTCTAAGTGGACTGATATGTCAAGTATTGCAGTTGCTAATATGCCTTTTGAATCTCTATTGCAGCTTCTTGGAGGCATTTTCATAAGTATTGTTGCCTTCTTGAGGTAAAATTCTGTATTCTAGTTGCCTGGTATCTATTGACATTTGGGCTTCAAATTCTAGTTTGTGGCTGGATTTGTGTGTATAAGAGCAAATCCGCGTATTTCATGAATGATGGGAACTTGTTGAATTGCATTTTTGGTGAATTTCGAGATTTATCGTAAAGTTTTGACCATTTGGTTTCTCAGGTTCCAGAAAGAGTCCTATAATTGATTGATCAGCAGAATTTTGAATGTGACGGTGTAACTGACCATATCACCTTCTGTGTTTTTCACTTGTGCAGTTATGTCAGCCTCACGTTCGTTGTCGAGGCAATGGCTGCAACAAACGCTCTACTTGAATATGAAAAAGAACCAGTCAAAGTTCCCACCGGAAACGTCTCAGCTAATGCCTTCCAGGTTAGTGTCACATGGATCTCGTTTGTTGACCTCTCAACGTGGAATTAGCTTACATAGTTTCAATACATTCTTTTAGATGTCACAAGAACGCAAGGCCATATCCATATTACGAGCTTCTGCATGCAAGCACATTCTAATCGCATGCGCAATTCAGTATGTTTTTCTTGTGATTCTTTCTCGATTTTTAAGACTAAGACGCAAATTTGATTCTTTTTTGTTCTATGCAGTTTCGTTCATATTGATGTTTACAGGTATTAAGACTCGGGTAAACGATTTTGCCAATATCACTAATTCTTGTTATCTAAAGTCCACTAAAATTTTGTAATCTCATTATCATCAAATCACTAAAGTTTCTTTCATGTATGATCCAGACCACGATACAAACAGACAATGGTGTCAAACAACCACTTTTGAATACCAACAAATCCATTGCTGAGAAAGACATTTTTGAAATCAACCAGCGTATCGAGTTTGGTCAAATGGCTGTAAGTGCTTGGATATTCTACTCTCACTAACTTCGTCAATATCACCATTATTTTCATTCCAGTGGGTAGCAAAACGTACTTTGTCTCAATTTGACTATATCAAGTGGCTGACATGATTTTGTGGTTGGCAAGTTGGTTCTGTTTAATTGACATCTTCTGCTGCCTTTGGCAGGGAAGGTATTACACCCGTATGGGGATGATCGTCTTCTTTTCGATTTTAATCGTAAGTACTGATCAGCTGATGTAATTACTTTTGTATACTTGATACAAATTCTGTGTGATGAACATGGTGATTTGGAAGAATGATTGAAAGGCAAAACGTTGAAATAACTCAACTCTTTTTACTTGACATTGCTCTTAGACAGCCACTTGCATGATACCCTTGCACGGAAAACTTGCATCATGTTGAGCTTGTTCTTTTATGCACATACAGGTCTATATTTATGGCGATGGCGTGATCTACTCTACCGTTGTTGTGCGCTCCCTGCTAAGTTTCATATATGGTGCAGAGGAGCCTGTTTGGGCCTTCAGTCTGTTTTTGTGTATCTTCTTCATCTTTATTTTGCCTTTCTGGTAAGATACCGATGCCTCTTTGAGTTAGATCAAAATATATACATCTATCTAATTGAAATTGAATCTTTCCAGTTCTTATTTTGAGCAAATACTCTTGGGAAGGTTGTTGCCTTCACTTGTTGGGAAGGTCTAGTGAAGGTTGTTGCCTTCACTAGACCTTCGGACAGTGGATGCCATTTCTCAACAAACTCACCTAGCAGATAAGAGAGTTCTCGTTTAGCTACAAGACTGTATTGCGAAGCTCTCAAGTGTCTTGGGTTACTTAGTTTTCTGGTGAAGTATTCGTGTTCTGAATCCAACTTAATGATGATTTTGTTCGTTCTTTTCTTGCCAGTTTCTTCGACTTTCAGAAGACGAAAGTTCTTCAGATGATAACAATGGTCATTCGGAATGTGTCGTTGCTCACGTAAGGATACTACCACTTAAAGCCTGCCTTGATACATAAATATCTATCAGTCAGTTCCAGAATTTGTATCTCATGAGGGTTGAAGTCGGCCAACATGCGTAAGCCATTCAATGTCTCTTGACATAGCTGCATGTTTGGTTCAGAATTCTTATCCTGGCCTTCCGGGCGGCTTTGCAAAAGGATCACGTCGTCAGAGAAGTTCCTCCCACGAGATTTGGGTAAGATATCTTAGCTTCTACATGTAAACAAATGTCCATATTATCTTCCGATTATGTCTTTGATTTGCACTATTACCCACATTTTTATATAAACTGAGGATGCAAGTCTCAAGATGCGGAACTTGAATACGCACTTATGAAATCCTAGATGCAACACAGTGACTCATACGTTGTATGGATTGTATCGTCTGATCTTTTAGAGCTCTGCCAAATCTATTTGGAGGTGCGGTGTACTCATTCATGTGCCATCACAGGTGCGTCGTTGAACTTGTGTGGTTATTCTGATTGTTTGTTCTTGCACTTTATTTTCATCAAATTGCAACATACCCTGTACTTGTGTCTCCTGCGTTCATCTATATATCCGTTTGCTACACGTTGTTACTTTATCTATGCCAGTGATCATTATGTCTTAACATCTATTTGCTACAATAATTTCTTTGGATGTGCAGTATTCCTGGCATTATCACACCCATCGCTAACAAGAAGAGCATAATGAAAATCACTGGGATCGTTTTCGGGCTTATCTTCGTCATCTACATTGCTCTCTTCATCGGATGCCTTTTGGCTTTTGGTGAGTTCAAATTAGCCGACGGTAGTGTCACATCCTATAAGTCGCCGCAGTCATTGTACTTTCTTGCTAGATTAGCTTCTTAAACTTTTTCAGGTCAGAAAAATCATCTGACCAATGGGTATGATTATATTATCTGCAGGCGCTGATGTTCTTGACCCCGTAACCTTCAACTTCCCTCCTCAAGGTATGTGACTACTTTAACTACCTACGATGGAAATGTTGATGACGGACTTTTACCATACAGAAGACGAGAGTAAGCAGTGCTCAAAATGGAGAATTTTATAGCTAAGCCATATAAATCTGAGTCTAGCTAAAGTGGAAGCTCTTGCCCGCTCTCCCGTTTCATCCATTTAAGACTTCTCATTTGTTGCACTTATATTCTTGACTTGTTGCAGTTTACGGATTCATCGGAGATGCCCTCATTTTGTTCCCAGGTATGTACGAACTTTCAAGCATTACATTGTCTATCTACTGTAGATCGAAGTATTTGTTCATCTCACGGCAGTTACTTGGTCTGCAGACGTAGAGTTGTCATCAGTACAAAATGGAGGGATGGTATCATCGACACGACTTTTCTAGATCAGTGACGCCTGATCAGAGTAGTTTGGCAGCGCATGATATGTAAATTGACTTTGAGTTCTACGATTTTCACCTGTGAAGCCATGTTCTGTGTATCTTGCAGTCTTTACACTTTCGTCCAATTTTCCCATGATGCTTATCACTCTACGAAACAACCTCGACACACTTTTTATGTTGATGACTAAAGGAGCAGGTACTTTCTCTGCGGAATATATGTTTTACCCGTATGTGGACGCTTGGTTGCCCGCTCCTGATGACAAATTTGAATATGCTTGTTTTTCTGGAGACAGTCGATCATGCAATATTTGCCAGTTTGAAGATCCAGATTTATGAAAGAAATGTCGGATTTCGATTTCGCGGTGATGAAGTCGAGTTTCTGCTTTTATTGACATCGATCTACCATTGTCGACATGCCACAGGTTCCAAGTCATCTCAAGACGACAAGGGAGACTTGGCATGGCAGCGACGAATTGTTCTCACTCTCATTGCTGTTGCGCCTCCCATCGTCTGTGCATTCATTGCGGAGGTACAGTCAGTTACTTGGGTCCACTTCTGAGTTTCTTAGAGAATATCGAAGCGCATGTATCAGAGGATTAACCTGCTCTGCTTTGGTTTGGTGGACTCGCAATGGTCACCATTTTCTTTTCTCAGTATTAACTGTTGAAAAAACATGCCTTGCAGCATTTTGGGCTATCCGTCGACTCATTGGTGGGAACATCAGGAGCTTTTGCCGGATGCATCATCATGTTCATCTTTCCAGCAACCTTCGTCTACATTGCCAGAAGGTATGTGGCTTTCAACTTTACTAAGATAATCTAGCAGCAAACCTTACATACATAAGGTACTGCTGCTGATGTATGTTGGTACTTGAAACATTTTATGTTCGAGCCGTCATAGTGTTTGTTTACAGAGTTAACTCATGCATGCGGATGTTGACAGGGATGTGAAGAATACAATTGAGAACTGCAAAGCGCCGCTCAAATACCACACAACTACCAACGCCTACGCCTCCCCTTTCAAAGGAACCATCTGGGTGTGCGTGCTGATGGGCTGGGCCCTCATCGCTATGATCTTCAATGCAGTAGAGAAACTTGCAGTCTTGTACTACCACTAGTACGAGTTCGCGTCTCTGAATATTCGGAGACCTGTAAGTTCACCTTGTACAGTCTGCGGCAGAACTGCATTGAAGTGACGGAGAAGATTTTGCGCGGAGGATGTTTCGGACTTAGAAGTGGTAAACCTCCGTTCAAAATCACGGTGCCTTGAGGGAAGCGAATTCCGATTGAGCAGGGGAGAAGTGAAAATTTCTCCATTTTCTATCCGAATAACTTAGTACACGACCGAAATGGAGAAATTGTGTCACTTGTTTTGTAGATGTTCTTCAGACCAAGGCTTCTTCCGACCAGCTGGAAGCAAATTCTGCAACTGCTTCCAGGCAAGTACGTGACTTGGACGACAACGATCGGAAGTTGACACAGTTCGATGCAGACACTGGCGATGTGGGGAAATTAGGCGAGAAGGTTTTCCACGGGCTTCCGAGGTTATGTTTTCCACGGCTGATGATGAACAAGGTACAACCTCAAGGAAAGCAGTGTGGTAGGATAAATCAGAACCCTCTAGGCATCGTCAGTACATGCTCTGTGCAGCATGAAACCGGCCGTCTAGACGATTACATGTGTAGAGGCCGAATGCGCTACGACTACTGCGTGCCCTCAACAGATATAGAATTTCTATCATGCAGCAATCGAGGCTACGTACTCATGAGATCAACGAGCGAAAATGAGATCATTTATAGGAGTACTAGGACAGGTCAGTGGCACTCTAATTCACAAGACATATTTCCAGTTGCGAGTGCCATGCAACTTCACAATTGATCTATTCAACGTTTGACTAGTCAGTGGCACGAGTAAGGTAGTGAGTGAATCGAGAGAAGTATATCGGAAGCTGAGACATGGTTCGACCAAACTCTCGTGGAGGTTTGGCTGTGAAAACTATGTCAGAGTATTGTAAGCTGGAATTTCGGCGAAGTCTTGGAAGGATTAAAAGCTGTAACAGTAGAATGTGTCAATTTTGGGATTTAGATTGGACAAATTTATCAGATGCAGAATGCCATGTACTGTATTTTGATATGTTGCTGTCTGTACACCACAACTCCAAATCATGAAAAATAAGAAGCTGTATTGAGGGAATATATGACCATGTCCGCGCGGAACTGGAAGGCCTCTCCATGCAATCGAGAATAGCACAACTTTGCAAGTCGTCAAAGTTCTTGAGTGGAAAAACTATCCCCACTTCCGTTTCTGAGATGAAACCCGACGTAGCTTTTCACTCATCGGAATATTATAGTTTGTCCCACTTGCAGAATAAGATAATTCCTTCTTTACCGTTTAAGGATTCTTTCTCAAATTCAAGTAGAAGGTTTTCCCAATCTATTTATTGTTCATATCTAATTTCTAAAGTATAGAATTATCTAGTATTTATTTATAAATATATATTTATTGAAACAAATATGCGTGGGTTTTTTATTTATGAATGTCTTATTTTTTTAAATTTAATATGACGTTTAACAAGGTTGTGATTTTGCAAGTGTATTAATATACATTTTATATGAAATTAAAGCACAGAAAGTGTCGAAGTCCAAATATAGGGTGATATAAATTATAAACTCTTTGTTAATCTAGCTTTTGAGATATATGAAGACATAACAACCAACTTGGGAGTGGTTAAAATCGCGTAAGTGTGTATTATACAAAGCTTTAGTGATATCGTTATTTTTACTTCATCTTAGTTATATGTTTGAGAATTTTCACATGAAGACATCTGATGTGAATTCCATTGTGAGTTGCAGACTCACAATAGATTTTCATTGTAAATATTTATTACCAAAATATTATAGTTTTCAAGAAATAGATTTACCTTGCTAGTTTGGCTATCTTAAATCAAAAACTGATAAAACTACATCATATCTTCTCATTGTCATACTATAGAGTATGTAACTTTGATGTAAAATGATGCACTTCATAAAATTAAGTTTGGTACATTTAACACGAATATATATATATATATATATATATATATATATATATATATTCAAAGACACATAATTGTAGAATGATTTCAAAGTTTTGATACATTATCAACAGTTACTTCTTCAACTTCAATCTAACATTTTAATTCAATAACATACCTATACATAAAAATGTGTAATTATATAAACTCATAACTATATTTCAAACGTAAAATATATACACTCATCATATAATTGAGGGAGATAATCTTATGTTGCAATACTTAAGTTTTTTAATTTCATGAGTTATTTTCTGTTACTTTTAATATTTCAAAACTTGTAAATTTTGTATTAAATTATTTTTTTCAGAGTTCATTTAATGACTGTAAAAATTTACTCATGATCATTTATATCAATCTTCTAAAACTTCTTTTAAGTTTTTATTTTTTAATATATAAATAAATAAATTTTTATTCTTTTCATATTTATATCTATGATTATACATTTCATTGATTAAATAGTTTATATCATTCAACCCTTAAAAATAATCATATTTTATCTTACTTAAAAATAAATCATAAAATACATAATTAAGAATGATTTCAATTGTATCAAGACACAAAATTCAAAAATTAATGGAAGCAAACCTTGCAATTGGATTTGACATATTACATTTTATCAAGATATACGCCTAGAATATAACTATTAATTTTTGAATAAAATCTCATTTTATAATATTACATTTGAGATTAAATTTAATTATGAACACTTTATTTTTATTAATATGAAAAAAAAATCAAAGAAATTATTATTTTTTATTAAAATTAGAAGTGCTAACAAGGAATGAAAGTCAATTATCAAAGTAAATATGAATTTTTACCATAATAAATGATATTTATGTAACTCAAATCATTTCACAAGATAAAGAACATATAGATTTCTTCAAAATGTTATATCATAGTAAAATGAATTGATTTATGTTTAAAAGTGGATCTTATTGCATTAAATGCATGTTGTTATAGAATAATTAACTTATCATCCATATAATGAAGGTTTTTAAACAATCGTCAGTAATAATCAAAAAAATTCTATATTGTCAGTAACTAATTGTGATTCTTATATTTGAAGTCATTGTGTGAAGATTTGAATTTTGGTCTCATTTTTGTATTTCATATAGACATTTCTTAAATGTGAGATTTTTCAAAAATATAATGTTAAAAAAAATTTAGTCTAACCTTTCAAATTTACTCATTTGATCTAAAAATAGTATGTGATAGAACATAGATGAAATGACATTTATGAATCTTCATTCCTTGTGTTGTGATGTGTGATAATTTATGATATATATAGAAACAATAAGTCACTTTTTTTCATCTTGCAAATGAGAAAATATATTCAATAAATGATTTGTCGCATTTGTATCAAATTGTGTAATTTTTATCATTGTAACACATCAGATTTGCAACTAGCGTCAAATATAAATGATTATAAGAAAATAAGTAGGTTTTTTTATTTAATCATTCAGATTTTAAAAGTGTTTAGTGCTCTAATAAAGTTTTAATTCAAAAGTGTTTGAATCGTAAATGATCACATTGTCTATGATTAATTCATTTATATTTTTGTAAACATCAAATCATAAAAAAATACATTTTTTCCCTTTTTTGATGATTTAGTATGTAATACGATTGAAAACAAATAATTTGAATATTATTCTTTGCACAAGGATGTATATATAATAGTATGGCATGTACTATTAACCTGGATATAAATTTTGGATTTTAAATTTTGAAAAAAAACAATTATACATTTCATTAGGTAAATTCTATATCTGAAAAGTGAAGTTTAATCAATGATGTTCAATTGAGTATCAAAATATATTGAAGTGGTTGAAAATGTAATGAATTGCAGAACTATCATCTTTCTTGAAATTCATTATGTTATGTCAAATAATATATATCATGTATTTTTGCGTATACTATATTTAGCTGTCGGCCTAAGGTTACCGTTCACAGAGAGTATAGAGTCGACGACGACTCGAAAAACTGAATGTTCTTCAAGTCGAGACTTTAGCGTTGGGACTAGTGAGTGCCATAAATGTCAACCTGGATTTTCAAGACGAGTGAGTTGGGTTCGACTGCATGTATATATGACGGTCGTGTTTGCTAATTGGTGTAATCAAAACTGATGTGTTTTCAAGTGAATTAATCACGTTTCATTTACTCAAAAAAACTACTCATACTGTTGCAACTCTAGTAGTCACTCTCATCACATCCCAAGAACTCCAAGTATGATGAATATGTCGCATGTTTAAGTTGTGGTACATTTGAATGTGTAAGCTCTCGTAACCTACGTGTGTGTGTAAATAACATGTTAGCAATGTAGAGTGTATGGTGATACACATTCGCACGACATACAACCGTACATCATATAATGACACAAAAAATATTATATGCAATCTCTATCCACTTTTGTGAACATTGTATGTAGATGTTTTAGTAAAATTTATAAATCTACTATCTCTTTACTAGTTTTACATGGTTAATTGACTTCATTAATTTGAAAGTTGAGATCTCATCTTCAATTTGATATGTATAATTACTTCAACACAAATTTTGCACATGTTTTGCTTAATAAAATTGCACAATTGTGATAACTTATGATAATAATACAATACCTTCATGTTTGATGTCGCTAACAATCATCTAGCTAGTCAAGTTTGAAAAGTAATACTCTAATACATTTTTACTTTTAGCAATATTTTTGTTTAACAAAATTTAAGATAGATGGAACAACAGTTTGCTTTGTTTAAAAGTTTACTAATATTATAACTTCATTAAAAAAGATCTAGGCTTTAATTTTTAATATATCAATACAAATTTCATGTATAACAAAGTTTTTTTCCAAACTCAATTAAAATTGCCACAACTTAAATTTACGAAATCACATAACTGACTTTGAGAGTATTCAATGTGAGTGAATGTTGAGATAATTTCTAATTACGTCTTATGTACATCAATTTTAGAAATATTAGTATTGATGAAAAAACCACATTCTTTTGTATTGAAATTCAATAATCTAGTTGTTAATATTTTTAAGCAACATAAATTTATTAAAGTAAATGGTATTTAAATTATAATTTTATTTTATTTTCAATGAAAACAATATTTTAGATTAATGAATAGTTTTTTTTGTCTTAGATTGATTTTATAGATTGCATCGAGTGTAGTATATTGTATTTCATTAGCAAATGACATACAAATAGCGACTTTAAGAATGTTAATTAGATTGGATATTTCTTCAATAATCGATTATGCATCATAAGCTTGATAGTTATAATATTGCAGTGTAATGCATGTCATATTATACAGTAATGTTAAAGTTCACTTTTAAAGACTATTTATAATATATGAAATTGTGAAAATATTGGTCATAATATATAAAAATATATATTTAGATTTCAACAAATATAATAACTTGTTTCATTAATGAATTTCCATAGGATGTTTAGCAATAAACCAAAAAAAAGAAAATAAAAAAGCAATAAAAACTTGTGGCGAATAATTTTGGAGAGGTGGACTTATCATGAAAGGAAGATTAAACATACATAGCATTTTAAATTTTTTTTCAATACCTCTGGCTTCATTATAATTTCAATAAATGATTGTGAATATGATCATATGTTAAGCATATGATATATGAAGAGAAGTAGTCTTTACACATTTACTATGAGGTGGTAAGAGAATTTCTTTGTTTTAGGAGTTATGAGAAAATCTCATCTTTCTACTCGTAAAACTAGACTTGGAAAGTATAGTGTATGGTGATGGTTTCTAAATTTTAGTAAGTTTGCCCTCTCTCTTAAAAAAATACCAATCATTTCATGTATTACCAAAACTGACAAGGTTCACAAAAATGACACAAAACACTCACCTAGCGCAAAACTCATGATGTAAAGTGCAACTACAACTAGCTCCAAAAAATAGACAGAGATAGAAGACAGTCCATCATGTACGTATTGACAACTTCAAAACCATATAACACTCCAACCCATGTGATGAAATCCTAACAATCAAACCTTGAAAAAAATAAAAACATTCAAAACGATGTGTTGCACTTTTCCAACTAAGTACCAATAGTTCCGAGGCAACATTTACAAAAAAATCAGAATTACGTGTTTGATTTGAAACAAATTCACTCAAAACTTGAAATAATTATGAATATTTATAAAAAAATGAAAAAAATCTTGACAAAGAATTTTAACTCTCCATGTTGGTCAAGTATAACCCTAGAATATATGAATTACTAATTCCGCAGTATTACTTCTGGAGTATCTGCCGCGGCCTCCGTCAGCGCTTAAATGTCCTTTTAAGTATTTGTTTCATTTGTACTATAAACAATCATAATTATTTCAAGTTTTGAGTGAATTTCTTTCAAATCAAACATATAGTTCTGATTCTTTTGTAACAAGGCTATTCGACCGCCTTCGCTAATTCCACCGAGAGTTATGTGACCGGAGGCCATGTGCCGGAGTCGCGGGACCTTTTACTCCGCATGGACAAAGCTGTAAAATTAAATGGAGTGCGGTGGCCTTTATTCTTATTTTTGTTTCCTAAGGGGACCGTCACTGTAATTCTCTCGCGCATGTGACTGTCGAGCAAGTTAGGGTTTTTGCTACCGTGGTTCCAAAACAACATTGCGAAGGCGTGCACGGGTCTTTTCCGAAGTTCTGAGCTCGATCTGTTCCTCAGCACTGCTCGTTGCATCCCTCCAATTTCCGCCCAGCTGACAATGGCGGATAGCACCGCACGTATGTGATTTGCTCGATTCTCGCATTTTAATTCGTCCCGTAGACTTGTGTTCGATAGTGAAGTAGGCGCAGATCCTTGACCTACAATCTGAAAATTAGATCGATTTGAGTGCAGGTCGAGGTTGTGAGATGTATGTTTTGTCATGCGCGTTTTACAGGAAGGTGGATTCTCCACTTAGGCCCCTTCGTCTGTCGTAGTCATCTGGTCTTTCTGCGTTCTGCACTAGTGATCCCTTGGCCCCCTGCTCAGTATGTTTTCGTACAATTGTTTGCAGCACCGGTGCGTTCTTTCGCCCAAGCGGCAGCGACCGAAGAAACTGTTGTTCCTCTCCGTGTCGTCCAGATCGATGGCCTGGTACGAACTCTGCCGCACTGTCCTTCGCTTTGGCTTCTAGGTTTTATTTACTTACAGAGGATAATGCCTATCTGTTATCAAGAGCTATGTCCATCTGTGAGTTTCTTGATGTACTTCAACCGGGAGTCGTTTTAAACCGATTATTCCCTTCCCTCGTCAAGACCAATGGAAATAATATGTCTCGCGATTAAGCTAGCTTGGGTGGTAACTTTTCCGACTTGGACTTGATAAGAGCTGGAAGGAAGTCATAATTCAATAAGGCATGCTTCATACTTCTTTATAAAATCTGCTACGCGGGATACGTTGAAAGAACACTGCTTTTTGGGGGATTTTGAGCGTCCGAACCCGGACCACATTTCTGCCATACCCTCATTTAAAAGAAAGAGCTGCCCTTTTCCAGTTGCATACGATTGTGGATGTGCGAATTTCTTTTTGCCTCGTCGAATCTCTCAATTCTATAGGCGATAGTGATTTGCGGCTTCTTGTTCTGATCCATGGGTTCTCCGGATATTTCGTGATTTCATTTCAGACACAGTATGCCAAGAATGTTAGTCATCCATTTGGAGTACAGTAAAACTTCAAGGCAGCCATTATCGCTAATTACTGCCAATTCTGTTGACACACTTTTCTTAGAACTTTGTATGAACACTTCTGCCAGAAAACATTGTGACTGTCTGAATTTTCAGCTAAAAAATTGTTTGGAAGCAAAGAACCAGATTCCCAGGCAGATGTCACATTGGAATCACTTGATACTACGAAATCCTCGGAACGGAAACCGGGAACCGCTTGGAGATTGTGAGGAAATCATTTCACATCCAGAGGTTACTTGAGTGGTGATTTTGTGCGAATACTGGCTACCTCGCCACTAGCACTTATTCTAGGGCGTTGATGCTCCAATGTACGTGTATTATGTTCTGAGACATCAATGCATGGATGTAATCGGATCTGCGCAGGTAGTGCTGAAGATCGTGAAACACTGCAAGGAATGTATGCCAGCGCTTGTTACTGGCCAGCTACTCGGTCTCGATATTGGAAGCATACTGGAAGTCACCAACTGCTTTCCATTTCCGGTTAGTTGTCATGACTCTTACAAATCATAGTCTTCCTCAAATGTGCTCAAGAATCGTCGAGATCATTTTCCATACTCGATAATGAGGTCACTCAAACAAAATTGGAAAATGTGATTTTAGAGCCGAGGAGGTGAGGAGGAAGATGAGGTGGAAGCAGATGGTGCTAATTACCAGCTTGAGATGATGCGCTGCCTACGGGAGGTCAACGTGGACAACAACACCGTTGGATGGTACAGACCCTTCCTTGCCAGGAGCTATAATTTGCACTTTTTGTGACAGTCGGCAGCTGGTTCCGACGCGGTATAATTTTATTGCTTTTTTGTTCCATTTCTCAGGTATCAGTCGACTTACATGGGCTCCTACCAAACCGTTGAGCTTATAGAGACTTTCTTGAACTACCAGGTATGCGTGGTTAACTTTTTACATGTTTATGTTTCTATAATTGTAATTACACCACAATGCCCCATTTGTCGAACTACGAACTAAGGAATCTCCCACATAGTCGGGTTCTGAAGTTTCGAAGTACTGAAGGTCTGTTCGTCATTTCTCTTGCAAATATCGTGGGACGTTTGAAGGCAACCATTAATTTCTTTTATTTAAATACTTGATGTTGATATTTGTTCATTTGACAGGAGAACATCAAGAGATGCGTCTGCATCATTTATGACCCGCTGAGATCCTCCCAAGGCATCGTCGCCTTAAAGGCTCTTCGTCTAACTGATGCTTTTATGGAGTTATACCGCACAGAGAATTTCAAGGGAGAAAAGTACGTCTTCATATATTTCTCCGTATGAGCTCAGTGTCAGTCTTTGGCCTTCCTAGTGCAGTCGATTTAAGCTTGACAATTGTAAACGTGGATATACTAATCAGCCAGTGGTTTTCTGAATCAGGTTGCGGGAGAAGAATATGACATGGACAGATATTTTCGAGGAGATTCCAGTAAGTCCTGCTTCCAGTCCCCAACAGTGGCTATCATAATTCATCTACCAACATCTATATTGTCCATCTGTCATACTGAACGAGACATGTTTTTTCAGGTCAAAATCTCCAACTCATCCCTTGTTAGCGCTGTCATGACAGAGCTGGAGACAGATGCTCCTGCAACCCAGGTCAGTATCTCCGTGAATCGTTTTTTGTGATTTAGGTCGTAAGGTTCTCTATACACATTGGTCATATTTATCACGATTCGTGCTAACTGCCTTACGTATCTCCCAGTGTGACTTCGACCGGTTGGTACTTTCCACAAATCCATTCATGGAGAAGAACTTGGAGTTCTTGATCGAATGCATGGACGACTTGGGGATGGAGCAACAAAAGGTTGACTTTCTAAGATCCCTGGTGTTTGTGCATTTTGATTTCCTTCTTTATCAGCCTTGACCTTTTTAAACCTTTTTAACGCTTTATCTGCGTTTAGTGTCTAGCTTATTCCATCATGCTGATTATGGACCATTTTGCAGTTCCAATATTATTACCGGAACTTGTCAAGACAACAGGGTCAGCAGCAAGCATGGTTGCAAAAGAGAAGGTCTGTCTTTCTTTAAGGTTTTGAGAAAACGCGGAAGTTTTTGAATTCTGATTATATCCGACTTTGCTTTACTTGCTGCACTTTCCTTTTTTCGTTCTTATCGTTGAAGTATTCATGAAGTTTTCTGGTCTTGGTGCTTTCCTGAGTTCAGAATCTGACGCAAATGTATGTGAATGAACTGCAGGGCAGAGAACATGGCTAGGAGAGCATCGGGTGAAGAGCCCTTGCCAGAGGAAGATTCAAACAACCCGCTGTTTAAACCAATTCCTGAGCCTTCTCGTCTCGACAGCTATCTGATCACGAATCAGGTTAACAACTATTGCAATCAGATCAATGGGTAAGTGGTCTCTCAAGTTCATGAATTTATAACATCAAATGACTATGAGCAATGTTTAATTTATCTTCCATTGAAAGTGGTGGTAATTTAGTTGTCATTGACCCTTGTCCACAGGTTCGCCGCCCAAAGTCTAAGCAAAATCTATCTCATGGATGCCCTCCACGAATGAATTGGGAGCTTCGGGAGCTTTACACTTCATATGCAAGAGGTGTTTGAATTGACGCCATCAATTTCATGGCATCTGGAACAAGAACTCTCTTGCTAGTCTTTATCAACATTGCAGAGTTTTTTCGACTCTACATTTTGATACTCAGCTGATCCCAATCTGCAGTATTTCATTTTTGTACATCTAGATATTTGCCGGATTGTTCCTATGGGTGTGCATTGCCAGTGTTGGTTACACACCTGCTTAGAGTGCAGACACGGGGTATAGTTGTAATCACATGGATATTTCAAGAGTAGACCCTCCATTACAAAATGTAGTTGATGGATGCCAACTGATCATCTTGGTTTTACAGTCGTTTCATTCCCATTTTTCTGTGTCCATGAATCCGTGGTCTCACGTTGAATTGATTTCAAATTGCGGCTGATATGGTGCCAGTAAGCATTCTTATGGAGGTTGTCACCGAATCGGAACGTGGGTGAAGTGAAATAGAGAACAGCGAGAGTAATCTCCTTCTTAGTCCTGAAAGTAGTTTTGGAGGTCATGTACATGATTTTGACGGAATTGGTGTAGTCCAAAGCCATTTCATCGAAGCGTAGGTTGGAGCTTCGTACTTTGCGTTAATAGATTTTCAGTATTATCTGGTCGAGAGATGTGGTTTTGTGAGTTTGAATACGCTGTTTGGAATGAAATGGGACATTCTGTATCCTCAAAAATCTTAAATGACACTTTTTTGATGGAAGGATCCTACCTTTTCTGAATCGCGAAAGGAGTAGTGGAGTTCGCACAGTTCGGCAGCGAAGTGAATGTATACAGAAATGAGGGTGTGAGTGCATAAAATTGAATTTATCGCAATTGTATGAATGTAATGCTGAGCACTTAAATTGGAAAAGCCCTTTACGGTACTTCTACCACACGTACACTTCGATTTAAGGTCACGAACGCATTTAGGGTTCCAATAATTAATAATTTGAATCAGATACTGCGTGTGGATGAATAGTATTTTGAAAATATAACACCATAGATGTAATGATTCTCCATTTTCGTAGCTCCACATTTTGAACAAAAGACGACTTATACCACTTCTTTAGAGTTTCTTCCAACCAGTAAAACGATAAAGTCATGTACTTTCTGACAAAGATACATGTTTTTTGATTTCCTATGAGGTATAGTGTATATACACTTTATACTACTTATAGAGTTGTTCAAAGAATATTAATCTATGAGTATACTACTCTTTGGGAAGATTTATTAGCTCCAAATGCAATATTTAAACTACCTTTCCTCTTGATGGTAGACTTTTTCCAATACATCATTTATATAAAAAAGATTTTAGCTGATTTTTTTATCAATAGACTTATGAGTCATAAAATATTTATCTTCATTCTCAAAGTTGGTATAACTTAAAAATTTAAATTAACGCACCTAAATTGTTGTCCGCATAAAAAATAGAACATAGTTACTTACTCATGAGACAAGTAAGAATGTAAGGTTTGATACGTCACCAAAGTGTGAAAACTTCAATTATATTTACAATTGGAAACACTTGAAATCGATTCATGTTGCAAGCAATAATATGTTACAAAGAGTTATAACTCTCAATATCAATGAATATGCAACCAGCAGTCAAGATCTCTATGGAGCAAATCAGTTATCTTGTTTCACAATTTTTAAAGTTATATAGATTACCTTGATATTGATTCATGAATTTTGCAATTCTATATAATCGATGATAATGATACGTTTTGTGAGAAAGCCTATCATACCATATGATTAGCACGCAGTATATAATTTTTGGGTCAAAATGCAGACATTGATTTATAGAATGAAATAACAATTGCAATTAATAAATAAAGTATCACATTAGGTGATGGTTATTGATATGTTAGCATGAAGGGAAATTGACATAGCATGGGAGAATTAGAAGATATTATCGATTCTTAGGACATTGAGGTCCAATTTAGCCTACCATTTGATTTAATCCAAGTATAACGTCACATCCTTTGCCTTATTTATTGGTTTCCCCTTGTTGGGGTGTGGTGATTCTTAAAATAAGTAGATCTAATGAACTCATCGTTTCTTTCTTGGGTACCAGTTGCACATTTTGCACTGTATTTACATCAGGATTCTCACTGCACTGTGACGCTTTGAACGAACAGCACGTCAACCTCATCGTCAAGCTTCACTAATGTCATAATACTGAACACCAACGTAAAGTCTCAAGACTTGTCCGGAATCATGGTCACGTCTGACCAATGAGCTCGTACGCAGTTGTAATTAAGTTTTGCAAAATAGGAATTCGTACACACATTGAGCAGGATTGTGCAGGGTTCACGGTTGAAAATTATCGTGTGGGGTTTAGGTCTCTGTCTTCCAAATCGCCTTGTACTGAAAATGTATTCCTGTACAGTCGAGATTGAATAACAGCGACCTGGTTCCACTCGAATGTATGTTCCCAGACTTCGGTTTTTTTTCATTCTGACAGGATTTTGTTAGAAGGCTAGCAGGCCACTTGTTGGTGAATTGCTGATCAGGAATCGGACTAAGCATTTGCTAAAAACAGCCAAGAGTAGAAACCACTTGAAGTAAATCTTCACATCAGAAGCCTACCGTGCGGAATGGGCCCAACTAGTCATTCTGACACCTTGTGATTGCTTCCTGTCAACAGGATGTGAAAACGTATGGAAACATTCGGCTAGAGGGTTTAAAGATCACAAAACCCCGTGGATTTACTTCGCACACTATCAGTTTCGTCGTGGAAGAAGTGAATGTGTCTGAATCATGGCAGAGAATAATGAAGGTGGAGTGTGCACGACGAAGGGAGATTTGATATTGCGGGCGGAGGATGTAGTTGCTGGGATGGCCGGTCCTCTCGAGGCATTGCGGGAACTTGTTCTCTGGCCACTTCTCTACTCTCAGGAGGCAGCGTGTCTCGGCCTTAAGGTCTACCATAATCTTCTCTTCGTTTGCAGAGCGACATCCCTTTTTCTTGTTCAGTCGATTGTGTTGTTAGTAAAAACCTTCTGTTGTCTGCTTGCACTGGTTTTGACTATTGGTTGACAAATTCTTGTGTACCGATGTAGTGGCCAAGAGGACTTTTGCTTCATGGACCTCCAGGCACAGGTAAGGTATGCTCTGACCTCTCATCTAATGAATTAAAGTCTTGTCTACAGTTTTGAACTTCTGCTTTCGAGCAGCATTTGATGGGCGTAATGTTTTCTGGTTCCAGACAAGTTTGGTGCACGCGGTCGCCAAAGAATGCGGTGCTCATTTGACATCTCTGAGGTACTTGTGCTGAAAATGTAGTCTTCCAGCAGGCTAATCGTCAACTCTCTTAGCTGATTTCACGAAATTGTTTTTCTGTTGTAAGACCAGAGATTCCGATCATTTCTTGTTGGAACCAGCTAACAAATTGTTGTGTTCGTCTTTTCTTCAGTGCTGGGACTTTGCACCGTTCCTATGCCGGAGAAAGCGAGCGCCTCATGAGAGATGCGTTTGCTGAGGCAGCACTACAAGCAGTCAGTGGCAAACCAGCAATTATTTTTATAGATGAAATCGATGCCCTTTGTCCACGACGAGATTCAAGGTGAGTAACTTGAGAATACATGGTCGGCCAGAAGAATGAAGTTTGTTCGGAAAATCAATGTTTAGCTTAAGGCAAAATTTCAGTTCACTTTTCCTAATCTGAGCTTCCTCTCCTCATCGTAAAGGCGCCAGCAGGAGACCAGGATTGTAGCACAGCTGCTCACATTGATGGATGGGATAAGCTCGAAGTCGAAAAGCTCTGCTCACGTCGTGGTTGTTGCTTCCACAAACAGGTTACAACTCCTTTGTATTTGATTCTGATTAGGTGACGTTCTCTTGTTTATTACACATCCCTCGAATGTGCGGCCGGGTGTTAGGTCACTCACACGCGGCCTTTTCATTCGGCATATATCAGATAGAAATGTGCTCAAAGAAATTCAAAAGGATGTCGGCCTGTTCTGTTATCTTGCAGAGTAAACGCAATTGATCCCGCATTGCGTCGCCCAGGACGTTTTGACAGGGAGTTGGCCATAGCTCCGCCCAACAGCGAAGAGCGATACGACATTTTGTGTGTAAGCATTTCCATTAACTGGTAATAAGTCACACACGCTATAATCACAACATTCATCATAGCGTGTGTGAATTCCGAATTATGGAAATCTCACTGCAACTGTACTAATATGACGATGCTTTGGAATTTTGCAACTGTTAAGCTTAAGGTCGTCTCGGTGTCTGAAAACAGCTTCACGGAAGAAAATTGCCTCTAGATGCGGAGGTGGATCTTCGTAGTATTGCTTCCAAGTGCAATGGTTATGTTGGTGCCGACTTGCAAGCTTTATGCCGTGAAGCTGCTATGTCAGCTCTTACGAAAGGCTTCAAAGAAGGAGTAGACAGTCAGACAAAGCTGATAGGTTTAGCAGAGTGGGAGGAAGCCCTACTTAATGTAGGACCAAGTATAGTCCGAGGCACAGCGGCTGCTGAGGTGCCGAAGGTTTCGTGGGCGGACATAGGGGGCCTATTTGATGTGAAGGTATACTTGCATACATTACACTCTACTCTTCGCCCCAACTATTTTGCAATTGTGTACAGGACTTTGCTCACTTTCTGCAAACCATAATTTGATATGGTTTCGTTTACTTGGTTCAAAATGGGGAATTGTGGGGACGAGGATTGTTTGTGGTCATGGCTGCGAAGATTTGGATCTACACATTAGTGTCAAGTTCTGATGTGAGATTATTTTTTTCCTTCTCATTGAACATCAGAAAAAACTCAAACAAGCAGTGGAGTGGCCCATTAGACATGCCGATGCTTTTGCGAGATTAGGCATAAGGCCTGTACGAGGCGTCCTACTTCATGGTCCACCAGGCTGCTGTAAAACTACTCTCGCGAGAGCAGCTGCACATGCTGCGCAAGCTACAATGATATCTTTGAGGTGTTTTTCTCAAACTGTATCTTTTGGTGATCAGTTGTTTCTGATTGTGATATTTGTAAGCAAACAAATTGTTGAGAGAAATAAGATTGGAGCATATTCCATAGGCTGATGCTGTCAAACTCAAGCTTATGCATATCCCGTCTAACTCCTTTCTGTTACTGTATAGCACTAATTCGTACATCTGCAATATATTGATATCCAAGTTAATCATTACAGTCACGCTTTCTTTATCTTTTGAAGCTTACTGCGAGGAGTCCGGAATAGACTAAACTGGAGCAGGCGGACAATTGTTTATCTTCTTGCATTTAATTTATTTGGTCTTGTTGGGACTTTTTGCAGTGGAGCAGAGCTCTATTCAATGTATGTCGGGGAGGGAGAGGCACTGTTAAGAGACACTTTTCGTCAAGGCCGGTTGGCTGCTCCCAGCATTATCTTTTTCGACGAGGTTGATTCAGTGGCTTCACGGAGGTAAATTATGTCATAATAAGTGTGAAGAGATTTCTTAGTTTCTTTCGAAGTTGCATCGCCGCATGTTTGTCTGGTGCCGTGTATGTATGTTAATAAATTTATGGCACACTTGGCTAGCAAGATATATATCTTGAATATATGAAATAAATATGTTATGTTTTTGTGGTTTAGAGACACAGGTTGAAGTATTGTCGCACATCTGCTCTTGGAAACACTTGTTACTTTCTGTATTCGTGTGGTAGGTATTCGATAAATATGTCACAAGTTTCCCTATGAAAGGAAATCAAGTATTGACATAGATTCACTTTCAGACAAGAAGGGAGTAAAACTCAAGGTGGGGGAGACGGAACCACAGTAGCAGAGAAGCTTTTGTCCACTCTACTCACGGAGATCGACGGTCTTGAGCTTGCGCAGGTATTTGAACTACTTGCTTTCACATGATCATATACTTCCCTTTCTTATTGGTTAAAATAAAACTTTATATCCAGATGCATCTTCTTTTTCAATTTGAATGCTTTGCCAGTATTGAACTTTGAGTAGAAGAAGAAGATTGAAAATTTCAAAGTCCTTGAGTGCACTTATCTGAAGAGCTGTTTTTGTCTTTTGATTCTCAGGGTGTTTTAGTCCTTGCGGCAACAAATCGGCCACAAATGATCGATGCAGCTCTTATGAGACCCGGGCGTTTTGACTCGGTATGTTACAGAATTTTGATAGATTTATCGCTCTTTTATTGCAAAGAAGCAGCGTTGTTGACAACAAATGTGGCAGTTGTTTAGAAGGTTGAATGGTGACCATTACTCTGACTTGTCCCGTTTTGTAGGTGATTTATGTTCCGCCTCCTGATTTTGAAGGACGACTGGAGGTCTTGAAGATTCATACACGCAAGCTCAAAATAGATAGTGACGTTAGTCTGCACAAAATAGCGATGGAGACAGAAAACTATACAGGTGCTGAATTAGCTGGTTTATGTAGAGAAGCTGCGATGGTTGCCTTGAGGGAGAGTCTAGACGCTGATACGGTGTATGTTCGCCACTTCGATATTGCAAAAGCCTCAGTGAAGCCAAGCTTAACTGCATTGCAAATTGCTAGCTATGCTAGCTTCGATACTAAAGGGAAGCCGGTCTTACATTGATCATACATTTAATAATAGTCTCCAATATTTGCATCCATTATGGGGTTTTGCGTGAAAACTGATAATGTGGTGTCAGAATCGATGGGTCCATTTTCTGTTCTTAGTCGATGTTGACAGCAATACGTGCTTTTTTCTTCCCCCTAGACACTTTGTGACGTGGACAGTCTCACAGGCCGGACTGCATTTTGATGTGCGAACCGACTTTGGAGCGACTGTTCATCCTTGGAATCTTGAAACTATGTTATCAAAGGCGGAGGCCTTACTTGACTATAAGATGGTTCAGTACAGTATTTCATCCCGAGGGATCGACTTATTTAAACACTTGGGTCTAGTTCTTCCTATTCTCTCCGATCAATGATATACGCCAACTGTCAGCATTCATTTGGAGTATGATTCTCTCGCCACGCATGTACGACGGAGAGCGTACAGCGTACAGTACAGCAACCTGAAAATGCACTTTATGAATGCATTATCGCGATTCTCGTCGATACATGTTGGTCGCCTGTAAGAAGAGAAAAACCTGAACACCTTAAGAGACGCAGAGAGGCCGTATTCTATTGCACCCGAAAAAGAGTAGGATGCATTTTATGTGAGGGACTGACTGCAAGCAATGCCGGGAAAATTGATAGAGACTGAGACCCTCTTCTGAGACCCTGTGATCACTCTCCTATCATTTTCTGGCTTGAAGGATTCAAGTCTGCGCCGCCACCCAAGTTGCACAAACAAATCTAAGACAGATATCGGGATTCTCCGCAAACCGCGAACCTAGAGATACCAGGTCCGTCTGCGGCAAACGACGACTATGGAGGCGAGAGAGGTTATCCACAAAGAGGATCAAAGATAGAGTGTATCATGGCCCTAAACTTGTAGAGAGAATCTTGGAATCCGGACCGAGATGTGGAATCCCGGCATATCGCCGGAAATTAGGAGGATGAGTGTACCCGCAATCCAAAACTGGGCATGCATAGAGACGAGAACAGAGTTACATGTATCTGAGAGACCAGTGGAGCCGGGAGGATGCCGGGACTCGTACCCAACATGTGTTCAAACCGCTATGGCTGCCATCTGCTTGAATTTGCGACGAGAATTTCGTAAGCCCGCAACGAGGATACGGATGGAAGATTTGTGGTCGGTGTGAGTTTAGTACCTCAGGAAAAGTGCTGACTTCAGTAGCGACGTGCGTTGCTGTTTGTGAAGAATTGCTGTCGCAATTTCTGTGTGGACGAAGGATTCGGGAGCCTGCCGGGCAGTGCTGTTTGGCTTGCTAGCAAACGAAGCCTGGAATAGTTAGCTTTGTGGAGCTGGACGTGTAGATTAGTTGGATTTTCAACTCAAGTCACCGCCTGTACCTGGTTCTCATCGAGAGATAGACAAGGATGGCTGCTGTGGGATTGCGGCTGGGCCAGCAGCTGCAAAGATCGACATTTCTTTTTCCCGGTAGCATTCTGGGGGCTCCGGCTCCCTCAACCAGCAGGACTTCATGCGCTTCGCAGTCGGTGCGTGCGCTGAAGAAGCAGTCGCATTCATCAAGTCCAAAGGGTAGTGGTGGGAAAGGGTCTATCGCGGAAAAATCCAAGGTTGAAAGTGGAAGCAGGGGAGGTGGAGGCTCTCACCCGAGCAGGAAGAAGCTTGATTCAGGCTCGTCGTTGAAGCTTGATGAGAGCATCATCGCCTCACTCCCCATGCCTAAACCCCCTGCCGGTTTCATTCTCGACGAGGCTGGCCGAGTAGTTCTTGTCGCCCCTGCAGCTAACCGTGTTGTTACCATTGTGCGCTCTTCACCCATTTCTCCTTTTCCCAAATTGTTGCATATTATGAGGAACCGGAATTCATGAACCAGATTTTTTGCCTGTTGTGCCTCGTTCTGTCTTTCTGTTTTGCGAACTATATTTTTTCGTCAAATTTGCTTTCAATATAGTATCTATTGCCATGTTGTTGGGTTCATAAGAATTGGATAATTTGATGCGAAGCGCTTTTATTTCACTACATTTTAAAGACGTAACTGGATTGGTTGACTGATTTGGTTCAAATTTCTTGCAGGTCGACCCGGCAACTCAGAGACCTCTAGAATGCATGATAAGAAGAGCCTTTCGAAGCTCGCAGGGCCAAGATTGTTTACTTCTACTCCCCCTTGACATGTAAGTTTAGTTCGCGGCATGATCCTTGTTCAGACGCACGAGTTAGAATATAAATGCCATCAAGAGTGTTAAGCGAATGCTCAAAATTTGCTATGGTGCTCAGTGTCAATGCTCTCGGTTCTATAGCCTCCATGAAATCGACAAATGGATTTTTAATTAGTGAATAACGGCAATTCTCAGCTTCGTTCAACTTCCCACAGAGCTGAATGTATTTGACGTATTGAACGTACCTTTTCAAACAGATGTCCCGGCCTACATACCTGAATGTTTGAGTTCTTTATCTGTCTGAAGTCTGAGTTCTGACCCCACTACCTTGCAGGCCTTTGCAGATTCTCAAAATTGAAGAGGAAAGTGAGGGTTTAAGGGAGGTGAGAGCTTTGACTGCCTGCAGTCTTTGGAAGCACTTACAGTATTTGTTGTTGTTCTATGAATTCAATGGGCCCTAAAGAAATTTGTGGACTGAACTATGGTTGTTTGTTCTACAGCTTAGTGATGATGAGCTCCAAGCGGTTCTTCCGACAGCGGCTTATGCGCTTGCGAAAAGGCGGTTGCATCTGATTATTAGTGGGTCAGTGTCCATACTTAACATATTGAGCTCATTTCCTAAACAATATGCTGAAGATAAAATTGAACAACAATGGATGTTGGAGTGTTGAAACGTCTGCCATGTAGAGAAGAATTGGCATTCTGAAATTTTGAATTATTGCAGGTTTTGTCTTACTGCTCGGGGAGGATTTTGTTACACAGAGGAGCATGTATTAGATTTAAATACAGGTGCGTTTGCAATCCATCCAATCCCACTGACGATTGTGCAAGTTCCAATAACCTTTTTTTGAATATGATTCATGTGCATAATTTGGTTCATCTCTGGCTCAACTGAGTAGGCAGTTTAGAGAGAAGAGACACCGTTGCCAATGAGTGGTGAGAAGCCTATACCAGTTAGATTTTGTAGTTTTAGAATTGTACATGAAGTACAGTAACACGAGTGTGTTTCTCTCCAATGTTCATACTCTACTAAGTTATGATGAATAGTGTGTTGTTGCTTGCATTTGAACTGTTGTTCCAATGTTGAGGTTGTTTGTTACTACTGAGACTGTGTTAACTACTTAACCTTTTCAATTCTGATTCACAATTTGAAATAGTGATATTACAATATGTCAATTGAGAATTGAAAGTCTTATGGTGTAATAAGACTTTCAATTACGGTGTTAAAAGTCGAAATAAATTTTCCAGATAATGGCGAGGGTCTTGGTGGTTCACTTGCCGAGGGTGTCGAAATAGCGAATTTCCAATTGGTGGGTGTGCTCATTCCATTCCGCAATGTTCACTCACAATTCTTCTATTTGATTACAAAACACTACTATAGATGATTTAGTGTAGGGTTACCAAACTGCAAAAATTATGACCAAGCCGTACTTCATTTGTAGCCATTTTTTAGTCGTGTGCTTACCCAGAGTTAGCGTTTGAAATACGTGATGGTGCACATTATGTGGTATTATAGGTTGGTGCCTATGAGCATTATTAGAAGATCACAGTCTGGAAATTTAGATGGGTTGATATTTTCGTTTCCATTTTCGATATACCGTCATAAATAAAACTTTTCATTGGGTCTGCAGAATGATGATGAGTATCTCATCTACACTCCTTTCGATCCACTTATGTTTGTTGCTAAAAGGGTGAGTACCTTTTTTTTGTATTATAGTTGGAGATCTGTACATAGAAGAAATGAGGTGCCCATTCTGTAGATGTAGCAGTTGAGATCACTGCCATCTGATTGAAGGATCGTAAGTAGTTTTTTTTTCAAATTGTAGTTTTGATGTCTAACTTACGAAAATTGACACACATTTACGACCTTGCAGGATGAAGTCACTGGGGAATTAAAAATTGCAGACGATGTAAGACTTTGTTGCTCCCTGTACTTCTTGATACTGTTTTTATATCTGCTTGAAATCTTAAAACAACTTAGACCGATGAAGGCACTTCAGGTGAACCTTCATTCTAAATAATTACTCCTACTTGTCCTATTGTATAACAGGAGCTTTTGGACGATGAAGTCGTCCTTGATGCCATTGATGAAGAAAACGAGTTTCAGGCGTTGGTGGTCAGTTTTTGAACCTGATAAAGCCAAAACATTGACCTATCTTCAGTACTTACCTGTTGTGTTCATTCAGAAGTTGATGACATACCTTCAATTATTGACAGCGGGTTGGCATGCAGGATGAGGAAGATGCCATAAACGAAACATTAAGAGAAGCGAAGTGAGATATATCATTGTAGAATCCACGGAAGAAGGTTTCCAGTGGTCTACATTGGCGGAAATGAGGTAATTTTCTTGAAAATGCTATACATATCAATGCCCACAGAGCATCTAAGGTATACCAACTGCCACCTAAGGTTCCAATAAATGAGAATTCTGCAAATATCTCTTGTCATAGCTGACCAGTAGCAATACAGAGAAAGTCACAATTCGACTTGCAGTTGTTGTATTCACCTCTTTATTACTTGTTCCTTATGTTTATTTCTTGATGGCTGCAGATGACGAATGCTGAGCATTAATGGGAGATTTTATTATGAATACGTGTCACGCATCTCAACATTCCATCACTTAATTATGTTCTCAAGTCCCCAGAGACTTATAGTTTTAGTGTCATTTAGTATATAGGCTAATATTCCACATGGAGTGAATATCTAGACATCGATTATTTTTGCTACTAAGAAGCATGTCTACCTTTGAAGCACATAGTCTGAATCTTTAGACTCCTATAGTGTCACCCCTGTGCTTAAGAAATAAGCTGTTCAAGACGGGAATTGTCAGGCACATTTCGTTAGTGTTGGGGAGTTGTAAATTGAAACAATTTGCGAGTCTTAGTTTCACGCTTGTACCATGAGCCAAGAATTAGATGTCCAAGTTTTTCTTCCAGTTTTTTATGAGCATGCCTCTGCGTGAAGATTGGTCTCGTAAGCCACAATGGACCACCTTCATGGACAAAATTCAATTTCAGAAGTCAAAGTGGTGTCAAGTGTAGTAATTTCGAATTCTGAGGCATAGATTCTCGTCTCATCGAATGAATCGATGGTGTTTCGTATGGATCGAATCGTACTCTGGAATCTGACCAACATCTGGAGTGCTCTTCAGTTCTGGTGAAGAACGATTGCATAAAAAAAAGCGAATCTCTCTTAAGTCTCCACATATTAGATCAAGGAGTAGTCATCGGATCATGCCCCTTGTTCATACATATTACCAAGAGTTTATGTCGTTTGCATAAAGGAAGGGGAGCTTAACATAATCAGATTTTAAACCATAATTGTCACCATCATATGGTAGTCATTACCGAATGATTGCAATAGTTGTTGGCCGCAGATTGGCGCAGCTGAGCCATTTCACTCTCTGGACGTCGCCTGTTGCTTTCCTGTGTTTTCCTGGCTGTTACATGAATAGATGAGCGAGAATAACAAGCATCCTGTCTGTTTATCCATTGTGCAGATCTCCCGTCCTTACCCTTGAACCTTCCAACTCTGATCATTGGAGACTTGCCTTGATCAGCCCAGTTTCTGGAAAGCGCGAGTAGAAGTTCGTGAAAAAGAAAACATTTGCTACACATGTAACGAAACTTAAAGCATATCTGATTCTTATTGCAGAGTAAGTACCACAGGGTCATTACAGAACATGCCGAATTTGTGCAAATCAACATGGCTACTACATCAATTTGGTAGAGCATGGCTTTAAGACTTATGATGCTGTTTCATTTGCGCCAAATCTTGAACAAGAAGATATTAATCAAGATTAATAACCGGACTCTTGTAGTGTTGTGTCCCATCTGTGATTAAGCTCTCAAAAATACACAAGCCATGCAAGGAGCATGTTTTGGAGAACGACATTATAATTTCAAGTGCAGAAGTCTCTACAAATACAACCTTTTGATCGTGATAACTTTTCTTTCCAATACCATGAGGCTTTTTGTTTTAATGACATTACAAACAGTCTTGCATTGGGATGCAATATGCCTTGGAGTGCCGCAGAAGAATCTGAATAACGTTATTTTGTTGTCATTTGTTCATCTTTATCGGATTGATTACAAGGTGTGAGGTAAGATGCAAAATTGTACAGAGAAGTATTGGAACTTGTCATCTTCAAAAACAATAAGCTCTTATGTGTTTTTAATCCTACTGTGGATGAGATAATATCAATATCTTCTAAAAATCAGAATGTTCATTCAATTCTGACCCCCATACGGAAAGATTAGTATCAATTTGATATTGCAACTACAACATGGAATCTAAATGGTGGTGAGTAAAGATGAGAATCTTGGCAGGAGTTGCATCTACTCTAGCCATAGATGGACTGGCCTATGTCTTTGCTAAGAAGAAAGCAAATCATGTGATAGCAAGGACTTTTAGAAATGGCATCAACTTTAGTACAACAATCTTTGTACCCTATGAATACTGAAAGAATTCGAAAGGTAGAGAAGCAGATAGAAGAAGATCAACCGCCTTGATGCGGATAAAGTGGAGAGATATCCCGAGGAATTTATTGAGCCTCATGTAGGAGGATTCTCGTCCACCTCCACGAGGCTGGCCAGCGGCAATAGTCCACCAGACGCCTGCATATATTACTTCGACAAAGAAGATATTTGAAGAAAATGTAAGCTTTTGTCGAACCCCAAGAATAGTTTGAAGAATGGTGTATTTCAACTTGGAGACCTAGAACAAACCACTACGAAAACCCACAACACTAGCTAGATTCTCATAGAGACTATCCAAACGATCTGCAAATCAAGGTGTGCTTTGTTAGGTGGCCAACGCAATGTCCTCCTCTTGCATGTATGGCCTCTTCTTACAAGTTCTCCATGAGCAGGCATTATAGCCTTTGGAGGCCATACACATTTGGACGACAAAATCTGCGTAAGTACCTCCTTTAGGGAAGACTACGAGAAAGACCAACATATATTTCAATATATCACATTTGATTTCCAATTTCTACTTCCCTCGTCCTCCAAAGGTTAAAAAATTGCATAAGAGATTGACATAACACATAATACAAATGATACAACATTCATATTCTAACATCTAAGAGTGAAGACAAATACTGTATCTATTTATATACGTACATTGAAACAAACACACATAGACATAGATGTGATTGTTGATGTCATATGTACACCTTCAATTTTATCCAATCAGTAAATTTTATTTATCATTACATTATGTATGACTTCTCACTCACATCTAGATGCGGTTAAGCAGTTAATAATATTGATATTCATATAATTCAAATCTCAACTTACAAGAACAAATAAGGTTAATCATGTACCTTAAATGTATATCTTGATATAACTTTACAACACTTCTAACAAAATGTGAAGAACACTGCTGCCTTCCTTTCATAAGAGCAAGACATACATAAGAATTATACAGTTCAAACCTAATTGTTTTGAAAAAACTATCATAGTAATTGAAGTATTACTAGTATCCTATGAAACAAGTCGCCTCATGTTAGTTGATGTTTTCAAAGCTTTCATATCTGAGTTAAGTTGTCATGTACATTAGTCTTCCATTTAAGTACGCACTTTGAACCTTAAACTTCTGTGCGTAATTAATCGGGATATGCATACTTAACATTTTCATTTCCAGATAATTTTTGTAGAGCTTCAATGTCCAAGAAATTGAATACCAAGTTACTCATGGATGTGAGAACATTTCAAAATTAAGAAAATAAAATATTCCGAGCAAACTCGCTTTTGTGCGTGAGTATGAAATTAATGATGCATCTAACAATTAGTGGACAATTTTCTTAGCCCAGGTCGCGACCTGTGGCCTTTTCCCAACCTCGCCCTTGATGGTTAGATTTCTCTCGCTTGACTTCCCTTGCCCCAAGGCATAGAATGGGGCAGTAGTGTAGTCTTGAATGTGAAATTACAATGAAATTTCTGAAAATGTTAAAATCACTGAAATTTACTATAATCTCGCTGAAAATGTTGATAAGTGAAAATTGTCTGATAAAATGCGTACTTAAATGGTGGGCTACTGTACATCAATAGTTAATTGAGACATTGACAATTATTGTCACTTTAGGACTCTACACAACAAGATAACAACAGAATCCATATATATATATATATATATATATATATAACACTTCACAAAGAGCTTTTCTAATATACTGGAGGGTATGAAAATAAAAAACGTAATTTAATGTCAAGCACATCGTTTTCAAACACTTTATTGGGCATAACGATCTCATACCGTGCACTACGCGAAACATCTGCCAAGCATGTACATATCTTGTTAAAATGAATTTTTGTAACATCGTCTTTCCTTTCACTTGGACAAAGATTGAGAGATTGTTTTTTTGATTTCAATCTTCATTGAGTCTACTCTTTTTATCCATTTACCTTTCTATGCTGTACATAACCATAGTACACATGGTTTTTCTCCGCTTGTAAATCTAAGGGCTGAGACTGGCTAATGTCTTGATATACATGGAACAAATGAGTTATAAGGAATAAGGAAACTTGATAGAATCTAATGGTTTGAATCATATAAAGCCAAAGATCATAGTGAGAATGACATATGAAATATCATCATCTATCTTCGTATTTCATATATGGATATGAAAATTGTTCTGATCTAAAAAATGTGTCTATGACTATTTCAATTGGAATGGTAGAGTTTAACTACCAAATGTTAATAATGATATGATGTTTTAGATAATGTGTGAAAGTGGATAACTCAATGTATACTTGTTCTGTATCACTCTCGGTGCAAGTCTATACTTGTCACTAGTGGTTTGATGATTAACTATCTCCAAGTGATATTTTCCAGAGATATGACTATCTATGTTCTTGTATGAATGATGAGTAATGCGGATGAATCCAGTTCTATAAATTCAAAGTTATAAAGAGCTTTCATCTCTTTTTTACTCTAACTGTAGAAATATGTGTATTGAAACTTTGTCATATTCAAGTAAGTTTACAAGACTTTTGGCTACATCAACCCCGACCCTATGTTCTCCGGGCTCACCGATCGTGTATCACCGTCACAGTCACCAGAGGGTTTCGCGTTTGTCGCCCAAGAGGAGGCCGACCAGTCTTTTCGTCTAGCATTTCTTATGATGCACTCTGGGATTGGCATGGCAGATCATTTATTATGATGCACTCTCTGGAATTATGGTGCCGCCGTATATTCCAGATTATTATCTGGAATACGGTCGGGGTTGTTCTAGACTGCAGTTTTACAAGCGCCTACCATATTTAGTATGTATAAATATTATTGTAATCCATTAATTAGAGAACAAATCATAGCCAATGCCACACATGATAAAGCAACGCTTCGATGAACTGCGGTGGATGCTATTATTTTTTGGAAGATACTTTAATTGGATAGTCCAGATATGTAAATTGACACATATGATGACAAATTTTTCATTTGGGTCTAGCCCGGGTTTTACATTGTGGTTTCTTCCTTCTTGGGCTTGATGGGGTATCCCCGTGTTTATTTTCTCTGCTTGTCCATGAGGCCTATCCTATCCATCGAGAAGAACAAGTTGTAGCTGAACTAAAAGACAAAACCGCGTGCGATCAACCGTAAAGTACATAGACGAAGATGGAAGGAACTCTGTCTGTCCATGGCGACGGAGGATCGGCCCAAATCGGAGAATGATAAGCGCAAGCGCATGCTCATCGCCGTGCACAGCAATCTCCACGACAGTCCATGTTCGCGAGCTGCAATCTTTCTGGCACACGGGCACCGACCTTCGTCCCGTCTGATCCTCCGTTGCGTTCTAAACCCTCCTCACGTCGGTCTGAACAGCTCGATGGTGAGTCTGCCGCATGCGTTCGTGCCACGAAGCGTAACAGGGGTTTCGAGAAATTTCACCTTTTCCGCATCTCCTTGACTGATCTTCCATACAGTCAATGTTGCACGAGTGCTCTGCCGAATCCCGCCATCGATCAAACGTATTCATCAGGTTCGCACTAGCGACAAGGAAATAGTTCGCGGTGTCGTCTGTCGTCCAGGTTTCGACTCTTTCCAGCGTGGAGCATTTGGACGAATCGCGCTTCGATCGAGCGATGGAGTCATCAGAAACTAACGAAATTAAGGAAGAGGCCTGAATCACCAAAGAGGGGCCGAGCGGATCGCCACAAAATAATGGCCGGAAGGGGAAAAAAGAATGTGATCTTCGACTGCTCTTGACCGCAGTCGTTTGTAGTTGACCGAGGTTCTTGATCGGCGGAAAACTGGGTTGCGGCTTTTCGACCAGTCAGGCAGACACTCACCTCGACAAAGATTTGCGCAGACAACAACACGATCGCAGAGTCAAATAACTTCCTCTGATCACCAATCACGCATCATCTTTCGTAAATGCACATGCGGCTTTAGGCGATTCTCCCTGACCGTAACTTTCGTCTGCGGATTATGTGCTACAGTTCTACATCACATCTGCAGACTGTAGCCGTTCATTCATTCATCATAGCACTATATTGTCTATAATCCGTGGAATCATCAGGATTTTGCAGCCATGGAGGCAAGGTTGGGAAATCCGAAAAGAAGGTGTGGAGGATCAGACGGAAGTTGGAACCTTTACTGGATTGGATACCCCAAGAAGAGCCCGAAGAAGAGAAGAGGACGAGAAGTTGGTACAGCCTTGGCACAAATCATGGCAAAACAAAGTCGGGAAAGATATCTTGGCGTGACTAATCAACACGTTTCACGAGAAGTAAGGACAAAGGCAAGAGACATGCATGAGCAGGCCGGTTTCCCGTCCATGTGGTCCTTCTATAACCGACGACGGTCCGGAACATTCGCTCTCTCCCGGTGCTGTCGACTTACAAGACAAAACGTCATTCCATTCCTGGACAATCATTCCCGGAGCTGTTGTGACGTTTTGACTGGACCCAAGAGCAGCAGAGAACTCTCCGTAATCAGCAGTCAGCTCCCAAAGGTATTGATCTTTTTTAGTTGTTCTCGATTCCACGCAAAGTGAGAGCCAGCCCGAGAAAATAATCCAAATTACAACAGTCCAGTTGCTCTCATTGAGTTTACTTGTGGACTCAGTGAAGGTCGGGGCTGCTTAAGAACTGACGAGTCTCGAAGGGTGTAACATCATCGGAACTGTGAGCGTGAGCCTTGGAAAAACTTTCAAAGGACAAGTTCTGAATCAGAAATATCTTGTGGAGCGATTGTTGGCAGGAATCTTATCAATGAGACAGGAGGAAAGCCGACGACCAAGATAGAGCCGTAACGTAACAAACGTGGGCAGGCTCGCCATTCGAGCTGCAAGATTCCAGCATGCTTGCGGAACGAGACGGTCTATGGGAATATGAGCCTCATAAAACCGAGGAAGTAACGTCACAAGAAAGTAATAATACTATGAGGATGTTGTTTATGCGTGGGTCACACAAGTCGGAGCTTTGAACATCTCCATCCGGCACATGTGCGCGTATAGTTCCACGCTCTTTCCATATGGTCGGGTTCTGTACAATCGTCGAGAATGCGGCTCCAGTCCCAGCAGTCATCAGGGATGAGAGGCACGACCCGGCAGGGCTGTATCCAACTTCCTGTCACGAAGTACCGATAGTGGACGGGGCAAGCAAGGGAAACTTCAGAAATCCGTTATCTCTAGCAGCAAGATCTCGCATGCTAATCGTGCAAGAGTGGGGTCCGTAATAGTAAACGATCGAGGGTGCGGAAGTGCTGCATTACTTGAGGCATTGTTGGCGAAGGTACGTACTCTCTTTTGCAGGAAAAGAGCTGAAGCTTCATGGGTGAATTTCTCGTAGATCAAGGCCTCAACTGATCGCTGGCATTTGCTCCTGAGTTGGTGTAAGTAGTTTGACTGTCAAGAAGAAACAAAAGTACACGCTGGTGTCCTTCAGTATCGCCTGTCTGGTCCTAGCTCCTCCTTTATCGGCGATTTCTGCCTTCACTTGGCGTTCTGACAAATTGTGGGTGTTCTCCAGAAATGAATTCCCGTTGTTGTGCAAGGTTTTTTCTGGCCGCAGCTTAATAAAGGAAATAGATATATATACTCGAGTCTTTTGGATTTAGCTCAACCAACAGTATAATTTGATGATAGTGGCTGCGCTTTTTCTTCGGTGTTCGCGCGATTGCCGTCTGGATGTTGGGGGTTCTTGAAATAGAAAACTGTATGAAATGGAAGGAAATATCTGTTTGCAAGTATCATCGAGTGAAGCTGTCTTTTTGTTTACATTCGGGTAGTAAGGTATCGGACATGCATGAATCACTTTCTTTTACCATGCAAGTGATTTGACTCTGCTAGTTTTCCTTGAACACCATTAAGAGAAGTCATTACAACTGTCTGCGTATATCCTGGCTCGTTCACAACAGTATCGAATCTGCTTACTTATTGAAAATAGAACGCAGAATTCTGAACAGTGTAAAATGTTCCTGAACATGCGTTAACAGTTATGAGAAGACACCAGACCTTGATTTGAAATACTATGCGAGGGTTGTGTCAGTTAAAGTTAATCCATGACTTCCTCAGCTTGATCTTTGAGGCAGCAGGATGGATGATTATATTTAAATTTAAAAAAACAATTGAAAACTATTGCATTCAGGAATAACGTGATGAGTCATAATGCCGGTGGGCCTGTCTTTCTGTCGAGAGCTTTCGGGAGTGTGTGCGAAGAGTGTAGTGTACCCAAAATTCATTCGATATGTATGCCCTCACACCATCCACAACTGTCTATTCGTCCATCATATATTGAAGCAGCATCGAACCACTTAAGTGTTCAGTACAGCTTGAGAGAGTCAAGCTGATCATTCGATGCAAGTAGAAGGAGTTCGGTTTGGCCCGTTGGCTTGCGAATGGCTGGGATCTACAGGTCCCATATAGAAGAGAACAACCGCAATCTGCTGCCAGATAATTGGGAGTCCTTGTCGGGTATGTAATACCTTCTTCGGACGAAACTTCAGAAACATATAAAAGCCCTTCCAGCAAGTGGTAAACTTGTCTGTCCAAAACTTCCACCGGACAGGCCAGCTTCTTGACTTGATTTGGCGAGCGCTGAGAGCTGGAAATAAACTGCTCCGAATCGACAACCACGCAACAAGGATTTCTTCCTTTCGTGCCTTAGAGTCCCTTATGATGAACTGACCTGTCTCAAGGATTCTGGTAATCCAGCTCTTTTCCGAGGAATAAACTCAAAGAAATTTTTTCCAGCAACTGTTTTGTCACTGTTATTGACTATATTTGGATGTGTCTAGGTCAGAGGAGATCCGGATAATCTGACCTGCCGCAAAGTACTCAATCAGGAAAATATGTCGACTCTGAGATTGCTGGTGGGCCTCTTTCTGAAGAATTGTTCCTTCACTCCTGTTGAGGACCTTCTTTCAAAAGCGTAGTTGAGGATTTGTGGTGACAAACAGCGTACGAGTGTATTGAGTTACTAAATGATCTCGTCTGTCTGTCTCTCTCCAGTCCTCTTCAGCCTAAATTCCTCCTGAGATTCTTTGCATCCTTATCTCGTCGAGTATGTATATGTTATGCGTATGCGAGTTGACTAAATAGAGGTTCAAGATCCTCATACAAAACGAATGCTAGGATTATTATCCTAGCGCGCAGAAGCATAAATGCCTTAGCTGATACAAGCATACGCATCTGTAGCAAGGTTTTCCTATGACTGCAGCGAAATGAAGGCTGTCGTTCAGAGTTTGCTACTTCTGGTCTTTAAGTGCATGTAATGAAATACCAAAAAACGAGAAAGTACATAGTTTGGCGCAGGTTGGTATGAAACTAGCAGTTTTCATACAATGTCGGGCGGATGGACTTTACCAGGAGGAGAAAAAGAATCTAAAACTGTTGAACCTATCGTACGTCTCTACTGACACTACTGACACTAAGAGCTCCTACCTTTGGAGTAGACCTTTAGATTCGAGACTTCTCCCCGTTTGCTCGTTTGAAACTTTCCTGATATTCCTGACTTCAATTTCTTAGGGAACCATCGAATTGAATGTCGTTGTTGTGCTTCTCCCCGCTGGAAGCAGGGAGCAGAGCTGTAGCATAGCTTCTTCTTATAGCTTTCATCCTTGATTGGATTGCAGGATGAAGCAGAAGTTTTTCTCGAGGATTACTCTAAGGAGGTAAGCATTATATGCGCAATAGAATCTATCGGCTGTTTATCAATGGCTTGTTCCTATCCTCTATTTAATGCTAATGGCTTGATCGAAACTTATATCATTTCTTCTGAAGAAGATCTCGAACATGGACGTGAGTGCAGGACAGGGGAGATGCAGACTCCCCTATAGAGGAAGTGAACTTGACGGTTCCAACAACTGATACGCCGGACATGCGAATGCTCACCGTGAGGACGTGGGTCATTGGGTTACTGATTTGCGGATTTCTAGCGTTTGTGAACCAATTTTTTTGGTTTCGATCATCCCCTATCACCATTTCTGCCCTGGCGGGACAAATTGTCTCACTATACCTTGGTAGGATGATGGCGACTTGGCTTCCCGACAAGAAGATTGGTCCTATAGAGCTCAACCCGGGCCCTTTCAACATCAAGGTGATGCTTGTAAAACTCTTCAAAGATATCGTTCTGCTTGAAGTAGATTCTGCTTAGATTTAGAAGGGCAGAATCCTCGTTGGTGAGAGTTAATGAAGTAGTCAATCGTGTCACGAAGGGGTTTAAAGTGCGCTGACCGATGCAGAGCTGTGAACTGCAGGAGCATGTCCTCATCACAGTGTTTGCTGGTTGTGGCAGCGCCTTCGGACGAGGAAATGCGGAAGCTATACAGCTTGTCACCCTTCTGAATATACCAAAGTTCTTTAATAAGGTAAGGAGTGTTGCTTTCAGCATCACTTTCGAGTAAGGGCACATAACCCGTGCATTTTGAGATTGGAGGATAGTCTTATTTCCGTTAATGGACTACTCGTGGAGTCTTTTACCACCTGGACTTCTTTGCTCTGAACCAATTCGCGATTATCTATGATTTCGAATACGGTGCTGACATCTGAACTTTGGTTCTGGTCAGAGTCTAAATTTTGGCGTGGCAGTACTGCTGGTTTCAACAACTCAAACCCTTGGCTATGGAATGGCAGGGCTTTTACGAAAATATGTTGTGGTATGAACGTTTTCCTCTGATTTCATTCAAGAATTTGGTTTTCACCTGAAGACACGATGAAACAATAATGTTAATTTTTGCTCAGACTTGCAAACTAGTATCTCAAAATAAGTAGCAAAGCAGGGCATATCCTAATCTGGCTGGATTTGGCATGTAATTTGCAGGACCCTCCTCATATGTGGTGGCCTTCAACCATGGTTGATGTAGCTTTATTCAGGTAGTGCTTTTGCTTTTGCACATTCTTGAAAACAAGACCATCATCGCTTTGATACAGAGTGTTGGCCCACCATGAATGCTTCTAGCAGTCGTATTGGTATGTCTAGAAGATAGTAGCAGACCGTTTGCGAACGAACCAAATTACGGTCTGCTTATTTCGTATTCTGTTCTGAAATAGCGGTCACAAATACTTCCTGATTCACACATGCAACAAGGTTCTAACAAGTGTCTTATTGCTGCACAGAGCTCTCCACGAGAAGGAACCTTCAAGGGGTTTGAGCCGAATTCAGTTTTTTCTTATTGCCGCGGTGATAAGTTTTGCGTGGTACATCGTACCGGACTACTTTTTTACCACAATCACCTCCCTATCCTGGATCTGCTGGGTTTATAAAGATTCTGTGACAGCACAACAACTTGGATCAGGTCAACCTTCTTAGCTCAGACGACGATCTACTTACAACAACGTGTTATTTTGAATCTTTTTTATAGAAAGACTTACAGTTGGAGAAATTTTCCTGATAGTATTATTATCTTGCTTCAGAAGGACCTTTTACACGCGGAAAAGAAACCATTGATTGTTGTTACTGAGAGTGCTCTTGGAGTTTGTGTTGACTGCAGGAATCAATGGTTTAGGCTTTGGCTCGATTGCACTTGACTGGGCTACCATCTCCGCTTATCTATCGTCTCCCCTATCAACACCCTGGTTCACGTTGGTCAACGTATATGTGGGTTTTTTAATTGCTGCGTACATCATCACACCTCTCTGCTATTGGTACGATGTCTACAATGCCCAGAACTTTCCAATCATCTCCAACAAACTATTTCTTTTGAATGGCAACCGGTACAATGTTAAGCAGGTAATTTTTCACCTACATAGACAGACTAGGAAGTGTTAAAAGAGACATTGTAGTGTAACAAACAGCTTTCAGTCGGTAAATCATGTCAAAATGAAAGATTCTTTGGCAACCTTAAATTTTCTGAGTACTTTTCATGAATTGATGGTTGCTTAAAAGAACACTTCTTACTGAGACAGGATGGAGTAGAAACAGTAGTCTGACTTCAGTGTTCAGCATTCGTCTCTAAGAATCCTTCTGCAGGTTCTAGATGCAGGTGGTTTGGATCTGGACTTGGAAAAGTACAACGCTTACGGACCTCCAGAACTATCAACTTCCTATGCTATAATTCATTGGGGCCTGGTGTTTGCCTACATCACTTCCGCGTTCACTCATGTATGTTTGTGGAATGGGAAAGACATATACCATCGATTCATGAGTTCCAGACTGGGTGAGCGCATTCTGCCCGTCTTTTGATGCCTATATGCCTTCACTTCTTTTCCTACATCCTAAGGTCTTTTATCTGTCTGAAAGGAGGACTTTTGCAGATGGAAAGTACAAACCCGATATCCACACGCAACTTATGCAATATTACCCGGAGATTCCTTCGTGGTGGTTCTGGGCGTTACTCCTAGTCAACGTTGCGCTGTCTCTGTTTATGATGAAAAACTGGGAGGATACTTTTCAAATATCTTCCTCAATGTTACTGTTGGCTATTGGCATGTCCTGCGCTTTCACTCTTCCCATCGCCATCATTACTGCCACAACAAATCAGGTGTGGCTTACAGTAAAATGGATCTTTGATTAGGGGTCATATACCTTTGATTCTCATCTCCAATACCTCCCAGCATTGAGATGATTTTAGGTGTCTTTTTGTTCTTTACGCATCTGGTTGCCCTGTTTCGAAGCGAACTCTTTGCAAAGGTTGCTGCTGCAACAAATTTCTGACCTGGAGTGTTTCAGTTTGAAGGACCTGGAGCTCTCTGTGACTTCTTCTATGGATATCTTGCACCAGGGCGAGTTGTAGGATTGAACTCATTTCGAGTATATGCTGCTGGTAGTGTTGTGCAATCAGTGGTCTTCCTACGGGACTTCAAACTTGCTCACTACATGAAGATTCCTCCCCGCAACATGTTCCTTGTTCAGGTGCTCTATCAGAACCCATAACAAAGCCAGGCAGGAACAAAACTTATCCTCATGATTAATCCGCGTGTTTTTCTTGTTCTGGAATTCTTGAACAGTAGGATAAAAGCACGAGAGTTTTATCGTTATCTAAAGTTGATATATATAACAGAAAGGTTGCTTTGCTTGAAGTACATTACACGGCAGTGTAGCTTTTTAAATGCCAGTTTCTTGTGTTAGTTCCTGCAGCTTATATATGACCAACCAGTTCTTTACAGGACCCACGTCTGGATCTAATCGTGTTTAATTTCTCCCACCTGCAACTCGTTCATGATAATTGATACTGCGAATTCTTTTGCTTCGGTTCCGAGTTATGAAAACTCGGGAAGTTGTACAACTCTCTGAAGGTTCATGGTCGATTTTTTCTTGATTCTCTACCTTTATCGTCAGATCTGCTTCCAGCTTCAAAAGATGTGCTACCTGGCCTCAGTTTTTACTGGTATGCACGTTGCTCGCAGGTTGTAGGGACATTACTGGCAGGTTTTGTAAATGTGTCCTGTGCCTATTGGCTGTATGAGGCGGAACCGTTGTTGTGCGCTGAATCAGGAGACTGGACGTGCCCAGCTGCGACCAACGGTTTTTCTGTAGCCACCATATGGGGACTGATCGGCACGAGAAGAATGTTTGGAGACATAGGACGATACAAGAATATGACATGGATGTTTCTATTTGGTGCAATCGCCCCCATCCCGTTCTGGGCTCTCGCAAAAATGTCTCCAAAACTCGAGGTACGTCTCCTTTGCACTGCACCTAGAAGCATGGAAAGGCCTTCTCGTAAGGTAAATAACAAATGTTTTTTTAAGCAGGCGATTTCTCAATCTGACTTGTTCTTTTGTTGCAGTTCCTGAAGTGGGTTCATCTGCCAGTAATTCTCAGTGCAGTCAAGCCATGGCCACCAGCAACACCTGTAAATTTCAACTCGTGGTTTTTGGTGGGCTTCATGTTCAACTTTGTGATCTTCAGACACCGCAGATCATGGTGGAAAAGGTACAACTACGTCCTGTCAGCAGCATTGGACACAGGGATAGCAATTGCTGGACCTCTCCTTTTCTTCACACTCCAATATGAGAAGAAAGGTCACCTGGCGTGGTGGGGTAATTCGCATCCTTATGTAGACCATTGTCCCTTAGCCATCTGTCCCACCGCGAGAGGAATCAATGTCACATCTACAAATCCATTGTGCCCAGTCATGTAGGCCCCATCAGCAAGATTCGTTAGTGCTTTCTTCCTAAGGCTCAGCAATCGAGTCTCACCAATCCAAGAAGTTGAGAGAAATTTCTTGAGACGGCCCAGACAACAAACAACAAAAGAGCTGTCCTTTCAAATACTCTCTATTTGAAGTATCACCAATTACGGCGAGGTTCTCACTTTCAGGTTAAGGCGGTGCGTTTTCTACCCACCTTAAGGAGTCCTCAGTACTGACGGGCTCGCATAGCACACGGCTCGACCTACTTCAATTGGTGACTTCATTCAACTTGTATAATAAATTTTCAATGTGCATTCCCTTCAAACCCTTGATCGGAATTGGTGCCGTTTCACAATAGGGAAAACAAATGCCTCTGTTTTGGTATCATGGTGGCTATGTCTTCTGACAAGTTTGTGTCTCATGTATCCATAAAAAAATGCATGATGAAAGCTTAGTTGCATTGAACAAGTTTGAGCTGGGTTCGCAATCGTCATACGTTTCTTTTCTTTCATTTGATCGGATTAATTCATTATGTGTTTGCAACTTTCAGTGAATCCGGAACAGAATCATACATGCCGCTAAGTTTAACAGATTGCATGTAAATTTGGTATCAAATCAGTCATGAAAGTTCGACCGAAATGGTTACCTCTCAGTGGAACTCCAAGTGCTCGAACTAGCACAATAGCAAAATGAAACTTGCCATCAATCAGTTACTCCTGACTTTTGTGGTGTGAGAGGGCACAAGTCATGCACTCTCAATAGTGGTCATGCATGCGGAATGCGGAATTCATGGCCGTGGAGCTGATGAAGATGACTGTCGGTAGTGCTTCAAAATGCTCTGGACAGGAATGCGGCGTTCGTTGGAGAGCCAGTGGTTCATTGTGAGAGAGTGAAATGCAACTACATCGATGGTTCTTGGGCTAATGTGACGTTCTGGTGCGTCGGGTGTGGGCTTGGATCGCTTGTTGTATGGCGTACTGCTTTAGCCATTTTCACTCAGTATTATGATACAAAAAACTCCTTTTTCCTATTTGTCAGAGAGAATTCTTCAAGTGTTCGACCATGCCTCGACTAATTCCTTTTTTACTTGTGCTTCATAACGCACTAGACGAGCTGCAGCAATTCACTCGAAGATTTCCCACAACGTCTGAGATAATGTTATGATTACCTCGGGCGATGCAAACTTGCCAAATAGTTTTAAAGTACGTACTCACTAGCCAGGGCCCCTTTCGACTCTTCGGAGGCATTACTGCATTTTAGTTCTAGTTTTGATTGCAATTATTTACATTCTTGTGAAACTGCTTAGTCATTGATAGACAATGAAAGGAGTAATATATACCTGTTTTAAACCGGCTTGCTTCCTGTTTTGTGATTGGATATAGCTGGACGGCGCTTGAGAGTCGTCGTCTTTTAAAGCTGTCTATATGCTTACCTGTGCATCTATTCCAAGAGCCCTTGAAATGAGTCAAATGGAGGTTACAATTGTCCTGCAAGTTCAACAAGGTTGAGTTTAGTGTGCGGGGTTTGTGTGTGTATGTGTCCTCAAGCTTATTTGGACTCGGAGTGTACTTTGGGTGTCGTGGGTTTTGAGGACAGAAGAGAACAAAGTTCTGCCAACCACTTCCTTGAAGCATTCACGAAGGGATCGCTTTGAGTACATTATACGATGCAGTCCGCATTGCCCGTTTATTTAGGCTCAAATTTTTGTTAGCTCATTTTGGGTTTCTTTTCTCTTCGAACCATGACTCTCTCATATATATATACCATCTACATTTACGAGACATCTATTTTTTAATTTTGATCCAGAATAATCAACTGTTTATTGATTTTGATTTTAAAAACCGATAAACCTTTTACTTTCTTTATCATAGACTGAGCATTTTCGAATGAACTAAAAGAAGGTGATAACCATAAGTTTTTTTGGACTCCTTTCGATACAACAGAGCTAGAAATAAGTTGATTCTAAAAGGTACTGTTATAGTTGAACGCACACAGTAGAAGTCGACTCCAACCCTTTACAAGCTAAGATACTCCATCTGAGTTCGTTGAGTATTGGCAGAAAAGTTGATTATCACCTTTCATGCCTTGGAATTACATTGTATCATCAATGAAATCTCATTTTGGTTTAGTGATTTTACACGTCATACTGTGTGAGAAGTTGTCACGAGAGTAGTCTTATTCAGATCACATGATTAAGGTTTTATAATACCTATCTCTAGCTTGTTGATTGATATTATATGTCACTTAGATTGAAATTTCTCTTGTGAGTGTTCTCACATAATTGAGTTGCCATGGGAATGTTTTACGAATATCATATGTTGAATGGTTTAAGGAACATTATTTAGCATGTTTATTATCAAGTAAACTATATTATTTTGTATGAGAAAAAAATCCTTATTATAAACTTTCTTTGCTTAAGATGTTATTTCCATGGCTTTTTAAGGTTAAATTTCTTTATCATTTTTTGAACTCTCTTACAAAATAAATTGAGGTCACTGAAGTAATTTTTTTGTGTTCTTTGAAAACATTTCCTCAATCACCATTTTTACAATTTTTAAAAATTTGATGTTACAAATTAATTAAAATTTAACATGTATTGATGATTTTTAGATCGTTTATCTTGAATAAAAAAGTCAACTAAATACAAATTTTTTTTCCAAATCTTAATAATGAAAGAATTAGATATTTTGAAATGAATAAAATTATTTAATTGAGTCCTTTAAAATTCCATTTGAAAGTTGAAAATATTACAAATTAACTTCACGTATGTAAAAAATATTTTTAACTAGTTGAGGTTTTGATTCACTTCAAAAGTTGTATAATTGCATTAAATTATCAAATTGATGTATCTTTGAATACATTAAGATTTTCATCTTTCACTTTTTATGAATTTGAAATAACCCTCGATGAATTACATGTTTTTGAAAAAAGTTATAATGAGTATCTTGATAATTATGATTACATTAAATCAACACTGAAGAGAATTTTGAAAAAGTCTATTTCATAATTGAAACATTCACCAATTTCTAAAGAATTTTACCTTAAAAAATTTATGTAGTATTTTGATTAAATTCAAGCACATTTTGAAATCTTAAATTCAATAATAGATTTTAAGGTATATATAAAAATATATATTAATTTTATCAATTAGAAGATTTAGTTTCGTAAAGTTCTCAGATTTCTGCATATATATAATATATAGGTAGGTCAGAAATCATGTCAAAATTTTTTCAGATATACTCCTAATTTATTTTCCTATATGGCGGAGATCAGAGCTATATCAAAAAATGTCTGTGAGTACATGATTGTGCAAAAAGATCAACTCTGTTTCGCATCAAGGCTCGAATTATGCTCCTTTATCATGATATTCTCCAATGAAATCACCGTTTTTTAGTTGATTGTGGAACAAAGTTCGAACAAGAACATGTTTCTTGATTCTACATATCATGGCACTAGAGAGTTTCATGATGAATAACAGATGAATAACGCCTATCCTTATTCATATGATTCGTTGTTATGTAGACGATATTTCTCAATGTGATTCTACGTAGCCCTTGCAACCCGTTTGGTTTCGTGGATGGCTGAACGGGGTCTTCCCGTTGTTTGCTCACGACGTTGCCCCCAAGGAATGTCGGTGAGCTTTGTCAACTGGAAAGTACATTTGGAAGGATGTCGTAGCCCGGCGTGAACTTACATGACATGGAGGACACTTGCGAAAGCGGTATTACTGAGACTCAGTATTATTCATGAAAGCCACCCCGACCCTCGTCACTAAGGGCTCCCCACTTTCGGGGGAACGCGAGGTCTGCCCGGGAGGGCTTTCTGCCCGCCCGGGCCCGCAGCCCGACCTCCCGGTTCGACCAGGGAGGGCCCTCCCGCTTTAGCTCGCCCCGCTCTCGCTCGCTCACTAAGGGCTCTCCCTCGCGGCATCCCTTCCCGCAGGGAACTTGTACAATGTGTTTTTTTTCTTCCTCCTCTCACAAAGGGGAGGAGAAATATAGGAGCATGTTTGGGGTCTTCACCAAGATAACTTATCCTTAAACTCGAAATATGGTTTTCTTGCAAGATGGCTGCTCATAAACTCATACGTCTATCGTCTCGAAAATGCCATGTATGATACACGGAGCATACATCATCCAAGTACCAGGATTTTCACGGGAGGGGATATGAGTTTCACGTTGATAAATCACTAAACCCTGCACTACTCGGTCCAACAATGCCATGCCAACAATGCTTTCAGACCTTCTACGACTACCGAATTGACTAAGTTCGCTGCTTTTTTGTAAAGCCATACGCTTACACGACTATAGTTAACTACTCTCGTCAGGCAACGAGATCTCGCACGACTAAAGTTAGCTACTCAAATGAAGCTTGCAACTCTTGCACGACTACAGCTAGCTAGACCGGTGCAGTTTACGTCGACTAAAAAGTTTGAAGCAAACGACTACTAAAGCTGTATTCTAAAGTGCATGCGCGCAAAAGTGCACGCGATACGTCAGTTGATTAGCACAGCGCGGCGTCGTCATCGCCAATCTCCTCGATATCAGAGCTGTTGTCGTCGCTGTCGATGCCGTCCTGTTCCACATCGTACAGTGCCATGGCAGGGCGACATGGAATGCGATCCTGCCATTTCTTGTCCAGCAAGACAACGTCTGCAGGATTGGTTTTCATCAGTTTCTTGTTGATCTTGAGGAACATGTTGATCTCTACCATGCCAGCACGCATCGCCGACTGTTTCGGAGCGATCACATCGGTCATACAGCCCAGGTCGCACTCGAGTCCGCCCGATGACGACTTGTTAGCGAGAACGGCCAGCGCAACTTGCGAGATACATGGCATCTGATTATGCTTTTGTGCAAACCATTGGCAAAGGTCAGCAGGTTCAGGCCAGTCGTCCGGGTCAGTATTGGACTGCAGCACGCTAATCTCATCAGCGACAATCTGCGCAGCTATCATTGGCGCGCTCGAGGACGAGCTGCTTGACGAGCCTGCTGGCAGCTTCAGCGCGCTGGCAAGCAAATTCATCGCCGTCTTCTGGCGCTTCGGGGCTGATGGCAGCGGCGCCGGTGTGTTTGCTGCCGATTGAACGCGCTGGATGACAATGCTTTGTGCAATGACTGCTGCCAGGCCTTTGATCTTGGTCCAAATGTGCGCCATGACGAACGTATGGTGCTGTGCACGGAGCTCTTGGACGGTCCAGCCACGAGGTACATCCAACGGATCGATCGGCGTCGCCTCGATCAGCTGCATGATGATACGACCGGACGTCATCGGCGGAAACAGGACGCACTGCGCGTCCAACAGGTAGGAGAACTTGAAATCATCCGCAGTCGGCACGTCTTTTCCAAGGCATGCCTTGTTGC